TTATAATTTATCAATGTCAAACGGGCCATATTCTGCTTTTTGTGACATTCAACAATGCCGTTTCAAATTTTTTTATATTTAAAAGTTTTCATTTTTTAAACAAATATTAATTTAAGCTACAGTTAAAAAATCGTATAGAAGGCGTTTTATTTGTTGCTGTTTTGTACGATGTATATACTACCGACGTCGCTTCATATATAAGTAATAGATTTCCCAATTTATATAGTACTTGTGCAAAGAGGGGTAAAAACAGTAATAATGAAAATACTTATAATCAATCACTATTTGCTTACATTATTTGTCACCAATCAATACAAAACCCTGGAACTTGTGAAAACGTTTAGATTTTTTAATGATTATTTAAAACTAGTAATAGTTTTGTTATTATAAAGAGATCTTATTTTGAAACTTTTAATTAGAAATTACTTTAAAGCTATTTACGATGCATACCACCCGCAGTAAGACATACATATTTTGTAAGAACCATTACAGCTCATACATTATAAAACCATTGTTTTATAGAAGTCGAATATATATTTGTTTCAGTTTCAAAAAAGTTTAACTGGAAAAGATTTTATAAGTCTGAATATCAAATCTGCTAAAGCTATACAAATTTAACATTCCTTAACTTGGGTTATTATAAATAAATTTGATTGATTATATGTATGTATATATTAATAATATATAATATATTCAATTACATACATTATACTTTATGATTACCATAACTAATATAACTATTTACCATAACATCCTTATTCTAAGAAAAATTTATGTATAAGAATAGTAAGTGTAACCCTTGAAAGAAAATTATGGTAATTTATGACAAAATTATTTGGTGTTTGTACTTATTTTATTTACAAAAATGACATTTAAAATAAATTTAATATTTTTTGGTGGAGTCTTGTATGTTTTGTACATAAAAAATTACATAATATATAGAAATAAATGAAAAAATTATGTACATTTCTTTCAATGAAATGTTTTAGCTATATTTTTGTTCAGTAGATGTTTCTTGTTTTATTCACTACATATATGTATGGGTCAATACTCAATTGTTTTACACAGACGATTACTATATATTTTATTTGAGAAACATTTAAATGATATTTATAATTAATATTCAATTAACATGACAAAGAAAGAGAATTCTGAAGTAAGTAAATTTATTAAACTAGAACTTAAGACATTCCTATAATACTTTTCTGTTTAATTAATTACCTATTTAATTATCTGATTAATCATATACAGAATTCATAATAAGAGAAAAAATCTAAGCTACGAGTACATTTAATACTTATTACTCTTAGGTGCATTAAGACTTATTAAAACTATTTTAATACGAGTATATCTAGTTATATTGTAATTATTTCTTATACTTTAGTGATAGCAATAAGTTTAGCTTCATCAATGAACTTGAATAACTAAATAAAAATACACTTGTATGAAAAAAAACTAACTGTAGCTTACGAAAAACTGTTTGTATTCCTTTGAAAAATTTCGACAATAAATGTTTTCAAAAACCACTTGTATTTTAAAGTAATGTGAATTGTCAAAAAACAGCAAGGCTGCTGACATTTATTAATTAAAAAAATTTACAGCATGTAAATGATATTAATGAAAAAGAAGGTAATATTCGCGTCCTCATTACTTTATTAAAGTAATTCAATGACACGTCGTCAATATGTCTTTTGAATTAACTTGTGTTATGTTGTTGAGTTCCCATGTTTATTATAAATTATTTTATTATCTTCTGTTTAATAAAGTTCTAGAATTATAATTATTTATTAATATAATATGCCAAGATGTGTTTTTATTTCATATTATTTATAAGTATTCTTTGAAATGACATTAACACTTTTGATTTATTTCGCTGCATGTAACGTGTTCATTGAAATATAAAATTTGAAGGTATTTGAAAATTAAAGTGACACAAATTTAACTAATTTTACTTCTAATGTCATGTTCAGTTATTATATTGTTATTGTTGATAGTGCTAAAGTTTGTTAGGTGTTTGTTATTTTAACGCGTTTCTTGTATTGTTGACGAAAAATTGATGTGATGAAGTGAGTGGAAATATCCTCGATTTCTGTTTTTGTCTCGAATATAAATAATGTGTAGATGATACAGTTTTTGTGATTGTTTTTTGTGTAAACGGATAACAACATATAAAATCTATTTGTTCTTTTTGTTTTGTTTATAACATCGTGTAGAAGTAAGCGAATCAAATAAATGAGCTATACTTTGGTATGGTTTGGTAATATGCTTGCATAATACATTCTTTAAGTGAATGAAAATATGTCAAATCTTCCTATGATTTGTTGGAGAATGTCTATAAAAACTAATTAAACTGTACTGTGTATTTTGTAATGATAAACTTAAGTACCAGATATAAATTCAACGAAAAATTCTCGTAATAAAATAGATATTCAAAACTTAATCATGCACTACATCTAAAGGGCAATCACTTGTAAGGTTTCAGTTAGGACAATAGTTGGACATAAAAAATTAAATGGTCCACAAGAGTCTATTATTATGGCAAGTCAACAATAAAGAAGTGTTTTAGTTAATGAGATGTTTGAAGGCTAAGATGCGATTCCCCTTCAGTGTCGATCACTCGACCTCCTTTCTCAACCTCGGTAAAACCCATTGCGAGGTATTGAAGATATTCGCTGATTCTATTTTTCGAGCTATTATCATATTATTAGAAAAATATATATAATAAACTCTACTATTTTATACAAATAAATAATTCTTTTCTATATTTTATAGTGTATATGAATGAAACAATCCTATACTCATTTGAAGAATAAAATTCTCTTTACTTGTGTATTGTTTACTTTAATTATTAATGAATACGAGCCATCATTGGTATTATAACGTCAATTGACTTTGTATCGTTTGAATTTTCTAGTCTAATAAAGATTTTTTATGAAGGGAATTATTTAATGTAAATGCAGGATCTTTTAAAATTTGTGTTACGACTGTAAACTTTAGAAATATCTTAATATTTGCTGTTTGACTCCCAAATATAATCTTTAGTGATTCTTTCTTTTAAGATGTAATAAAGTCAATTTAAATAATATGGTTTGTTAATTATAATACAATGAAAATGTTTCTATCGTAAGGTTATTGTGTAATTAAGTTATTCGTAGTATACATGACATGTCGTTCTTGGTATTAGCTGCTCTATTGACCCAAATCGATGAGTCAATTCTATAAGCTAATAGCTGACTTGCCGTTGAATTGCACATCAGTTGTCAATTGTAGTGTATGAAACGTAGGGTATGTATGTATGTGTAATAACAATTAGTACTTACATATCTCAAAACTTATAATTACAGACGTTGCATCGTGAGGTCCTGTTATTTTATATTATTAATTAGTAGACTTAAAATTTAAATAAGAGTTGAAAATTCATTTATACGTGCAGGAGACGAACTTGTAACGCTTGCAACTTCACTTTCTAGGTGTTTTACAAATAAGGTTACCATTTATTGAATCGAGAGGATATCGTTATTTTGAAACAAATTCTTTTCCAAGGATTTAGTATTATTTTTCAAACAATTTTTTTTACTTTAACCTGTTTTATGGAACTTCTGGTTTCGTTATTTAAGTTATACATTGTCTACTTATATTAAGTAAATGTTAGTTTTCAAGTTAATAATTATACTACCGTGTAATCAAATTATCTATTTAATTTATGCAATTTGAAAGAAATTATCATCCATTTCACGTATTGTTATTTAGTAATATTACTTTGTTTTTGTATTATTATGTTGTTCGTCATCAGAACTGCATTAAATGCGACCTTCGGGTGGCCATCGACAGGTTTTTATGCTGTAGGAAAAGCTTTGTAGGTCAAACTAGCCCTAAAGGGGGCTACCGCATTAGATTAATTACAATTTTATGTATGCCTTCACTTGTATCCCATGAGTGTTCCCTCAGTGAATGGCTTGACAGTATTTGCTGTGTTCACATTGAATTCATATTAAAATTAGTCTTCTTAGTCTTCAAATTATATTCATGTATTTACTTCCCTTTAAAATAACGCCCATCAAACTGATAACAATGCAATTAATAGAATTATATATTAATTATGTTATACATTAATGGCTACTTCAATTTAAAAGAATATGTAAAGCCAAAGCTAAAACTTTATAAACATTGCGGATAACGCATTCTGATAATTATTTTAAACGTTATTATTCATACGATAAATGAATAAAACTTTCAACTGTATCCAAGTTAATGTACACCGTTGAAAAACTGTTGGCATGTCTGTTTAATTGCCAATGATAATATTATTAAGCGTCCGAGCTCCATACTAACCAGTTATTATATAACGGCACGCGACGGTTAAATTAAATTTATTAACGCGATCGAAACTCACCGGCATGGCTTTGAGAAACTGTTCCATACTTAGATTATCATTAGCTACTTCAAATATATTTACAACAGAGTTCTTGACGAAGCTCACGATTGTAGAATCAAAAATAATCTTCATTTGATCGTAAGGAGGTTTTATACCTAGTTTTCAAAATCACGAAGGTACCAGCGGCGGATGAATTTGGGCATTATATTTCGTTATTGGTAAAATACTTATCACTAAGTCAGATGTATATGATAAATGTGTTTATTTTGCAATATATATATTTAGCTAAGTCGTGGTGGCATAGATGTTAAAATCACGCCTCTCGTGCATGAGGGCGCGGGTTTGAAACCTGGCAAGTACCAATATGATTCTTCCGAGTCATATGTACTTTCCAACAGTATTTAGATACCACTGACAGGCGGTGAAGGAAAACCTCGTGAGGAAACCTAAACTTATGATTTCAAATTATAAGTTTGAAATCACCTACCCGTCTTGAGCAAAAGTAATGATTAATGCTCAAATCTTCCTCATGTGAGAAGACCTTTGCTCAGCAATGGGCATTCATAGGCCGATGATGATGATGATGATGATGATGTTTTATTAATGTTATCGATATATCTTCCAGGTTGGCGGCAGCGCAGGAGGCGGCGGGCGCGCAGGCTCGCGCGGCGCCAGCTGATACCATGGGCGGCGCGCACCAGCCCGCTACTCCGGGGCCCAGTTCGCTCTTTATATTCTCCGACGAAAATCCTATACGGAGGTAAAATATTCCTTATTTCATTCTTATGGACTCATTATATGAATATATGAAAGAAAGTTTTGTTAGTTACACTATTTGTAACTAAAGAATAGTTGTAGTTGAACAGATATGGTTGAAAATTGGTGTGAAAATAGCATAGAACCAGGAGATGGACATAGGATATTTAATTTTGACCGATTGAAAAAAAATTCTTAGCAAATTCCAATATCTGATTATTTACGGCCCCCAAGGCGGAATAGTGTTCTCCCGGTCAGCTATTCATATGTATATTGTTAATTCCAAAATTAACGCGGACGAAATCGCCTCAATAAACTAATGACCTATATAAAATTTGAAAGTAATCTATGTTTTGCTTCTGACACGAATTCTTCCTTCTTTCAAGATTTACGTTGAACTCGCTACCTCATTTGCGAGCCTAACTAGTGTCTTATACATATTTAACGAACATCTTCTTCTCATGCATATTGTAAGCGGAGCGGAGATCGGGTATCGTTATGGGAATACCGAAATCTAAACAGATCACATACATTTTTATTTACTTAAACCATGTACTCACACATTTAGCGCATACTGGTAACATACTATTCAATAAAAAGTCTCATATATTATGAAACGAACCATTCCATTACTTTAATAAACATATTCAATGTGAGGTTACCAAGAATGTGTGTCACGTAAGATTTAAATTTAATGCATATTTAAATCATGTTTGTACATTCAGGAGTATAAAGGTCAGGAGTATAATGTTGGTTGATGAACCATGGACCGAGTTTCATGAGGAATGAAAGCTTTACATTACATACTACCTGTTTAGTAAATGCTTTTATGAATGTGATCCACAAGCAATGATTAAGTTTTCTGCTTATAATTTTGACTGTAGCACAAGAAACGGTAAATGACAGTTACAAAAACTAAATAACGTATGTAATGGATATATGGATTAAAAATATATTTTGAGGTTATACTGGGACCTGGGTAATACACGTTAAATTGAGAGTCGTAATATTTAAAGCTTTGATAAACATTTAAAATTAAACTTAGATAGGTATAACTGATTATGCCTAAAATGAGCTACATCTAAACAATTAAATTTAATCATAATAGGTAATAAAGATCGTAATTATAATGAAATGGCTTTCAACATCAATGTGATATAATAAAAATGTGGGTAGACTGCAGTAATCACTTTTAATTATGAACAGATAACACTTCATAATATAAATCAATTATATGTAATCGAAGATTTTTAAATCTTACAGAACAGAGGAATAAAAAATTCAAATAAATTCAGTATTAAATAAGTGTATATTTAAATTTAATCTGTAGTAAAATTTGAACTGTATTTTCAGGTATACAAAGTTTATCATCGAGTGGCCGCCCTTCGAGTACGCGGTGCTGCTTACCATCATCGCCAACTGCGTGGTGCTGGCGCTGGAGGAGCATCTGCCTAACGGCGATAAGACCATCTTAGCACAGAATCTGGTAAGAATGAACAAATTATATTAGAGACCCATAAACAAAACGAACAAAACTATTGGTTGGATATTTAATATTAAGAATAAAAGGGAACAAAGGAATTTTAAATATATGAAATTATTGTTAACTATAGTGGTTACGAAATATAGAAATACTAGCTGCGCCCCGCGTTGTTACCCGCGGATTTCCGGGATGTAAAGTAGCCTATATGTTATTCCTAGACCAGCTTCCTGTATACAAAATTTCATTAAAATCGGTTCAGCCGTTTGAGCGTGAAGAAGTAACAAACATACACACACACTCACAAACTTTCGCAATTATAATATTAGTAGGATATGTATAAGGTCGTTTCTACTGGTTCTTGTAACTTAAGAAAAGTTATAGTTATTGTTTTTAAATTAATTAGATGTTTTTTCTCATCTATGATTTCTAAATCTTGTGAAAAGCTGTGTGACTATTGTTGGATTAATTAATTGAATGCTTTGTCTTGTCTGAGATAGTTAATGTTTTAAATACTTTAAATAATTGTTCTCACCTTTATATATTTAAATCAATAGGTGTTTATTGAAAATAATGTTGATTACACTTTTTAAATTTCTGTTTTCTTGTTGCAGGAAAAGACCGAGGCGTACTTTTTAGGAATATTTTGTGTAGAAGCCTCGTTAAAAATCTTAGCCTTAGGTTTTGTTTTACACAGGGGTTCTTATCTTAGAAACGTTTGGAACATAATGGATTTTTTCGTTGTATTGACCGGGTAAGTAATATTTTTTTAATTTATAAATTTTATCATCTTTAACAGATATGAAAATCACGTAGAATTTGCAATAGTCAAGAAAATGATAAAAATTGGACTGCATGACAACAAAAAGACAAGTAAAATCTTCAAACGACATACCTAATGTGAAGTGACACAATATTAGGTATTATACAGTAAGTTAGGTAACAGAAAGGGTTTCTTACTGAAATATTCGATGACAAAAACTAGGTCGATGACGATATTCGCCGAATACAACGTGGACGTTGACCTGCGGATGCTGCGCTCGTTCAGAGTGCTACGACCGCTCAAGCTCGTCTCGCGGATACCAAGTAATTCACAGTAATTGGCGAAAAGTTACAATAAACTTTATATTGTATAGAACATTCTGGCTAGATGTGGTCCATGGAACTTTTATAATGTAGATGACACAGCGCTAGTTTTTGAACATAGAACTTTTACATTTCTTAGTGAGAGAAAGTAGCATCGATTTCTTGCCATTATGAGAATCGTTATAGATGAGTGGTTTTAATATTTTGTGATTTATTGACTATACTGAGTGTACTTTGGATTTCAATTATTACGTGTTGCATAATAGATAAGATTTGGTAAATTTTGTATTGTTTTTCAAATAAAATTCTTATGTAAGAATCTAGATAAACACGATTACTTAGGTGTGAATAAATATTTTATAGTTTAAAAATATGTAAAGTTTAACATGTGATTAGTTTAAAATTATAAAAACGTAACTAGATATAATAGATAGTAGATTATAAGCTAGTCACTATTGTCTTGACGGGAATATGGTTATGAAATTGTTTTAATGTAGTTGTGTGTTCACGAGCATATTCCTAAGTAGTAACTTACTACTAAGTTAGCTGCTAGTTCAAGCTATAGTATCGAGTGATATGTGTTCGGCAGTATCATCACGCAGCTGCCAATCGCGCCCACCGAAGTCGACTTCCGGACCTTGCGTGCCATTAGGGTGCTGAGGCCCCTTAAATTAGTATCGGGCGTTCCTAGTGAGTTTTAGAACAATCTTAGCTTAGCATTTATAGTTTCACTGACCACTGATGCATAATTTATATAGTAACTAGTATCAAAATAAATGTTATAATGTTTCAGTTAAAACAATTAATATACGTTAATAAATTAACTGCCATTATAAATGCTACCTCATGTTATTCCAATTGGCTGTTTCAAACATTCACATAATTTAAATATTTAAATTATGCAACGGTATAATCACATGTACTTGTGCACGATCACTGTAATTTTTTCATGTTTAATGTTATATTTAATTATTGTATTGTTTACTTCACATTCATTGCTGTTTCCTTGAGTAGTTTCTTTCTTACAATCAACACGTATCCGATCATCATGAAACAATCAAATCTAAAATTGGCTTAACTGTTCATCATTGCTGTTAAAGATGTTAATTTTTTTTAATAAAATTCACAATTATATCAAATTCATAATTGATACAGTTTCTGAAGATTATCGAAAAACACTCATACATTGATTATAAGACGTAATGAGGATCGTAATACGGTTGAATTTCCTGTGCAGGTTTGCAAGTGGTGTTGAAGTCGATTATTAAGGCGATGGCTCCGTTGCTGCAGATCGGCCTTTTGGTGCTTTTTGCGATCGTCATTTTCGCTATTATAGGCCTCGAGTTTTATTCCGGGGCGCTACATAAGACTTGTTATAATTTAGAAGATATTAGTAAGTGTACTCATAACTCATTATAAACCCGAATGATATAATAGATCAATTAAGGTTTTGAGGAAGTCTTAACTTCGTCCATTGTATTTCATTGTGATAAATTAAGATAAAATTTAAAGATAGGATAAAGTATGACGATTGGTTTAAAAAGTAAAGATTGTAACGCGCTGTAATAATCTATTTTATAGCTGAAATAGTTAACGATGGTGATAATCCGACGCCGTGCAATGCGGACAACGAAACGCTAGCACCGTACGGGGCGCATGTGTGCACTTACGATAAAAGCACATGCCTGGAGAAGTGGGAAGGGCCGAATAGAGGGATCACTTCGTTCGACAACATCGGCTTTGCTATGCTCACTGTCTTCCAGTGCATCACTATGGAGGGATGGACGGCCATTCTATATTGGGTACATTACAATAACATGAGCTTCATTAGAGAATATCCCTTTACTTACAATTTAAAAGAAAAAACAGATATGAAACTTTCAAATTATATGAGATTAAAATACAGAAATTATGTTTGTCATAATCCTTTAATAATTAGGATTTGGAACATTAAGTGCAATTTTTATACATTGTATTCTGTCTTATGATGCTTTTGCAAATATTATTTTGTATGAGGCAATTTAAGAACCAAGTCTCTAATACAAAGGGGAGTAAAATTTATGATCAATAAAAAAGTTATGAACCGATATTTATGTATACAATAAGTTTTTCTACGTTCATACCTTGAAGTTTATATTTGATAATATATGTACTACTAAAATTTTATTTATTTCAGACAAATGACGCGTTAGGTAGCACATTTAACTGGATTTACTTTGTGCCTCTCATAGTATTGGGTTCATTCTTTATGCTCAACTTGGTTCTCGGTGTTCTTAGCGGGTGAGTACAACATTATAGTATTCATAACTATAATATTTATTTGGTCATTTGTTTTATTTATTTTATGTTTATTTTGAAATGCAATATGCAGAGAATTTTCCAATGAAAGGGGCCGCGTAGAGCGTAGGGCTCAATTTCAAAAGGAAAGAGCGCGGCAGGCCTTTAATTCGGATTTTACCGGTTATATTAACTGGATAACTGAGGCAGGTCTGTTGTGGAGGACCGAATAACGTTTGGTACTTGCTCTGTAGGAAAACATATGCATTTATTTGGTTATGCATTGCTAGACTATCATTGGTTGACAAAAGTTACTTACACATTTATTTCAAATTTAAATTGTATCATTTTTAGTTACTTTGCACTATCTGTTTACATTTTATCATTAATATTACGAAATACAAAAGCACTTTTCGTTTTGTGACCTTAGATGCCTTGTGAGTGAGTTATTGAATACATACAAATGATCCATTTTTATAAAATGACAAACTGAAAGACTTAAAATTTATATATTCCCCGTATACTTCATAGTAGGCATTATAATGAATGTAAGCTAGATGAGATTTGAAGCTAGATTGTATCACATCGCTATATTTGCAGTGAGTTCGCTAAAGAAAGAGAGAAAGTAGAAAATAGGCAAGAATTTCTTAAAATAAGAAGACAGCAGATACTAGAGAGAGAACTCAATGGTTATGTAGAGTGGATATGTAAAGCTGGTAAGAAGAAATAGATAAGAAACCTTTTTTTACAGATATACAGAGATGTTTAGTTTGTGGGAAAGATTTAAAACTACTACTATTTATATGTTTTCAGAGGAAGTTATATTAGCTGAAGAAAGAACAACAGAAGAAGAGAGAATGCATATAATAGAAGGTAAAAAAAATGTTCAATGGCCTTTATTTTTGGTGCTACGAGAAAAATAAATAAATATAAATATTCTGTTTACTGTTTCAGCTCGAAGAAGAGCTGCAGCGAAGAAGAAATTAAAAAACCTTGGGAAAAGTAAAAGCACGGATACAGAAGAAGAAGAACAAGACGAGGACTGCGGTGATGATGGTCAGTATATATTGTAAATTACGTGTATTTTTGTGTTGCGTGTTGAGTAGATTCTGTTATATGACTAGGTTTTATTTATATTAAATGAACTGTCTAGACATCTAACGTCTGTTAATGTTAAGTTTATCTATTATTTTGTTTTGGTTCTTCGATATTTGCAACGTGTTTATGTAAGTCCGTCTCTAAATATTGATTTTATGTACATAATATGTCTATTTCATTTAGCTCTCTCAGTTCTTTAAATGATGGATGTTGCATGTCATTTCTTAAAGACTTAATTCAGAACTCATTCCATATATATTCGTACTCTATTTGTGTGTTGGTTGTTTACAGTTCCAAAGAAAAAGCAAGGTATGGGATCAAGCGTGACGCTGGTAGAATATTCCTTTTCATCTTCTTAGTAGTCGACTTAGTTTAGATATAGAATTAGGAATAGCGTACCCTGATCCCCTATAAATAACAGCATACTACCCAATTTTTAGTTTCTTTTTAGACATTTCAGTTTTATTTAAAATATTTCCTTAATAGATTTCTCCTTGCTGATATAACTCCTTTAGCTTCGTAATATTAACTTGCAAAAGTTACCTTAGAACGTAACTGAACTTCTGATTGAAATGCGATACATCTCAGAAGAACATTCAGTTTTATGACATGTAATATTACATCTGACAGTAATTGCAATATTAGAAAACTTAAAAAAATTACGATTACCTACTGTTAACACTGTTCGTCAATGTAAGCTGTTAGGAATTATATCGGGATTACCTCAATGAATATATGTTTAATTTTGATAACTGTGTATTGTCTTCATTAAAAAACACAGTTTTCAAATTACGCTACTATTTTAAACATACATAAGGTAATTCCGAATTAGTTGATAACAATTTTTTAACAAGCACTTAAATTTATATAAATACAAGTTAGGTAATATTGTATATGGTTTCATAATTAATCACAATTTAGATATTTTGTTTGTAATAATAAGTGCAACATTTAATTATTAATGAATGCTTCAGGTTTTTTGAAAAGTAAAACACGTTCGGCTGGAAAATGCGCAGACTTCTGGAGAGCAGAAAAGAGGTTTCGTTTTTGGATTAGGCATACTGTGAAAACACAATGGTTTTATTGGTTCGTCATCGTACTGGTGCTTTTCAATACTATATGTGTAGCAGTCGAGCATTACAGACAACCTAAGTGGCTTACTTCATTTTTATGTACGTAAAAGTTAATCATTACAACTTCATAAATGTTTATTAATAATAGATTTAAATTTATCTGTTTTATGTTTCAGATTATGCCGAATTTGTATTCTTGGGTTTATTCATGATGGAAATGTGGGTGAAAATGTATGCCCTCGGGCCACGAATTTACTTCGAGTCCTCATTTAACCGCTTCGATTGTGTTGTCATATCTGGCTCCATATTCGAAGTTGTGTGGTCAGAAGTAAAAGGTGGCTCTTTCGGTCTCTCGGTTCTCAGGGCCTTGAGATTATTGAGGATATTTAAGGTTAGTATCCGAATAAACCACTTATTATTTATTGCAGTACATGTATTTAATAAACATATTAACTGTATTTCAGGTCACAAAATACTGGTCGTCGTTACGCAATCTTGTGATATCTCTTCTTAATTCAATGAGATCTATTATCTCATTGCTATTTCTTCTATTCTTGTTCATACTTATCTTTGCTCTTCTCGGGATGCAATTATTCGGTGGACAGTTTAATTTCGAAGAAGGCACGCCGCCAACAAATTTCAATACGTTTCCAATCGCGCTACTTACAGTCTTCCAGGTATAGTACTGCTCAAACAATTAATTGTTGATAACTTTTTGAGTATATAATAATGTTTTCTTCCCCAGATTTTAACAGGCGAGGATTGGAATGAAGTTATGTACTATGGCATTCAATCTCAGGGTGGCATACAAAGAGGCATGCTCTACTCGCTGTATTTCATAATTCTTGTGTTGTTTGGGAACTACACATTGCTAAACGTGTTTCTTGCTATCGCCGTTGACAATTTGGCTAACGCTCAGGTTTGTTTTGAATTAATAAATTCATAAAATGCTTTAACGATCCAATTGTTGTGTCAGATGTCAAATTTTATAAAACACTTTTCACTTTGTTATAAGAATATAAGCTGTAAAGATTGTTATGCTATGTTAACGCCCAAGCTCACTTGTAAATTGACGCCGCTTTTCGTGTACATGTAGCCTTTTTTACTTTACAGGAATTAACAGCAGCTGAAGAAGAACAGGGGGAAGAAAATAAGGAAGCTGTAAGTGTATTACATAAAATAAATTATATACTATGTACTAATAATATTATTTTCTCGTCAATGGTAAAATAAGTTATTTTTTAATGTTGCTACTCTGTGCAATGTAAGGTGATTTATAATATATTATTTCATAATATTAATTTCAAGTATTTTTAATGAGACTGTGTTCTAATATGTTATAAGTCATCAATAAATGTTGCTACGTGCTATACGTGAATACTCATACAACCGTTATTTATAGAATATTAATTATATTTTACATGCGTGAAAATGTTATTTTACTGTCATAGTTTTAGATAGAGATTTAACAATTTGTTATATATACATATAAAGGTTACTGGATTAATAATGGCAATTGTATTAAAATCGGAATGACATGCTTTCATGGATTTATTTGAGAAGTTAATTAATAAAAATCTTATTTTCAGAGTAAAAAGAAAGAGGCAAAAAAAGATGAAGAGGAGATACCAGATGGACCAAAACCAATGCTGCCATATTCGTCCATGTTTGTTTTGTCACCTACTAATCCGTAAGTTTTATTTGAAAAACACAATATATTAACACTGATTTCTTTAATGTAATATCTGTTTATTGTTACAGCATTAGACGAGGCGCACACTGGATTGTAAATTTAAGATATTTTGATTTTTTTATTATGGTAGTTATTTGCATGAGTTCCATGGCTTTAGCGGCTGAAGACCCCGTAGTTGAAGAAAGTAACCGGTAAGTCTTAAGTCTAAATCAACCTTATGACACTGTTATTAAGGTCCATTATACTTGAGAGACTTAATGTATTGGTGAAGCTCAAATTGGGTTAGGTAATTAATGTGCTATTTTTAACCAGAAATAAGGTGTTAAACTACTTCGACTACGCGTTCACTGGGGTCTTCACTGTGGAGATGCTGTTGAAGATCGTCGATCTCGGCATCTTGTTCCACCCGGGCGCGTATCTACGAGACCTGTGGAACATCATGGACGCCGCGGTCGTTATATGCGCCCTTGTTAGCTTCGGTTTTGAAATCGGGTGAGTTAAATCATTATAATTCCTATAATTCATTCAAAATAATATCTTATTTAGTCCACATAAGGATCCTTTTTGCTTGTAACTTTTGTTAAATGTATTTTATTCTCTTTCAGAGGTGTGAAGAAGGGCGCCGGGCAAAATTTGTCCACAATAAAATCGTTGCGAGTGTTAAGAGTGCTCAGACCTTTAAAAACTATAAAACGTGTTCCAAAATTAAAAGCAGTGTTTGACTGTGTTGTAAACTCGTTAAAAAATGTCATTAACATTCTCATTGTGTATATATTGTTTCAATTCATATTCGCTGTAATAGCAGTACAACTTTTTAATGGTAAATTTTTTCACTGCAGTGATATTAGTAAAAATACTTTTGAAGACTGCCAGTAAGTATACTATAATTTATATTTATCTTTAACTTTATTATTTATATGTTAGGTACATGTATACAATAAAAAGGTTTATAATACTTATGTATATATATAATGTTATAATAATGATACTGCTTTATTGCAGGTTGATAATTATTTTTATAAACAGATTTTTGTAACATTCTCAACTTGTAAACACCATAATTATCGTGACCCTTTGATTGTATTAATTATACATTTTAATTCACTCTTTACATTCACAGAGGGTCGTTTTTCGTTTACGAATCCAATAGTCTATTGCCGCAAGTAAGAAAGCGGCAGTGGACGACACAATCCTTCCACTACGATAACGTGGCCTCCGCTATGTTGACGCTGTTCGCGGTACAGACAGGAGAAGGCTGGCCACAGTAAGTTTTATACTATTAAATATCTAAAGTTTCTATTTAAATTAAATTATACCTCAATTTAATCATGAATAGGTTTCTTCTCTTTTGACTTGCCGCTTCATTTGAAAGGGGATAATATATATTATAGTAAGAAGGACATTAACCTAACTGTTATTTTTTTCAGGGTGTTGCAGAATTCAATGGCAGCAACTTACGAAGACAGGGGACCCATACAAAATTTTCGAATAGAAATGTCCATCTTTTATATAGTTTACTTTGTGGTGTTTCCGTTTTTCTTTGTTAACATATTCGTAGCTCTGATTATTATCACCTTTCAAGAGCAGGGTGAAGCTGAGTTGCAAGACGGCGAAATTGATAAAAATCAGGTAAAATAGCAAGACATAGATGTGTTTATAACGGAATAGTGAAACAAAAAGTATCATTTGTAACGTTATGTTACAGAAATCGTGTATAGACTTTACGATAGAAGCACGACCTTTAGAGAGGTATATGCCAAGTAAAAGGGGGAGTCTTAAGTACAAAGTGTGGAGAGTAGTAGTCTCTACGCCATTTGAGTATTTCATCATGGCGCTTATTGTGCTAAACACTTTGTTGCTCATGATGAAGGTATGTATTAAAATTGTCTTCTTAAATATCAATAATGAATACATAAATAACGATTATTGCGTCGTCGTAACCATACTCAAACACATCTGTCAACAAAGGACTAACGAACTAAACAGAGTTAGCACTAAAATGTGAAAGTAGATACCCACTAGGTACAGTAGAATATATGGCTAATGAGATAAATCACAAGGCACATAAAATAATATAGTATAGTGGCCAAAATCAGATGTTCACAAAAGCACCGTTACCCCGCAATTAAGTATTCTCCTATGTATCTCTGTGAACTCAGATATTACAAAATAATTATCTATCAAGTACGCGTGTGTTTTAATTGTATAATTTACGATTGGCTTCAGTTAGTACTGCCAAACAGTAAAACGGTCAGACCTACTTGTACCTCACAGAACACAAACACGACACAGAGTCTAACAATGTAACAATGTTACCGGCATCAGTGTACACAGCAAAGGAATGAGCCGTTTACCTGAGCCATCATGTGTACTGTCAATTTTTTGTTCTATTTTTCGGTGTTTTCGTTGTGTAACCCTTCATCCTTGCTTGCTATACATTGATATTTATATATAAATGTTAATGCACGATACGCCTATCCTTCTTGCACATTTTTAAACCACAAGTTACCACTTCATCCAAGTGTCTGTGCTTGTGAATGCACAATATCTCTGGGATCAGGTCAGGCATGACGCCGTTCATGTTGTTCGTGTTGCATGATTCTTATAAATACCCTTCTAATATTGTCTTTGTGAAAACATGCATGATTGGTAGAATGGCCATCTGCCGAGCAAAATTTTGTCGTGGCTTCGGGTTGCTTCTTATATGTCTATTTGTAAGAGAAAATTATGGTTAAAATAAATGAAAATTAGACTGTTATTGGTCAAAGACATTAAGAGAATCTACACCATCTTATCTTCTTTCTATATTTTTTTATCACTTTAATCATATATATTTATTGTGTTTTTCTTTTTCACATCTGTCATTCTTTCGGTAGCTTAGAATCAAATTTCGATATAATTTTCTTTAGAAAACTAACTTTCTATCTATAATTTTATACATATTACTTTCATAACCCCTTTACCATTCCTTTAACTATATCATGTCTTACAAACGCATTCAATACATTACTTGATACTACTACTTCTTAATCCGAGAGTCAAACTCATAAAATAACAAATAAATATTTTCATTGCAATGGGTTTATCCGACACGTCTTCACATAATGGCAGTACTATAATCAAAATGACCTCTACGCGGATATCCTCAAGTATTCGAATATGGGGTTTACTGGAATGTTTTCTGTGGAAACGGTGTTGAAAATCATCGCATATGGTGTCAAAGTAAGTACATGCGTTACACGGTTAAACCTTTCAGACACTCGTTAAAGACCACGTCGTATGATTAAAGACAGAAGTTACAAATGTACTCTTTCTGCTACTAATATGCTATTTTGTGTTTCATGACTGTATGGGATTATTTCTGGCCAAGTAAATATTAACCCTTCCAATTCCTGGTTTCTCTCTGATAGTAACGTTTGCAATGGTTATATTTTTTTTGCTTCTCGTTGTAAAGCATGGCCTTCTCTTATTGCATGTGCCACTTGTGCTACTAAACTAATCAAACCCAAAGCGACACTGTCTCTACTAATTGCTTTTAAGTTTAATAATTGCCAGCCTATGGTGACTATCAAGGTAAGAGACCCCATAGCTTCGTTGTGTATCCCGTGTTTCTGGATGAAAATAGGTTAGTATGAATTTTTTTTACTAATATATGTGTGATTTGGTAAGTTTGCAAAATCGTCCTATGTGATACTGCACGGCAGCATGATCCGTGGGCTTGCATGAAGCACGTCGTGAAAAACTCACCAAAAACAATACAATCTCACACCAAAGAATTGGCTCAATATCGACCTCATAACAAAACACACACATACACGTACTTGAAACAATCATTTTCTCAATAGAGAATAGCAATCCAAAATATAATGGAAAGCCGATTTTGGCTATTATTTTCTATAATTAGGATAGCCTGAGAATATTTTTATGAAACCATTATTTAGAACTAGCTTAGTTTTGATATATATATAAAAATTATTGGTCTTGGTTTGTGTTAGTTTCACGAGGCTCCACCACTTCTCATGGATGTCTTAACGGTCATGAACATAGTCTTTACGTTCTTCTTTCTTCTCGAGACCGTTTTGAAGTTAATTGCCTTCGGATGTACGGTAAGAATGAGTCATTATTTTATAAGTATGATATATCAACATTTTACCATTTGCGGATCTAACACCAATTAAATATATAAAATATATATTGGTTTTAATTCGCTCCCTACTATGATATTAAAGTGTCATATTTTTTATGCGTGTTACATGAAATCATTTGATATTGTATACATCGTAAAATATTTGACACATCACGGTTGTAATTTTATTTAAGCTATTACATATTTTTAATATTCAATATTGACTTGAATATAATATTTAAAACATAGTAAATTTATGAGATGCCGCTTATTATTGATAATAATTTAAATAGATTTTTTATATCACAAATTTTATAGTTTATTTAGATAAGATAATAGAATTAGATGATATAATTACTTCGAGAGACAACCTCATCCCTCCTATAATAACACCTCCTTTATTATCCATTTAGTACAGGAAGCGTACATTTGTACATCTATTAATTTTGGAAGCAAGTAAAATTAAGTTTTGTCATTATTCTTATTGTTACGAAGGTATTGTGGTTATATAAATATACTTTATATTTGTTTAAATTTATTTAGAGTTTAAGTATATAATATTTATTTTACATTTACAGAATTTTTTCAAAGACCCGTGGAATACGTTTGATTTTATAACGGTCATTGGAAGTATTATTGATGCTCTCATTATGGAGTTTGGCGTGAGTACTTCTGCATATTCAGTTTTAATTATAATTATAATTTTATGTTAACATTTTACTTTTCCGTTATCTATTCAATCTACTGTGTATTGACATTATATAAAGGTCAATCCTGATTACAGAGTGACCTCGCCGAAAACTGTGCTGACATATCCTGTCAGCAGGTAAAGATTTCATTTGATTGCTAGGAGATTTAGTGTTTTGTAAACAAACTTCGATGGTATAGAATTGTAGGTTAACAGAATTCCTTATGTCGTTTTGTAGTGCTAGAAGGTGGAAGTATTGATCTTTAGTACCGCTTAAATAGGATACGAGCCAGGAGTGGACTTGAAGTTTAGATTTGAAGTGTTATTTAAATGTTTTTATAACTATAGACAATTTTTTGCTATTAGAATGACATTTTGCTAGAAAATAAATCTTAGATATTGTGATTATTGAAATTTGTCATCGTATTTTTTGATATTAGATTTTAATTTTTAATCGGATTGGACACATTTCATATATTCGTGTACGATATTGTTAGATTGTTAGTATAATAGAAATGTCATATAAAACTGTTGATTTTTATTTAGATAGACCGTGTTTTCTATTACAAAATTTTGCTAAAAATAAAAAGCTTTTTTATTTGTTTTATATTTACTTGGTTTTACTTATTTACGAAACTACTAATTCGCTATAAATTGTAACATTCTGATTTGATTTTAGAAAAATAATTATATTAGTAATACTATTATAGCGAATTATAAGTTAATTATGGTTATGTGAACTTTATTTTATCAAATTATTAAATAATTTTTTATGATCTTTTTATGACATGTATGTATTTATCCTCCACTACTAATCCTGTAGACGATATCGACTTGCCTTTCATACATTGAGAACATTATTTTATATATATTAATAATATTTCAGGAGAACACATTCAACGTTGGTTTCCTCCGCCTCTTTCGAGCCGCGCGACTGATCAAGCTGCTTCGACAGGGTTACACTATTCGAATACTACTTTGGACGTTCGTGCAGAGTTTCAAAGCCTTACCCTACGTGTGCCTTCTCATCGCAATGCTGTTCTTTATTTACGCTATTATTGGAATGCAGGTTCGCAGTCATACCGATCTCCTTGTATGCAGTTTCCTATGTATTTAGTACCAAATCGATGAGATTTGTTTTTTCTACAGGTGTTCGGAAACATAGAATTAGCAGCCGATTCTGATATGAACAGGCATAACAATTTTCGGAGCTTCATACAAGCGCTAATGTTATTATTTAGGTAATCAACAACCATATTGATATATATTATTTTTTTTCAAAAAAAAATTGTTCTTAATATCGAAATGCAATTATTTCAGGTGTGCAACAGGTGAATCTTGGCCGAACATTATGTTGGCTTGTCTCAAGCCCGCGAAATGTGACAGGGAAGCCGATAAACCACCAAATGAAGCCTGCGGAAGCACACTGGCTTATGCCTATTTCGTCTCTTTTATTTTTTTTTGCTCGTTTCTTGTAAGACTTAGAAGTTTATTCTCAACAATTATTTTATAGTAATAGAATATTTGAGTTATATTACAAACCTTTCCATCCTTTTTCAGATGTTGAATTTGTTCGTTGCCGTCATTATGGACAATTTTGACTATTTGACAAGAGATTCCTCGATTTTAGGCGCACATCATTTAGATGAATTCGTTCGAATATGGGCGGAATACGATCCAAACGCAACGTTAGTATTAAATAACTACTTCTAAGTATATTTCAAACTTCTATCTTATCTATTTTTAAATATATTTCCAGGGGTAAAATACATTATACAGAAATGTATGACATGTTAAAAAATATGGATCCACCTCTGGGTTTCGGTAACAAATGTCCAAATAGACTGGCATTTAAGAAGCTAATAAGAATGAACATGCCGTTAGATGAAGAAGGAAAAGTTAATTTTACAACAACACTGTTCGCCTTAATACGGGAAAATCTTAGCATTAAAATGAGATCTGGTAATATATGATTTATTATTATACTTTAATTTCACCATCTGCTTTAAATTTGTTACGTCTTATATAAACGACAAATGGTGAAAGTCTTCTAGCTATAGAATTAACTTGTAAATGTAGTATTATTAATTGCACTCTGACACATATAGCCGAAGAAATGGACCAAGCCGACGAAGAACTTAGGGAAACAATAACTCACATCTGGCCACTTCAAGCTAAGAAGATGTTAGACTTGCTGGTGCCTCGCAAAGATGTTCTCAACGCTGGGAAATTGACTGTCGGAAAAATTTACGCAGGACTTCTTATTTTAGAGAGCTGGAGAACGACTGGGTTTAAAAAACAGGGCGTTCCGGTGAGTTCCTTTCCATTGATAAGTTCAAATAAATTTTTGTAACTGGTTTCGAACGGCTGAGGATATTTCTACGACTCATTGTGGGTATGATCCCGGCATTTCAATCTTTTCTTTAAACCAAACCTACTTGTATTATTCTATAAATTATAAAGGTATGTACCAAGTTAAAAAGCAAAACTTTTTGTTATAAATAATATACGATTTTACGAACGCACTATAACGTTTATTGTGATAGTAAATTTTAGTGTATGCGTAACTTTATACTCTCCTTAGCCATTTAAAACCAATTTATAATGTTTTCCTATTATTTCCACGTGGTACTTACTATATCTTAAATCCACGCAGAATTAATCTAGGAGTAGTCAGAAGCCAGAGTAAACAAGTGTGATTCAGTCCAATATTTTTCTGCACAATATTAGTAACTAAATTTTGTAACCAAGTACTAAATTTTGTTGTTAGGTTTATTTACTACACAATTTAACGTAGTGTTTGTTGATGGTCCCCTAAATCTCCTATGTTTAGATTTCTAAGAAACACTTAATAGTTAGAATTAAATAGTTTGTTGTGTTGTCTCGTGGATGTATTGTTGTGTACAAATATCCCAAAAAATTGTTTTCTTCAATGTTTTGTTCGTCTATGATATGGCTATTCATAAAATAATATTGACATAACTCGAAGCTTGATAACTACAACAATACAATGTCACTTTAGTTGAAATCGACTCTCAATGAGTCGACTACATTGGTGGTTTACTTTTCAGGCATTCAGCGAGAATAGCCCTACGGCCAATCAGCCGGTAGTATTAAATATTTTAAGGAACGAAAGTTTGACTACCTTTTTCTTGCACTGTACTAGATTACTTATTTATCCATTTTTTATAAACTTCTTTCGCATCGTGTTTGAATAAAGATTTTTTATATCATAAGCTAAAACAATAAAAAAATAGCGAGCGAATAGACACGATGATCAAATATAAAAGTTATAAACTATTTGAATCATTAGTATCTTAGTATTTTACAAGACATAGCATTAGATCACGCACATCACTGGTAGCGTGGACAAAGATGTGAAGATTTTGTTCACACACTTTTGTCCATTACAACCGATAGGGCTTAGTAAACCACAATACAATAATCCTAGTGACCTGTCCTATAGTTGCAAAATGCGTAAATAGTTTGTAGGAGTGTGTGTGTGTGTTGATGCGTAGGATTGTCTTGTAGTGCTAGACGTGTGTTTAATGTAGATTGTCTATTTTCTCCATTAGTGCCCTGAGTTTTATCAATGTATCGTTCGCTATTTTTATATTTTGAGATGTACAAAGAGTCTACGTTTGTTTTTTAATTTTATTTCTTTTAAACTTTATGAGATTGCGCATGTTTTATTAAACCTCTTAAAAATTATATAATATATTTTCCCGTGGATCCCGTCATTCCATTTCGGCTGAATTATTTTTATTCTAGAAGGCTGGTGTGATTTAATGATGGTTTAAAGCTTTCTTGTTTCCGCTATTTTATCCACAAAACATATAAAATAATAAACATTGTATATAATTTATATCAAACAGATTACGCATGACCTTTTTGATTCAGTTCATGAATATAAAAAAGGCTACTGCAATACAAAAACATGATAAGTTTTTTTTGTTTTGATTATCGGCAAATGCCACAAATTGTCGCACATATATAATGCACTCATATAATACAAATATGCTTGCCATTTACAGCTATTCGCAATGACACGATCTTAAAGAATCAGTAAATACAATTGACAAAACATTCACTGATAGTTACAAACGACATACAGGGGATGCGGATCGGCGGACTCACAACTCTATGACATGTATACATTCCATGTTCGAATTCATTCCCACCGACTGTTTTACTCTTACACAAGACATGACACAAAACAAAAACGAACTCCAGCATGGATATGTATTGAATGAGGCGTTTGCGCATACTCATGTAGTCCTAGATGAGACGGCAATGGTTGAGACATTGCTACATGAGACTGTGCAAGCGAGGGTAGGGTGCATGATGAGGGTGCGTGGTGCAGAAGGCGACCTTGTTTGACTGTCTGATGGATGCGGCGGCTGCGGCTCATGGCCATGGCTCTAGGACCGGGTCATTGACCCATGAGATTCCAGTTAGCGGTACAGACGGCCATCCGGAAGACCCACATATGTTGGCGAACCTCGCGAAACGCTCTACAAGAAAATCGCTTAAGTAAGTTGATTTTGTCATTCCTACCGTTAAAAGTACTCATCAAATTTACCTTACTATAAACAAAACTTGCTGTAAATTTTAAGAAAACTTTATCTAGCGTATGAAATAACGATTTTCTTTTCGCCAAATTAAAGCTATGTTTCTTTTGTTTCAGGAACAACAAAAAGGTGATTACCGTTGCAATGTTGACGTAATAATCATTGTTATAATGTAAGCGTAAAAAACAAAGCTAAGAAAATTTATGTTACACGTATTAGAAACTCGTTTCAAATGTCCACTATGAATAGCAATTGGCATATGCTCACAAAATTATTTTTAAAAATATCGGCTTTTATGATTCAAAATTTAAATTTAATACAGTGGCGTACAATTTACAGTTAATGGTGTAACATACTATAGTAATAACTATAAACATGTTTCTTTGCCCTAGATAGTTGGTGTTGTAACATTGTTAGTATATGTTAAATGTGTTGTCTTAATAAAAATAATGTAACAATTGTTTCTCGTTTAGCTTAATTTATGTACGCCCTTCTTACAGTAGGCCTTACTGTAAAATATGGTAAAAACTACTAGGGGCCTAGGGGCCTAGGAGCCCAGACCCATAATAAGTCTGTATTCGTAGATTGTTGTATTGATATAAACTTTTTGTTTAAAATTTACAGGTTGTTGATGTTTAGGTAATTAATTCAGTGTAATACAATATTATCTGTAGACTTTGTTGACTTGATGTAAAATTATTATAACGATTATTATAGCACAGTAATATAATTGTAATGTAAAACTAGGGAATTTAATATTAAAATTGTTGTATTAGACACAGCACTCATCATGACTGAGACACTGACACATTAACATACAGTCATAACCATAATTAAAATTAACAATAAAAACATGTAAGCATTGTAAGCAGATATAAATGCATGGAAATAATACGGATTATACAGCATGTTTACAATATATAATACATATTTTTCGTCAAATATAAATATGGTAAGTATAAAATGTTTTATAGATTATGCACGAGCACAATGCATGTTATTACTTAGACACAATAGATGCGGATTCATGCTGTGTTTATTAATGATATTTTGTAAATATGGGACAGAATTATTTAGATATAATTTTCATAAGCATTTTGTTTATATTATCATGTGTGGAAATATAATAATACAACGTACCGTATAGGTCTTGGAGTTGCAAGATGTGGGATCTCATCATGCGTCAGTGGAATCACTAGATGAAGCCAGGTTACAAGCTCCTCACGTTTATCAAAACGGACATGGAAGGTCATCTAGTTTAAGGTGAGCCCTTAAAAATTTATTCTTTAAAAACTTAGTCCACTTTATTTTTGGTTTCACACAATTCTAATTACTTTATAGCATCATCGAAGAAGAAGAAATTGACTTAGAAGATATTTTAGTTACGAACGGTATGTTACCGAATAACTGTAAACGATGTGAAATTACTAACAAACTAATTCTGTCTACTAATTATTTATATTTTTTACCGTGCATGTAATTTGTTGAATGGATAATAATATGATTTCAATTAATAATTATTAATAAGCATGTTGCTCTATGAATATAGTCTACTAGGGTCACGTCTAATTACTGACTTCTAAACCGAATAAGGTTTTAAAAATTAGATAATTTTTATTCTAATATCGCTAACGATTGTACATAAATAACAGACGGTCTCCGAGTCCAAGAAGACGCGGACACTACGGAGGGTACCATCATGATATCGGCTTCTCCGATACAGTTAATAATGTCGTCGAGATAGTAAAACACGAACATCATAGACATGGTCGAACGCACAGAGCGGCACATCACTATCACCCACATGGTAAGTACAAACCCAATTATAATAATGATAAAATGCTGATATTTATAATTATGATAATGTAACAAACGATAAGAGTGAGTAAATTTGCTGGTATCCTTATAATCATTCATTATGATAAGTTATCCATCGATTTATGTTACTCTCAATATCGGCAGATTTATTACGGCTTCACGCATTGCATACAACGTGAAACTACCAACTCATTACATCAACATAAATATCAGGCCTTTTACAAGCTACTTTCTCGCATTCTACTATTTTTTCCTTTCATATTCATATAGTTTTCACGCATATTGTAAACTTTAAGCGTATTTTAACCCTTCATTTAGATTTAGTTTACATAACCAAAACAGTTTTGCAAACATTTTTCTTCTCATGAAGGTACTCTGAAAGTTTTGTGAGAAGATGGGAACCTTAGCTTTAAAGTAGTCGTAGAATTCCATATATCGTAGTTGTAGAAATAAGAATTTCAGCGAGCAGTGATATTGTGCTATGAGTAATTATATTAGACCGTAATAATTATAGATGAAAATTGTTTAACATAGCTTAATATACTATATAACCACAAAGCTAGATATGTAAAATATTGTTTTCATAGTGAAATTAGCTCTATTCAGTACAAAAATTGCTCATAAGTAAGCTCATTTGTTAATACGAGTGATGTCATTTTACTATCATCAGTTCACACTGTTTGAAAATTTTAGTCTTAAGTATATTTTTCAGTGAAATAAACATGGACATGAATTGTCTCTCTGTTTTCGAGGGACGATTGCTAGTTTACTAATCAATGAATAATATTGGCTGTATTGTTAATAATCTAATAAATAATTAATTAATATCAAAATTGTATTGCCTGCTGCATGCTATTATTACCAGTGCCCAGTTCGGTTGCACATTGCTTTACTCTGATTTTGTATAATGCCTGAAGCGCATGCGTTAAAATAAGGTTTACACATCATGCAGCATGCAAGAGCTTTTAAGAAGTTTGATCTTTTTAAATACTTACTTATTTTGTTTGTGTAAAAATTTAGCATGTAGAGTGATTCTTGTACATGACACTCAACGATTTATTCTTGTCCCACAAATAAACATTTTGGACATACAAATGATTCCAAACGGAGTAACATCCATCCTATGATATCCAAAATTCCATTCCCAATACTTTTTAAAACACCTTTGACAAACAATCCAAAACTTTGAGAGTCACCTTTGTGAGTAAAGAATAAGGTCGGTTATCCGACGGGCATAGGATAAAGCGTGGTGGAAGGTACATGAAGGTATTCCTGACAGCAGGGAAGGAGTGGAGAGCGCCGTATCCCACGACCAGCCTGAGCCAGCCCTCGCGATCGCCCAGCCCGCCACAAAACACCTACGGTGAGATCCACTCGCCACACACAAAGGACCAGACACTACACCTTACAATAATCGCAATTTGCTTTACGCAATAATTATAAGAAACCCTACTATAATAAACTGCAACAAAGAAATAAACCAGTTTAAGTAGCGTTTCTTCCAAAATACCTTATCATATCCAGCCACAGTCATTCTAACTTTGCAAAGCGGCACACGCAAATATACCCCATGATCTGACGATGTAATACTTCCTTGGTCTTTTATATCCGACATCCCGTTTTACGACGACAACAAAACCACCAATTTGTAAAGCAAAGAGTCCGAATTTGGATACAATAATTAGTAATCGCTAACAAACAATCCGACCCTTTGCTCATTTCGAAGATAGTTGTTTTAAACTTGGTATTTTCGATGTCTTTTAAAGCTGTGCATGTATTACATGTGGGGGACGCTTGCAAAAAATTATAAGGCGATATCCATAAGAAAATTGTTTGCACATCTGTTTATCCCGCCAACCTGATTTTCTTTACGGTATTCTTTCTTTCCTTTTATCATCTAATATTATTTCGATGATCTCGATATACTTTAATATATACGATTGCAAGGCAGTTCGTCTCAGCGTTGAACTATCAAATTATTCAAAGAACAGTTTGGTCATCGATAGGTGGTGATCGTGAGCGCGAGCGCGATCGAGAACGCGAATGGCGAGAGTGGCGTGAAGGAGGCAGGCGAGGCCGAGGTAGGCAGCTGCCGCCGACGCCGACCAAGCCGTCCACGTTGCATGTTAAACAGCAGCCGCCGTTCGCCAGAATAAGCCACAGCCCCTCGCACGTAAGTCTTCTTTCAGTTTCTTCAGTGGTGTTGCACGTAAATTTTAACGTTAGGAAGTTATCACTGACATAAATTTTCTTAAAAAATAGTTATCGTTGAGGCATACGGCCAGAGAGCCTTTAGAGCCTCTTCACGACGAGTACGAGTACGGCCGAGAAGTTGAAAGACTGATACACCGAGACTATAGATCTAGAGAAAGGTACGTTGCCTACGTTAATACTGATGCTTGTACGATCTGCTCAGTCCCCTCCCGGATTATAGTAACTCATATTATTTGTATGTTAGTCTCAATGAAACCGGGCGTGAGTTCGGCAGGCGCGGATGGGGTTATGAATCGGAGCGAGGCGGACGATCGTATGAGGCGCCGCTGAGCTACGAAGCGGCGCTGGCACTGGGGCGGGGTGGAGGCGCGCGTGCCCTCCCGTCGCCCGGGCCGGCGCCCCGCCTGCCTAACGGGTACAAGCCGCGAGCCCGGCACTCCGACTCGGACGAGGACGACTGGTGCTAGCGGCGCCGCCGCGCGCGCTCGCAGCGGGACGTGCGCGCGCCTGCGGCCCTGCCACCGCCGCACGCCCACACCGTCTGAGGCGCCGGGCCCACCAAGCCTCGCGACCTCCCGTGTCCTCCCGCGTGTGTCTAGTCAAAGACGTCTTTCGCCGCTCGCCGCCACGGACCGCCGCGATCGGCCCTCCGCGGCATGCGAGTGTCCGAATTCTAGTATTTACAAAGTTTTGGAAAATTTAATTTTTAATTCGCTAAAATTTTACTCCTTGATTTATATTAAGGTTAAGGTATTCGAGTTATAAAACAGTGCCAGGCAACTCGTTGCGCTAAGATTTTTACATAAAATGAAATTATTAGTCTGTATTGTAATGTAAACTTTCTATATTAAATTTGCACTTAATAAAGTCTACGTATATCGCCTGTTGAAACGATAGAGGTGGAGGAAGCCGTCTGTTCGCGACCAGCTTGCTCGGCCACTGAGCCGCGACCCCGCGCGCGGTCCAAGTCGCGAACCAGCACGGCTCCAGCCTCGCCGGCCTCGTTTCATGTTCAAGTTAGACTTTGGGAGATTTTAGCATTTCATCGTCGAACAAATAATTACTAGAAATGTATAAATATTTACATAGCAAATAATTTTTACTTAGTTAATATATACTAAATAATTAATTAAATTTTTTTATTGAATTTGCTGTCCTTCCCCCAAGTGCTTTATATCAAAGCTATTTACATTTAAATACAATTATCTAATAAATATGTATTGTATGTAAAATTTGAAGAAATATCTCTGCATAATATACTTAAATTGTTAAATCGTGTGTAGGCCAGTCAATAGGTACCATAGCGTTTTGTTACATTTGGCGATGAAGGTTGTCGAAATACTTTTAAGAGCGTACTGCCTGAATTACTTGCATTTCATCTATAGTGCCTGCGATATATGATAATATCTGATATTGTAATTAATTATTAAAAACCACACGAATCACTCACTTGACTAAACCAAATGTGACAAGATCATGCATTCTCTTGACTGGATTAATATTATTTATAGATTCTGTCGCCTGATTAATGAGAGCACTATGTTTGTTTAGATAATATATCAAATCGTTTTAATCATCCATAGACCAAATAAATTTAAAACTGTTTGAATTTTTAACATTTTAATAGAATATCCTCATTTAAATTTAATATCATACGAGTTAATACGCAGAATTAAAACGAAAGTATAGCTTAATGTTAAAATATCTATAAAATAATGTATCAATTCCTACTCCCATAGTGTTCACTGTGATTAAAGATTTTTGTATTTAAAATTCCGTAATAAATAATAAAATCGCGTAATATTATTGTATAGCTTACCACGAAGCTAGTTCATGTTACAAACATTTATATCTTACAACAATAAACAGACAGAAAAGAACATTGTGAATATGATCTGCATTGGTTTACAACTTTTATTTTCTCATTACTTTGCAATAATCAGATCAAGTAAAAAGAATATATGGTAACAAACAAGTGGTAAACCAATTCCGATAAGTTCGTCTATTAAAAAACTGTAACCTCGGAACGAGTTCGCATAGTCAATATTAAAATCGGTCGTTTAAAACTTTTTTATTAAAAAATCTTCGCCAATACTATATACGATGATTTGTTCATGAAGAAATATTAAACGGTGTTCACACAAGCAATGCAAACTCGTATGGAGGTTACAGATTCTTGGTACATTAAACTCATTGTCATAAACTTGTAAGCTAATAAACCTTGAATACGGAATGCGACACAAAAATATGTTAAAAACCATTTGTGAAGGCACTATTATGTAATTTTAACTGTGTACAAGATAATACAGTAAAATATAATTCAAATATTCGAGGGTTAAGCCATCCATCATTGTTGCGGGCATGCTTATAGGTGACGTACAAAACTTAAGTACGGCAAAATTGTAAATAGATGATTTTCTGTGATAACATTATAAGAACGATATTTATTATAGAACTGTGTGATTGCATAGGAAAGTTGTTTTCACAGGGACGCTGTGTTGAAAGAGTTTAATTGCAAATGTTTGGTTTAAGACATCGATTATGATATAATTTAAACTGTATAGGTCCACGGAGGTTTGCATGTCTTGTAACTTAATTCTTAATGAAACATATTGATTTCGTCTAGCAGTGCTCGTTGTTACAATTAAGTGAAGACAATATTGTGTTTTTTAAGCCCGACAATTTGCGCGTTCCAAGACGTTGTTTGCATCTTATTGATATAATACCAACGATAATGTATTCTTGAATACTCATTTTGATATTGGTATAGAGTAAAATGTACAAAGTATTTTTACCACTTGTTGTGCACAATAGAAAATTTATTTAAATAATTTTACAAGCAGTTCTTTTGTCTGTAATATCTCATAAATAAGTATTGCTTTTCTCAAATTATTGTATGTTATAAATGCAGAAGTGAATGCATTATAGATTATACCAAACATTTTTAATTTAGTTACATTCTGTTCTATATATTGTCCATGTTATATTTTATTGTAGAGATTTTACGACCAACTTATAATGTTCTAATATTTTTAAGATTTTGAAATTGTTATGATTGTTCTAACTTTAAGCTTTATTTTGGAAAATTGCATGTTTTAGATATCTTCTGTATGTTTCGTTAATTTAATTCCAATGTTGAATTTATGCTGTTATTATTCAGATTTTGTTTTTAAATCTTCGACAGATTCTACGTTAGTTACATATTGTTTTTAAGAATGCATATTACTGTAATTGTTAGTTATTTTTATTTACATATTAAATGACATGATGTTATAATGATAGTGCCGCTATTAAGACGATATAAGAAATACATTTGAATTGTTTTATTTTTAATATTTACGCGACGATGTTCGTATTTTATTAATATAATAACTGTTAACCTTGATCTCAGAGTCTTAGATATCTTCTTTGTAGTTTTATCATTTAAAAAGATTGAGCCGTAATTAATATTTATATTGTTATTGTATAGATGTATAAATATTACGTTTTATCATTTGTATTTGGGGTGTTAGGATACAATGAGCCGATGGACTTTCAATGACTGAGGGGTAGAGCGCAGAGTGCCTGCGCTAGCTGCTTTAGTGTGATCCTGCGTGAATACGTCTCATTCGTATATAAGACGTGTAAATATTGTAATATATAATGCGACCGTTGTGTAGAGGTCGCATGTGAAAATGTCTAGTGATATATACTAGTTAATATTAATGTTAGCTAGGTAATCTCGTCCCCAACTATCCTCGAATCTAAGTTGGGTGTTTCACTGCCTTAAATAATAACAAATCGTTGTGTGTAATAGTTATCTCGACTACTACATGTAAGGGCATTACAATATTCTTATAAGTTTTTTATCATTCAATAATTCGTCACTCTGGATTCATGTTATTTAGAAAATCCATGGTTAATTTTCCGTATAAAATGTATCGCAGGTCTTAAAATTATTCTTACAGTCATTTTCTCTTAACATCAATAACCATCACTTAAATGATGAATTTGTTGAATCGTTTTACTTGTAAATTGTTAATAAATAAATGTTTTAACTCATTTCGTTTTCGAGACAGCTAGATGGGCTAGGTTACTTTATATTTAATATGTAGGCGTATAGTTTGATGAATTTATTTGCTAGAGACGCATTTACATAAGGGGAGGAGCTGATAAGAATCGCTTCGGCTGATTTATCTGCTTAGTATTGTAACGATGTGATATAACGAGCTGAAAAAAGTGAGGGAATATTTCATATAGTCAACTCCCGGGTAATATAGTACGAGTGTAGCGTTGTTAGGCGAAATATTCCGTATAAAAACCATGACGATTAAAATTTTCAAAGCGAAGTGAGTTAACAGTTTTGTCGAATGTAACGTCTGCCTTGTGTCAGTGTAAACGCTTTAACAAGATCATGTTTTTTAAATGTAAATGAATCATAGAAAGTTCATCGGCAGTGAGAGAGCACCATAGAAATATTTTTTTTGTTTTTGGTATGAGCCAATTACATTGCAAGATAGTAATCCTATTGATATTGTACTAATAAAGAACCAAATTAAAAATTAGTATTTAAGTAATTTATTATCCTAAAAACTAAATACTATACGCATGTTTTCACTATACCTACTGGTAAATGGTTATGTACAATACGAAAGAGCTACTGTTTTATATATGAATTCTTGCTCGCCTGTAAAATTTTGCAGAATGAATCATATTATAAGATTGTACAATATGAATAAATGCAAAAAAGACATTTCCTCGACGATTATTGATATTTTATTTATTTATTAAAGTTTCTCACTAACATTCAATACAAATAAGCATGTGTTGTGTTTTACACGAGACTGTGTGATATTTTAATATCACAATTCATTACAACATACATTTTAATGAAATTCTGTTAAATGTACATTAGGGTGGAGCACAAATGTATGGCGAAAATTTTTTTTTATATTTAGGTTTCTAAGTGTAAGGGATTTATGCCATATATAAAAACATAAAAGTATGCCAATTTTCATAAAAATTGAAAATGGTTTTCTACCTCCGAAACAGCATTTAAAATTTTGAAATTCTTGAAAATACTACTCCTTTTCTCATATCTATATTTAGTAGAAATTAAAGGTAAATAGGCGAAAACAAATACACAATGTAGTGATCACAGAAGTAATAATGTAATGAATGCAAAAAAATTTAAGTTACATAAAAAACATACATTTTGAAACACCTTTAATTTGGCTTAAAATGACGTTTTGTATAGAATTTAGGCATTTTGTCTCTTGATTCCAATTTTGCCCTTATGGCACCTAGTCGCGATTTTTTAGTACATTGCGAAATAGCTGCTTCTGTTGTAACCTTCACGGCTCGTTCTACTGCCTGCGTATGACACGGAAGACGCAAAAATGTTATCTGAATCTCACCACCAGACTGAACAACAATATTAAATATTGTCTGTGTTGACAACGTTTTAAGAAGTGGTGGTTCAGTTATCTCTTTTTGCCAGTCTATCATGTCGACATAGTTAGAAGCATTAAAATTAATTTTTGGTACATCAAAAAGCCTTAGACCATGTACGGTAGTGCTACGAGCCTTTAAAATACGCCGGGCAGCCAGCTCACGAATGTGTTTTCGTTCATCAGCTATCATAGCTAATAACACATTTTTAGCATGTGCGAAATAACCATTCCTTTGAATTACAGTATCTACTGTGGATTTCAAATTGTCTAGCAAGTACCGTGACTTTCTTCCATCAAAGTATAGTGCAGAAATATCTCTGAGGCCTACCTGTTTCACTAACTCCTGTCTGGTCTTGTTTCTTTCTCTTCGTAACTTACTTCTGTCTTTAACTTCTACCTCGGACCCAATGTCATGTAATACTGATGACACAATCGCAGCAGCAGCCCTGTCAGATACTCCGTATCTATCACATGTTTTTGATACAGTAGGTAAAATAATGCACGACACTTTTTTCCTTTTCCTTACAGGAATGACAGTTTTAGTATTTCTAGCAGATGATTCGTTTATTGTAAGCTCATCGCTATTGGAAGAAAGTGAAGAGGTGCTGACGTCTAAATTAAAAGGCAACGTACTTACACTAGAAGAGTTATTGGAGCAAAGTTTTCGTTTTAACTTCCGTTCCTGATTTATTAGATTTTTTTTGGTAGTGACAACATCAACTCTGCCAATTATCATTTTACGAGCTGTCCTTTGATCAAATAAAAAGGCTTATTCCTGTTTTGGGACCTTTTTTACTCTAGGACAGGTGCAATAGTTAAAATCCTTGCATTTGCAAGCCGATATATCAAAAAGTAACTTTTTATTTTGTATAAAACTTTCCATCGTTTGCTGAGCATTTTTTGCTATCGACTTCAAAAGATTTTTTCGTTTCTCGTGATACGCTTTTAACATCTGAACAATCCTGGTACTGGTAACTATTAGCAAAGATGCCGCTTGCCATATTATACTTTCGATTTCTGGTACGACTTTATCAGCAATTTCTGAAAATCTGGACTCTTTTTTGCTTGTCTTCATAATGTGCCGCGTCCATTCGTAATGTTTGACAACATCTTCGTAAGTTGGTAACACGTTTTTCTTTAACTCACAACATTCACCAAATATTGGGCATTTAGAAGCACTAGCACTGTTTTTTCCATGTTTATCAACAAATAATATTTTTAGGTTATGTTGTTAAGATAAGCACTGCCTTAGTCTATGCGCGTAGTAATTAACTGATTGGCACCGCTCCCTTTCCGTGTTGTTACTATTATACGTTGTTTTTATATTTTATTATTATAAAAGAGTATATTAGCAATATATTAAGATAATTAAGAGATAAAATATATGAATACTAGCTTTCCGCCCGCAGCTTCGCCGCGTGGAGTTCGGTTATATCGCGTTTCCAAGAGAACCTTTCAAAAGTCTGGGATAAAAACTATCCTATGTTCTTTCTCAAGGTCAACTCTATCTCTGTACCGAATTTCATTAAAATCAGTTCAGTGGTTTAGGCGTGAAAGCGTAGCAGACAGACAGACAGACAGACAGACAGACAGACAGACAGAGTTACTTTCGCATTTATAATATTAGTAGGGATGTAATGTAAATATAATTTCATCAACTCCTGTTTAAAATCCACTTTTTATAAAAGTTTAAAGACCTTTCGGAGGTACTTATACTTTTCTTTTTAAAATAATATTTTACTGGTGCATGTTTGAGCGTATAAAGCATAAACTTTTGCTACTTAGAATTACGAAATGTAAAAAAAAATTTTTCGCTCCACCCTAATGTACATTGAATAATATTCCCATTGATTAGACTTTTATTAAAATGAATTTTATTGAAATCACTTTTGAGACTTAAATAAATGTTTAGCTTAGTTTGTGGATGCTAACAAAAACACATACAAAAGAAAAAAAATAAAAAAAACAATAATTTATTAAATCTCAATTTATTTACAGTTTGGCCGAGACTTTGTTAATCGTTAATCAAACTTATAATTTGGTCCAAATATCTGCAATATTATGAACATATTTGGAGTAGAATGGACTTCCTATCAAAATTATAGGTTCTTATCACTCATTTGTTATCAGTTATCAGAATCCATAGCATCAGTGTCCAAAGAACTGACGTCGGCGTCTACATCACTCGTCACAACTGCTGGATTCATAAAACTCCTTGTATTTGTACTCGTTCGAATCAGACCGCCATTTCTATTATCTGCAATGACATTTTTACCTCTTTATTTGCTTCCCCAAAAATTTCCAGCAATTTTTTTTATTAGATACAAATATAGCTAATAAAGTGAGTAAGGAAAAGATCCAAATCTATACAACCTAAAGCTTAAACAAAAGGAAGCTTTACGCGAAATATATCTTCATTAGTAGACTTTGTTAATAATTAGATTCACTCACTTTCCGGGAGTTGCACAGAGACACTTATCGCTTCATTTTCTGCGTTTGTTGTTGGACCCACCATCGAGCCGAATACTGATTGTGCAGTAAACGCTGAAGAGTCGACTAGAACGGCCTAGAAATAAATAAAATCTTTAGAAAAATACAAAATGAAAAATCGATCAAGCTACCCTATTGAAAAATTCCAAAAGAAAATTCAGAACTAAAATTAATCGCTTCAAAATCTTACATTCTGATATCAAATCACTCTTACCACTTCGCTCTGTGGCCCTGAAGAAGTAGGTGTCGAGCTCAAAGAACTTCCCCTTCCAGAACTATCTTGTGAATGATCACTGTGGATCCCTCGACCATCCCCCGCTCCCGCCCCCAGACCCACTCCGGGTTCAACGTTACCATTTATTTCAAAATCTGGACCAGTCAGCGGCACCATTACCGGTAAAGTATCTTCAGCCTCCGATTCTTCTATCTAAAATAATGACTTTACCGTTATTAACACCCTGCTCTTTTAAATTGATTTTTTTTATCGTATACCCAGGATGATGAAGCACTCTCTTTGAAATTCACAATTACCTATTTATTCCATTTAAAGTTAAATATTTATTTCATTTACTTTAAAAATTTATTATTGCTTATATGAATTAAACCTTGAAATTAATGTTGATAGCGAATTTAAAAGAAAAAATTGTATATTCTCTTTATATCACCAGAGTAATATTTGTATTAGAAACTAGATACAAGTACTTAGAAGTGGAACCTAACCGATTGCTGATGACTAATAATATTGAAAAGCCAATTAGGGACATCTGCTTCATCATCGTATAGGCATGACTCGTACGTGTCAGAGGATCGACCGGATACAAATAATTCTTCTGATGCCTACAAAAATATTACAATATTTTTATAATCTGTTTAGTCAATCAAACGTAAACATCTTACAAACCGTTTGTCTCGCTGATTCTAAGGTTAGACTCCCAGTTTCAGAATCGACTAAGTTAACGTGATCAGGTTGATCGCCTGTGAGTGATTCTAGGTTCACTGAAAAGCCACTGAATGCTTGAACCGCTAAAACACCAGCCGAACTCTAAAAAAATATATAAGCCTCTTGTATTTTTCATAATTTTTAATTATATAAAATACATAATTATTAGATTGCAGTTAACTTACTGGAACAATATTTGGATCCTTTCTTTCAAAAATATCTTGTACGGAATTTGTATTGACCGTCTCAAGTTCATTGTCAGCTAAATAGAATTCGGAAAACTTTGGAGTGGATATCGATGCCATAGATTTAAAAGAAGGCAAATCTGATTCTACGTCTGGCTGAATAAAAACCGTGTTCTCCGTTGAATCTATATTATTTGCTATAACAGGGTTTTCCGTTACATTACTTTTATTGTCTGCATCATTTTCAAATTTGAAAATGCCTTCATTAATAGGTACTGTTTTAACACTAGCGAGAGATGATATTTCATCAAAATTCATAGAGTCTAAATCATCTCGACTTATGATAACCGTTTCAGAATCTGATAAAGGGCCATCATTGTCATTAGTTTCAAATTTACTAATGTTCCCTTCGACCAATTTTCTTATAGCAGATAGAATACTACTTTTTGTTTGATGAACAGGCTTACTGCAAACATCAGAAATGTGTGTTTTATTTGTTTCGATTTGTATATTGCCAGGACGGTTAGTTGTTTCGATTGATCCGATGGGGTATAGTTGAGGGGGTACAGACAAGTCATCCATATCTGTTAATTGGTGATTCAATGGATATTCCTGTACTGAATTTTCATTACATGACTTTTTTGTAGATACCGATGGTATAGCGGTACTAAACTTTTGGACATCTGGAGATTTTATAGACATATACTTGAAAGCTTTGTTCGAATGCGACTTCATTTTAGAATTAGCGGCGACTGGCACCAAATTCGATGCATCGTTAGTCACCTGAGCCATGTATATACTCTTTGTTCTATTAACAAATACCTTTTTTGAATTCTTTTCATTATCCTTCAAACAAATGGTATTCCGTGAAGATTCTGGTAAATTTTCCTTATTATCACTTAGGGGAATAATATTTGAAGATTTTTTGTTTGTTTTAACTCTTCTAGTATACTTTTTATTTTTCACGGTTCTGGTTTCTGTTTCTAGGTTTCCAGAGTTGCTTCTATCGGATGAAGTAGCATTTTTACGGTTGCATACGGATTTAGTTCTTGTTGACGCAGCCCGAACTGTGGCTACACTATTAGGCGATGAACATGTCGAACTATTTGGAGATGCTGAACTAAGGCGCTTTGTAGAATCATTTCTGATCAATTCAAATGAAGGTGAATTCGTACTAATGTTTTTATTAGTCTCAATATCGTTTCGAAATACAATATAATTTAGATTAGTATGTGGCGATTCAGGTATTAAAAGCAAATCTTTTGTAAACTCTTGTACATGTGCAGCATTGCGCACTATATTTATATCTAAGTTAAGTTTCGGTCCTACATCTTTGGAATCTATTGCTTCAGATTGTTTTTTTAACAAAGATGAATTAAGTCTTTTTCTCAAATAAAGTGGGAGGTAATTCTTCCTAGTGGTTTTTTGTCTTTCTGCATTAACATTACGTTTAGGAGTTGATGACGAAAATGGTTGCTTAGAAGAGTAAAAATTCTTCGTGTTTTTAGCGACAGTAGAGCTAAAAACAGATAGTATTCAGAGAAAATGAGATTAAAATTTTAATTACTTTTTAAGAAAAAAAATATTTGACATTACCTCGTCGTGATTTTTGATGCAACCTTAAAATAAAATAACGTAAGAATAAGTATATAATGAGTCTTATCATAGAAATAAGACAAATTACATAAATAATACCTTTGTTACATTTTTATTTGTTTTCATTAAATTTGTGGACTGAAGATTGCCTGCGACAGTTTTATTTGAATAATATTTTTTGGCACCTTCTTTGGGGCTTCTTACTGCTATAGTTTTGCTTAAAACCTTATTTTCCTTTTTATTTGTATCCTTTAAGGTGGGGTTGTCTTTCACATTTACACTTCTTTTCCTTGTTTTTTTAACAAATGTAGCATTAGGATTCTTTTTAGCCAATGTTTTAAGTTTCGAGCGCTGCCATTCCCCTTGGTATACAAGATCTTCCGAAGCGATGCGATCCTTGTAACTGTGTACATGTACACCACCACAACTTAATTTTGGTCTTATATATCTTGTTTTCGGTAGATTTTTATCTTCACCTGGTGATTGTATAAGTAAATCACTGGTATGTCGCGATAATTCACTTAATCGTGTATGTGATTTAGTTAAACTTCCTACGCTTTCAAAAACATGCGAACTACACTCATCTGTTACAGATAAACTTGCGCTTTTCAGTGGTTTAGGATCCATGACGTTTTGGGTGGGTGAAATGACGGCTTCCCTGTTATTAAGCTCTTCAGTCATCGTGGCACTCTCATTTTTGCAAATATTAATATCTGAATCTTTTATCTTTATACCTATTGATTTTTTAGTATTAATTATACTTTGGCAGGTTTCAGTACATGTACCGAAATCATAAGTAACTTTATTTTTTGGTATATCTACACACGAGTCTCCAATTTTTATCCCTGTTGTGTAAAGTTTAGACATTTTAGTAAAAGATGTAGACGCCGATAACATCATGTTTGTTATTGAAACATCGGGACCACATTGCACGTCCGTGCTCAGATGTCTAACCCCTTTTGATGTACTGGGTTCGTTTATATCTAAAAAATAACATTGTAATGTATACAACATATAATAATGATAATAACACACAATCGTAAAATTTTACCTACCGTTTAAAAATATTGTATTTGGATCTAAATTTTCCAAGTCTGTCTCAATCTTTGTATAATAGAAACTATTATCTCTCGTTACATTCATTAAGGAATCCAAAAGTATTTCATTCTCAAAATATAGCATATCAGAATCGGGATCCGTGCCTATATTTCGTTGCAAAGCAACTGTTTCCTCGCCTTGTTCTGAAACTATATTGAGAAATACGCATATTTCAGTATTGGCTATGTTGTTATCTATAACATTTCCATAGCTAGCCGTAGTATCTCGTAAAACGTCAGAATTTAATTCTTCCCAGTTCTTTGTCTTCTCAAACTCTAAATTACAATTTTCTGCAGGACTGTCCGGAATCTGAAAACCATGTTATTTGATAGTGCATTAAAAGTATCTAAAACAACAAAAAAAATTGGTTATTATTAACTTGATCGGATATTATGGAGCGAGGAATCTGAGGTTCATGTGGCTTTCTTTTCTCTTTGGCCTTATTACGATTGTATTCTTCTTTTTGGCGTTTTAGGCTATTGCTCTTCGACTTCTTATTAAGTTTCTTGACTTTAGATTTGCTCGGTATATTCCTACTGAACATGTTATAACTGTTTTTGAATAGCTTTTCAGGTAACACTTTATTTTGAGAAGCAACAGTCAATTTTAGACAGGAATTACTATTTATGTTGTTTAGGTATTTGAATACAGCGTTAGTTTTTATTCTGTCAAATTTAGTAGTATTTGTGAAGACCAAATTATTTTCATCTGAACTGATAACATCTGAAACATCTGTGTGACTCGTGTATGGAACTAAATCCAGATTACTTGAATCCCAATCAGATAGTTCAATTTTATTTCCAGCCATATTTTGGAATGGATGAACTGGAACGATTTGATTATCAGCATCAAGAGTGACGTCATGAGCTGTAAATAAAGAAGTTATAAAGCCACTGTCATACAATTTCATTTTCCTGTAAATAGTAGATTCACCTTTAAACTCGTTGCTTGTAATATCATCGAAGTCAGAATCTTCAAACTGGTAGTGTAATTCTTGGTACTGAATATCATCTAACCCAGTTAAATCTTCTAAAATAATAAAAGGACTTGAAATTATAACTTGAGCGGTATGGGAATAATATGTTGATATATTGGCCAAGAATGCTTTTTGGTAAATTTTCAGTCTAATCTACGGCTTCTGTTTTACGTAAATTCCAAAGGTAACAAGAAGTTTTGTCAACAACAAAAAAAATCTTTTTGGCAAGATTTAGTTTCAAAAAACTTACCTAACGAGGGTACCAATTGGTAATATTTAGATACAATATTTTGCCTGTAACGATAAAAATAAATATAATAAAAAAATTGAGCACATATATTATCATATTAGAAAACTTACGCAGTTTGATCCTCTTGTTTTATTTTATTGAGGTTATGTATTAAATCTTTATCTTCTTTGCCTAGTAGAGAAAAACTCTTTATAGCATATGAAACATAAATAAAATAAAATAAAAATAACTATCATTCTTACAATACTCAATAGCTTTAATAGAAAAGTTGTTCAGCATGTGGCACCTCCTTTTCTCTATAGCTTTTTCAGTGAGAGTAAGAAGACCAAACAGTTTGTATTGCAACCAGATAACAGAAGGAGGGCGTCGATGTTTATTTCTCGAATTTAATGCGAGCTTCATCAAACGACATACAACCTTATCCAATTCAGATGTAATATCTTCATCAGCAATAAACATTGACCTTAGTTTCAATACTTTGCGGTCAATAGCGCGGTGGAGGCTACGATCTGAAGATTTAAATTTTTGCTCATAATTTCATTTACAATGTGTTTGAAAAACATATTTAATAATCTATAATTTAAAAAAATATATACCGTAGATATCTCGTACTATAGCGTTACATTCTGAATTTATCGATAAATGGGCATCCGTGGTATTCCACTGAAAAGAAAAATTGCAATAAACTAATCAGTAGCGTTTCTTGATCTTAGCAAATCCGAAGTATCCATATATAAAATGTACTTATCACATCATAATTATTATGGGCTTTTAGTGATCAAAGTTTGCCATATTTTTAAAAAATGTATAATTATATCTTTAATGAATTTGAATGAAAGTTGTCGTGTACTTTTCACTTTTGGCTCATTACTCATAAATACATTAATACGTAATTGTAGGTTTTTTATGAGAGTGCATTAATGTAACATGGTAAGAAGGTTGGTGACGATAATAATCTGATGTCCTAATTGTCCTTTTGAATGTCATAAAAAGTTAAATTTAAAAAATATATTTTTGACACAATCTTATAGAAACCAATTAGCTAAGAGAATGTTAAAAAATCTTAACCAAAGCCTAAGGAACAAAGCACTTTAAGACTCTAAATACATTTTATTCATTTTTTGCTGAACCTTGTTTAAAATATGGTTTATCTATAGTAAACTTTTCGATCTGTCCATTAGTTAATAACTTTTTTTAACATACAAATAAGAAGAAACTACCATCAAAAATGTTGCATTTGCATTTCTTGTCTAATTTAAATTCAATAAACCTTCAAATTCTTATGAACCGTGTCACATTCCGAATCAAAAATATTATATGTTTACTCGTATTTTTGACTTAATGAAACAAAAACTATTGATCTCGTTTTAATAAAACTTATATGATGCACCACTCTAAAATCTACATGTCATCTCAACATACAATTTAAGTTATATTAATATTCTTTGATTTATTATAAATTCTGGTACTATAGGGAAAAATGTCTGAAACCACTAAAGGTATGGGTTCTGAGTGAAAGATAAAAATCTTTAAACATTCATTTCATTCATTCATTCTAAAAATTTAATTGTTACTCCATTGTATAATATAAAGTGCAAAAGGTTCAAATTATGTTTACTATAAGTTTGTCTACTTCCATTTATTAGAGTAAACAGTAAGGTTACTAGAACGTTCCTTCAGATTTCAATATCAGACATTTATAGATCAATATTAATATGTAGCAAATTATGAGATTCAACTGAGTTAAATGTATTAGTGAAGTCTAGAACAACTAGTATGGCTAGTTCCCTGTTGTCAATAGCCTTCGAATTATTAAGAACTGGTAATAGTGATAAAGGAAAGGGGCATAGACATAGTTTTGTTCTGGGATGTTGAAGTAGAGTAAGTAGTGTATGTAACATGATAAACATAGATAAATATTGAAGTCCAGGTAGTGTTACTAGTAGATAGTAGTTTAAGGACGAATTTATTGATTTATTATCTGTAGACATTATTAATAACATTCTTACCTTTATGAAGCTATAATCCACAAACATGTAAAAGATTATGAAAAGCGATAAGACCTAAATTAGGGTATAAATGAGAAAAAAATAACAACAATATGAAAAGTTTATTCTAAATAAATGTTTTATATGAGCAATATTAAAACGAAGCAAAACACTAATAAAGTTTACGTTCATAAAATAGTATTCAAGAGATATTAAAATGAAACAAAAACACTACACTTATATGCTAATTGAATAAGAGCGAAAAACAAAACAATATTTAATATATAACATAGTAAGAAACTAAAGTATAATTAATCAGACTTTTATATTCTGGCAACCCTAATAGACTATACAATGACAAATGAAACTACATAATAAAATGAGTTACATCATGTACATCTTCGGTCCAGTCATTGTCAGTGTCAGTGTCTATGGAGATATTATCTATGTCTAGACGAGGGTGAACCAGCACGTCGTCTTTTATCTCGTATCCATTCCATTCCAATAACTCCCTGGAATTACAGAGCACTAAAGCACACAGAGAGAACAATTTAACATATAGAAACTACGATCATATATGATAACTAAGACAATAGGCATCACATCTCACATCCCGGCAAGTAAATAAAAAACTCGTCGAATTTTAATGCCGTTTAAGCGAAACTCAAATCGTCGGAGATGGTTCAAAACCGCTTAACTAGCATTGGATAATTATTTAGTGTTTAATTTATTAGTAATTGTGAAAAAAATATTTTGAAAGTCGTTAATTTATAAAATATTTCAGCTTAAACTTTCTTCTGATAATCTGCTTCTGATGTAGATAAGCGGAATTATCCAATGCTAGTTACGCGGTTGTGCACTTTTACCGAAGAAATGATTTACTTAATGTAAATAAATCACACTTGACCAAGTGCATGAAGCTGAAAGAAGAAAATAAAGCAAATTTTTGTTAATGTTTGTTATTCTTTTATCAGCTTTCTTACTAAAATACTTGTCAGACAACCCTCGTGTTACGCGGTTGAATATATCAATGCTTAAAATTTTCATTCATCTATTCGAATTAGATTTAAAGTAAAAACAATTGGAAGACGATTTTCCTGTGGTTACAGGTTGGAATTCTGTTCTTGTCGATAAATTTGTTATTCTAAACTTACAAATTTTCATTTAAATTTAAATATTCGCTTAAAATTCTGCAATGTTAGTAATATAATAGCCCCAGCTATTCTACTTTCTTTTAAGTAAGATACCTCTGTTTTACTCTATATATGTAATTCCCTCACTAGTAAACCATAGACAAACTTACTTGACTTTATCGACATCACTAGTAATGTGTCTCACAGTATCCATAAGATATGTGACCGGTATTTCCAACTTGTTACCATCAACCAGGTAAGTACTGTCAATTTCGTCTAAAAGACAGTCTATTTTCTCACTTATCACATCTAATATACGGCAGTCGTCAGATTTCGTCTGTAAAATATAAATTTTCATATAAAAATTCTAATGGCAACATCGTTTTTTATGACAAAATAAAAGATAATAATTAATTGCATAAATTTTAACATTATTTTGTTTTTTCCTATGCCTAACCATAAACTAGTTATATTGACTTATTTAAATCAAGAAGTAAATTTTAGATATATAATACAAAAATTAAAAATAATAACTCATACTCACTTCGTAAGGATAATCATATTCCCTGATGACTTTGTAATACTGATTCCAGTATGGCGCATTTTCCCCCCAATTTATGTTACACCATGAATGATTTTCGAGTCCATTTTTGGAATCTTTGTTGAAATTAAGCATTTTCGTTATATATTTTATTTCATCAATCACTTCGCTTGTGTGGCACAAAGCATCGGTTTTATTTTTAATAAGTAAATTTTGTGTTTCCTTGGAGAACTTCTTCACTTGTAATGTACTGCAATTTAACCTGGAAATAAGGGCCCATTTATTAGAACTTATTATATATTACTTATTTCTGTAGTATGTAGGAATGTACGTATGTAACATTTGGTTCAACGCAATTTGTTGTTGTTTATTAAGAAATAATATTTGTAGAATATATTAATCGAATGTATAGAAATTTATGCAATGTCTTGTGGCTGTAAAGATAAGAATCAGTATGAACCTAAAACAAAATTAGTACTACCAATGGAAGTTTTAAACAATGGTATTAATAGTGAATTTGTTTACAATTTTTATCATGTTTCGATGGCATACAAATATTGAGTGAAGTTACAGAAAAATATTAAAGACCTGCAAGCAACATCTTCAATTTCATAGACTTGAATCTGTCTTTGTCTACTTGGAAGACGGATATCATAGTATGTGTCATCATCAAACATAAGAAAATTCTTTCCAAATTCAATGTCTAAGTTACATTGAGATGTCTTATCTTCATACTCAATAGATTCACAGGAGAATGAGGGAGAGGTCAGAACAAGTGTCATACAGGAATGACGGTCAAGGAGCTCGGTAAAGGAATTAATACTGGAAAGGATAATATTATAAGGGATATGGAGTTATTAATACAAATAGTAATCCAATTATTATAATAATGGTACATAATGAGATTTGAGATTTACGGGAGTCTTATTCATTTAAATGAAACCATTTTTTCAACCAAAAGTAGCCGAAACGTCGGGAGTATGTAGTTTTTATCAAAAATAAAGTTGTGTAGTATATTCGCTAAATATTAGTTGCATTTAAATTAATTATTATAGTTACACTTTTTTTCAAATACATTTATACAATAACATATTAAGCATATCTTTAAATTAAATACTGCTTATTTGTTAAAAACCTTTCTTATAATAATTCTAGTACGGAGAAATAATAAAAATACATACTTATCTTCTAAACACAGCATGCTAGTATCAAAATCATCAGAGGAATTACAACTGAATATCATGTCACTCACAGCACTCTGAGTTGGTAACTCTGAAGAGTAAGAATAAAGAAATATTTCACCATAACTTCAATATTATAATGTAAGAATTTGTATAGAATGATCCATTTTGTTTTATTAATGGAATTACACAACACTCAAGCACACATACGGAACAATTTGACTCATTTTTGAAAGTTATTGTAGTTACAAAAACTATGATTATGTATAAGAGTCAAAAATGTGTAAAGACACTCGAAAATATATATATAATACATACATATATATACACCACTTCTTCTACCTGGCAATTTCCCAGCTATAGCCAGGGTATGCCTTACATGTTGTGAATAGTTTTGGCTATTTGTTTTTATGACCGGCCGCCTGCCTGACATCAACCCTCTTTTGGGAATCAACATTAATCAGTGTATGATGTCTAAATATGATTATAAAGTACATATGGCTAGGCCACCACTGACTCAACATATATACACCACTATAAGCACTTAATATACTTATAAATTTTCGTAATTGACAAGTATATAATCCTTACTTGGTACAAGAGCCAAGCTATTGACGTCCAAATCATCTTGTTTGTGATAGCTCTTAGCCATAAACATTGCTAGTTGGCTGCAACATCCTATGTGTGAGGTCCCAGGTGGTCCCGGACCTATGCCCTTAGTGGTGACAGTATATTGAGGGTAACGTAATACTATGTTACTGCACCTATAAAACAATAAAGAAACCATTGCTTTTAAAATAAACAAAATAAATACATATATATATGAATACTTTTTCATTCCATAGCATATAAATATATTAAGCGAATTGATTGATCAAATTTTTCTATTTATGTGGCTTTGTATGTGATAAAAGCAAAATCCTATTGTAAATATGATTAAGATGTCGTAATAAATAACAGTTTTCGTTATATAAGAGTTTTTTTTTAACAGCATTAATTAAATTATAATTGTGAACCGTTAAATATTATGATTAATTACGACATAAGTAAAGTTAAGGAAATCTATTTGTGCCTTAAAAAATAGCTTTTGGAAAACAGGCAGACAGAGTATGTGTTATATTTACCAATCATGAAACTGTTCTTTACTCCACTCAAAGAAATGATCAGTTCTCCTCAAGCCATTATCCTCCAAGGCTTTAAAAAGAACATTGAAATCACCATTGGGTGTTGTAAATATTGCAACTTGAGGTTTAATGAAGCCAAATACTGTGTGGATTAATCTTTCCAGATCATGTGGGAGCATGTGTTCTATCATCTCGATGGCTACTACAGCGTCACAGCCTATCAACCTGAAATCTGGATCGGCGGCATTCCCTTGAAATAACTGGAATGAGAAAATTATTACACTTAATGCTATTTCAAAATAAATAAATTACGAAAGATATACAGCAACTGAAATAAAGACACAATTTTTGTCTGAATAATATATTATTTTTATACTATAGTCAAATAATATGTTACCGTAATCTTCAATGGATTATCCCTCTTTGTTATGTTAATTTTAGATTCCAGAAGTTCTGAGGAGCAACGGAGAGTTGTTGGGTCTATATCAACACCCATGATATGCTTAATTCCAGGCATATCTATAAGATACTTTATGAAACTCATGTCATGATATCCAATATCTACAACCTAAAATTTTTGAGCAAAATAAATGAAAGAGCACAAAATAATTCATAAATAATAATGTGTGCTCAAAAAACTGTTGTCTGAAGGTCTTCTCAGTTATTTGTTAAGTTATTTCACTTAATAGTATTACCTTTTCTAGCTTTCCCCTCCATCTTTCGTCCATGAGACAGTCGCTGACCGCTGCATACCTCTGAATGTACACAGGCGGATAGAACACAACACCTTTTTCTTCATCGTACTCTGAAAATACGTGGTCATCGGAATCTTCATCATCTGAACTATCATTTCCTTTAATTTGCAATTTTAACTTCGAATAGTATGGCCTTAAAAAACGGTTAATCAAGGCGATAAGTGATTCCCGAAAAAATATCAAAGTTTGCAAAGCAATTATCATTGTTCGGAAGTCGCTGGGAAAACTAAATATTTGAAAATTAAGACATTAATATCCTCATATTTTAACCGATACTATCATGATGTTCACATGTTTACTGTTATTGTTTTGTTTTTATTTGCCACTCTATGTCAACTGTCATGTGCCAACAATATGTGAAAGTTATATACTACATACAAAATTTAAGGAACCATAAAATTAAATAAAATGAAATTTTGTTTTTTATTATATAAATTTATATGTCATTCTACATATCGTTCATATTTTTTTTTAAAAGAATACTTCGTGTTATTCCAAACCTCATTTAAATTAAAACTCATGTTATAAAAAAATGATTTAAGTTCTTCATTTATTTATGACATAGGGCAACACCAAAATATTTTAAACTTTTAAAATTAAAATAGTGTCGAGGAGACACTTGAATCTTAAAAATAATAATTTTACATAATTTCATTTACATAATTCTAAACTTTACGAAATAGTAATTATAACAAACAAATTACTACTTTTTTCATTATCAGCTTTCTTTAGAGACCGTAAATCAAACCGAAAAGTTCCACGAACGCCTTTAAAATATTTAGATACAATTATTTTGCAAATATCAATTCTATTTTCGATTAATCTTTAATTAACATTTAAAAATTATTGAACAAATGAAGAATAATCTTCTCAATTATATTAATTTACACATTATTGATGTAAATTTTTACTGAATATTTTAATCATAAGGCCAATAATATATGTATATAGTAAACAAATAGTTTTTTTTTAAATCGCTAATAAGTAGGAACATTATTTATTCCGCATCCGCATTCCTTGTTTAAAAAGTATTTTTCTTAATACTCAGGAATATACAGCCTAGTAAGGCTGTAACTTGATAACTGAGATTTAATTCCCATAATATGAAGTTTAAAACAAATAATTACAAAAAGGTTCAATGACCACAAGTGAAACATTATACTTCTCCTTAATCTATTGTTATAAATAGCTTTCTAAAATAAATGTATAGCAAATTATTTTAAATCTCGTATTACATTTATGTATATTTCTTTAAAATACCTGTTTCCGTATTCTGTTGCCAACAGTGGGATGTTTAGAGCATTTTAATGTTTTATATATATTTGTGATACAAAATGTCACCTCGCCGTGATATGCACAAAAACTAGTTATATAGCTACAATACTTGATAGATTATAGACAAGTCTGACAATTCGACAATACACACTTTCACTTCTGCTTATCAAAGGAAATAAATTAACAACAGTTCCGCATACTATTTAAATTGTCATATTTTATCTGTAGACTGAATGACTTAAGTCATGATGTTATTTTTTTTTATGAACAGTCATCTCAAACGCTTATTGGTAGATTTATAATAATTTCTATTTTTTATATATTATATGGACATTTTTAAATCTGTTTTGAAATATGTATTAACTTTTAATCATACCCGTACCGGTAAACCTTGAAGTTAAAGATGTTCCAGCGACCGACCTTGAAAGTTCAACTTTCTAATTGACTGAAAAGAATATCAATTAACTACTCTATGGGATATTGATTTTAAAAGAGATTCTATATTTACTCTTTATTTATTGGTTTCATATGGAGATGGATTTTTATCATTATGAGATATGGGAAGCAAAAAACAGAGTACAGCAGACCTTCATTGAGCACAAAAATATTATGGTCATTTTACTTTCAACATATTCAATACTTTAAATGTATAACATTTCATTTCGGCGAAGAAATTTCATAACGGCCTTCGTCGGCCCCGTAAGGTTTCGTGTGACGTCACACTTAGCTGTATAATTCAATTAGCTCAAATTATTATTGACAAAAATTTAAGGAATCTCAACATAATATAAGCCTCTCTTACATATTTTTCAATACATTATGGAAAAAAATATTTCCATACACAAAAAAAATATTTTACAATTTCTTAAAGTTATAAATGTAATAGGCATGTGGTTTTACGTAAGAAATTGCGGAAGCTGGAAACTAATGCCTTTTTCACACTCTGTTAAAGATTTCGACATATTTTTTTTGTTTTAATATATATAGGTCAAGATTGAATTCTCATATTATCTGTCATTTTAGGTAACATGCTGACACCGTAATGTTTTTTTTTAATATATTTCACGATATTGTCTCCTTAAAGTATTTATTATCGTTATATTCGAAAATGAGAACAGACTAAACAAAATTTTAACAAAAAAATATAAGTGTCTGTTACATTATCTATTAGAATTGCCTAATTTAGTTTATAACCTACATATCGGTTGGTCAACATTAATAACTTAACAATGTCACGAAAACTGGTTGCTGATAAAACTACAAGACGTATAGAACCTATGATTATGAGAGGTCTAGTTTTGATATTAATAGTCCTAGAATAGTTATATAATTTAATATATCGATAATAATCTATATCTATAGATTATTCTTTTAATTTGCTACTAACTACTGAATAACATTATAGCTTTATAGAATATGGATAAAATATAGGTTTATTGCTATGTTATAAAATGAAATAGTACTAGTACCAGATTATTAAAAAAAATTAATTTAATTAAACAAAGCAACAAAGGAGATCCTCGAAACTAAATCTAAAATCAAATTGATTCAGTCATTCTTATGATTACTTAATGAGTAAGCTCATAAAGGTAAGTACTTAGTAAGTTATCTTTGAGTAAGCACAAGTAAATTTATGACATACATAGTGATGAGATTTTTGAGCTTCCTTTTTAGGGTTACAAAAAATAATTATTATTTTGTGAAACTTTGATATTTAGAAAAACAAAAATATTTTCATAAACTTTATGTATTTTAAAAAGACTTCTCTTGAAATCGTTTTAAGAAATTATAAAAAAATACGAGTCCTTTTTTATGAATATTAAATATTTACAAAATGTCATTCACGAAAAAATGATTTTGTTGTATACGAAACCAGCTTCCTGGTAAAAAAGTATGAATATTTTTTTCCTCGTGTGAGCAACATGCATTAAAATATATTGAATGAAATAAATTTTATGAACTACTAATGAGATGGGAGATATAACGAAATATGTGCAAAAATTATATTGTTAATAAAATAAGAAAAAGTTCATATTAAAACTCACAATTTTTATCAAACAAAAATATTATGTTTTATCTATTTCATATATATTTATACATATATTTTACGTAAAAAAATGTCCTACAAAGCTGATAAGTGCTATTAAATTTATTATTTCCATAAAATTTTTAAACAAGAGTTTAAAAAGCTTTTATATTATGAATAAAGATACAACTTATTGAAGTATATACATAGATACTTAGAATATACTTAAGGTACCTATACCAGATCTGTGATTAAAATGTCAAATTACTTTCTCCCGTTAACTACTAAACTTCTTCTTCTACCTGGCAATTTCCCAGCTTTGTCCAGGATCTGCCTTACATGTTGTGAATAATTTTGGCTAATTGTTTTTACGACCGGCCGCCTGCCTGATATCAACCCTCTTTAGGAATGCATTACTCAGTGATGTCTAAATATTCTCAGAAAGTACTGTATATGACTTTGAAAAATCATTTTGGTACATGCCAGGATCGAACCCGCGCCCTCATGCATGAGAGGCAGGCCTTTTAACCACTAGGCCACCACTGACCCTCGTCAATTACTAAACTAATACTTAAAAATAAAAAGTTTTTACTCATTAGTCTGTTGGATTTTAGGTTTATCATTATTTTAAAAATAAATATCTGCACTAAATTCTATTATCGAACAATATATTAAATTATAAACTATGTAAATTCAGAAAAATATATATTTAATTATTATTCGTTAAATAATTCAATGAATTACAATATATTATATAAATATATATCAACGTATGTGATAATATTGTGCTAAGTTGTTTTCTCTCTTAATATTAAAAAATTATCATTTTTGGGACACTAGCAATAGATTTGAAATAACACATTCGGTACGGTAATAATCTGTAGAATAGAAAAAGAAAGAAACATGAAGGGAACTTTTATCAAAAAGTGATCACAGATATACTACCTATACGAGTATGTTTCTTGATCTGTACTTAGCCTTCCTTTACACGCATATTTTCACGCATAATACAGCATTTTTATAAATTAAACTTCTTAAGCTGTAAGTTAAACGCCTTATTATATAAAAGACATTATATATTTCAGTGCTCACACCTGATGACTAGCGATAACTCGGAGATAATAAAAAAGAATGCCAACAAAATTTTGCAACTTCAGACTCACAGCAACAGTCAGAGTCTATTCAAGCTCGCCTTATTTTGTATTCATTGAATGTCAATGTGTAAGATTTTACGTGGAATATTGCTAAAAAATATCTTATTTCTTTAAATGATTTTCATTTATATTTGATACGCCTTTTAAAATTGCATTTAATATACATAGCTCTGTACGTAATTCCTATTATGATTAAGACAATACGAATAATCATATGTAAATGAGAAGGTAGGAAGATAAACAATTTTATAACACCTATGTATGGTGATGTAACTTACTGAATACATATCTGTTTTATAATATATGCGAATCTTTTTATCTTTAGTTCCGGGCGCGAACATCTTAAAGGTCAGTTTGGCAATCGTTATATGAGTACCTGTTGAACTTTACGATGGACGGTCACTTGAGGTGTATTGATATGCTTAGAATTTTATGTCGCAAAAGGAATTTTCCTCTCGTGTCATATTCAATTTCAAATTTCTCTATGAAATGTAACTTAATTGAAAATTAAATTAATAGCAATCATTCAACTAATAACCTTAATATGGTTGTTTATTAGAATACGTATGTTATTGTACCAAAATCCATTTTCTTTTTGATTTCTTCATTAATTTATTAAAGACATATTCTTTATAAATCGTCAACAAATTAAACAATATATGGCAGCGGACGGATTGAATGTTGTATTTTATGGACCTAAATTTAAGAAACCTGTCAAAGTGAATGGTAACAGACCAGTGTTCACTCAACTTGCTTCAGGGGAAAAATATTTTTAAACGACCAATTATTATTCAATACATAGCCTATGCCGTCTGAGTTTTTAGAATGCACAGTTAACCACATATATGTCGAAGTAGTTTAAGGGTCATATGAGAATGGTTTCATGATAAATTTGTTATATGCATACGGAAGTATAGCAACGGGAGCCGAAGCCTTAATTTTGGAAGGTTGAGGAATAATTTTACAAACAAATTACATATAACAATAATTACTATAAATTAATTAGATTCCTAATAAATAGTATTATTGTTTCGTTTAATAGAATAATTTGTTAATTCGCTCCTAAGTCTTCGTACCGGTTTTAGGCGCATGCGCAGGTCAGGCGAAGAAAAAGCGCGCGCGACGCCTGCATTCGTCAGTCGCACCAGGGTCGCCAGAGGGGTCGGACCGCTATCTAGTCATTGTATTTTTTAATATTACAACATTATAATCAAAAGGTCATTATGAAAGTGTTCATCGTGTTAGCAGCGGCCGCAGCTCTTGCGAGTAAGTTACCTTTAATTCATTAATACAATACTAAATAATAATTAAATAAATAATTCATTGTTATAAAATAATGTTACAAGTCAATTTATATAATAAATAATTTAAATACTATCTGAACTAAATTTCAATTTAATTTGCTCTACCTTCAAAATGTAAATGTAATAAACAAATCAGTTGTTTTTTATTAATATACATATTTTTACTTAATTGATTTTCAATAATTTATAGATTAAAATTTTATATATTTGTATTGATTTTCGATAATTTAGAAATTTTAATTTTAAATATTTTTTTAAGTTATTGATATAACATAAAATTATTTATTGCACATTTAGAAAATATATTTCAACATTGATTAATATTCTATTTAAAACATTTAAGGAACATAAATTTGGCTTATAAGATTGGTTTCAAAATTATTTAAAAAAATTACAATAGACGATTAAAATTAAAAACTCGTGTTTTAAAGTACCCACATAATTTTGGAATCAAAAAAATTCGTTTCAGCTATTTCGTACTGTTTATGGAGAGTAAATTTGCGAAACTACCCTCATAAAGCTTTATTTTTAATATTAATTTTATATATACGTATTATATATTCTACTTTTACAATGAACAGATAGTTGTTAGTGTCGTAAATAAGAAAATAAATGAGCCCTTTGTCAGTGAACTATTACTGTTACGTCAGTTCGACATTGACATTACTTAACAAAATGAAAATTCATTCAGTGTTGACACAATAATAAATTACTTTTTATGGTCCAGAAAGCTAAATGTTGCACTTCGTTAATTTGACCTTTTATAATTTAATAAATGTTATTAATATGTTTAGGATTTTATGGTAATTTTTTGAAATATAAATACCATACACTATACAAATAAATATTAAAAAAATAATTATACAATTAATAGTTTACTTTGTTTAAATAATCCTAAATGTAATTTTAATTTGCATACACATCTAATAACAATGTAAATATCTTCAACTCTGATTTAATTAACATTTCAAACATATAACACAAGCAAGATCATTCGACGCTTCGTCCTTAAGGCTTTATATTCAAGATGATATCTTAAATCGTAGGAGATAAGGTCGATAGTTTATTGATAGGGGTCATAGAGTGACTTGATGCATCCGAGCGATGCACCGCATGTCGCAACGAACGCTTTCACTTCTTGATGCGTTGCGTCACTTCGTTGCGATATTGTGCGGGCGTCTATTATAAACTGGCTTTGGTTTATCCCACGTGGAAATTTCATTCATAGGCATATATATTATTTTGTAAATATATAACCTTTTTATGGACTTTGTATCCGCAATATTTTTTTATAAACTGTAAAAATTTCAATAATTATTCTATCAGACACGATAAACTAGAAGTTGCTACATCAATGAACATAATTTTTAAATATAAATGTAAAATCTTGTTATATTAATTAGCATTAAGATTTTAATGTATTTTTGGCGGATCGAGTTTCCCGTCGCAACCTTGACCCAAACGAATTTGATAATACCCACCTCTAATATATGTCAATAAATGTTAATTATTACCATATGCTAATAAAGTCCCACTGTAAATATTAACCGGAATGATAATTATTAATTACTTAGAATCTCTGAACACACAATAAAAACGTTCGTATTCAGAATAGTGATTCTGCTGTTTTGAATAGAATATCTTGAAATATTTAAGTATGGGGAGTGTCTGATATTAAATTGTTTTGTGCCTTTGTTTGCGTGATAAGACAGCAAGAATGCAATTCGATTGCAAATTGCAACAGTCTTACGTATATACAGTCCTTCACTCGCAAATAAAAGAAAACAAACTGCGTGAAAGCAAATATTACAATATTTTTTATTTAAATTTATAAATGTTATATAAAGCTGTGTCATTATATAATAAAATGAACTGAAATTCTGGGTCAGACGGATTTTAAGGCTATCGTAATCGTAACATTTTCATGCTAAGTTTTCTATAACAATAATTTTTTTCGCAGGCGCCCAATTCAAATGTCCAGCCAAGGATGGTCAATACGAAGATGACAGACAGTGTGACAAGTTCTACGAATGTGTTGACGGTGCTGCAACCACCAAACTGTGCCCTGACGGGCTTGTGTTCGACCCTACCATCAGGAAGATCAACAAATGCGACCAACCCTTCAATGTTGACTGCGGCGACAGGACAGAACTTCGTTAGTATTCTCATTGAAACTAAAAGCAAAAACATATTTCATAGATCATTCATGACACACTTCGCACAATATTATGTGGAGCGGTTCGTATCTGAAGGTCATTTAACGCAACCATGTCAGAAATGAAAGTGTCCTGTCCACCTTTGACCAGGTGGGTTACACCTTGATGATTTTCTAGGCCAATTAGAGTCGTGATTGTCATATAATATCTACACGGATTGGTTCGCTATTTTATTACCTGTCACGAAACGGTAGTAATTTTGTTTAAGTACAAAATATATTTGAACAGTTTTTCAACGATCATTATTATTCCACTTAGAGAACTTTCTTGGAATTTAAAGATGTGATTTTAATATCGATGTATAATTTGTATCCAACATAGTGTTCTGTGTCGCTGAGATTTATTACTAGGTATTTTAAAAGAACGTGAAAGGAATTCGGTAGCCGGCAAAACAAGTCACTGAACCAAGGCGAATAGGTAGAGAATGGTGTATTATAAAAATAGTTGTCGGCAATCAGTTAATCATGTTAGGTACGAGAAAAACCTTATTTTCTATAAATTACTTCCTGATATTTTAACTGGAAACAACAGCGGTACAAGATCTCAAGGTTCACATTATTAAAACATTTATCCCCATTTCTACTCCATAAGTTATGTCAACAATATGATGCAATCCATTTTTTTATTATTACTTAATTTTGAAAGTTGCCTCAATGCCTTCGTAGCTTTTATATTTAATAATATAATATTATTATGCAATTATCGAACGTATTTCGCGTATAAATCATTAAGATATTGAAATATCATGGTCTTTAATTAATTATACAATTAGCGTTATAAATATTCGTGGATTATTCAGAATAAACTATAAATGAGTTATAATTCTGTCACTTTGTTATAATAATTCTTTTTTTCATACAAACAGAGCCACCTAAGCCATCACCTCTGTGCCCACGTCGCAACGGTTTCTTCGCACATCCCGATCCCTCGGTTTGCAATGTATTCATGAACTGCATTGAAGGAGAAGCCATCGAAGTCAAATGTACAGCTGGTCTTCATTTCGATGAGTACTCCGGCACCTGCGTGTGGCCCGATGCAGCTGGAAGAGCCGGCTGCGCTGTTACTGACAGTAAGGCGTAACTTTGAATATGATTAATATTTACGAGATAACCAGATTTGGTCATGACTAGTAAAGTGAAGTTTTGGCTACGTGCCAATAAGTAAATGTATTTGTGTAAACCTCTCACTTAACCGGTCACTAGCACAAACGTGTACCGTCGTATAATTTACACTGAGAAACTTGTGATTGATTATTGCTCAATAGTTGATAATGCTCCAAGAATGTTGTGTTCAACATATGCGTTCATCGTGAACAGTATAAAGATTGGATAGGGTTCCAAATTGTTATAAATTATCTTTTTTCCTACAGAAAAACTCAAGGACGGTTTTGAATGTCCCAAGACCCAACAAGTCGACCCTCAGGGTCAGGCTGTAGCTCATCCCAAGTTCCCTCACCCCAACGACTGCCAACGTTTCTACGTTTGCTTGAACGGCGTTGAACCTCGTGACCTCGGATGCACTGTCGGAGAGGTTTACAACGAGGAGACTCAAAAGTGTGACGCTCCCGAGAACGTACGCGGGTGGTAAGTTCTACATAGATTGGCATTTTTTTGGTTCTACAGATGTTACATTTGGTTTAAACTAACTTTTAAATTATCTTCCACAGCGAGGACTGGTACAAGGACGCCGAAGACGCACCCCCAGCCCCTAAAGGCAGATCTTAAACTAGTGATAACTACATTAATTACACCTAAGACTTAATAAGTTAATATTATATAAGACAAAAAAATAAAAACTGTTTTATTTTCCTAGTAAGATTACCCAAAACTTACATTCCTTTGATGTTAAAATATATAGAAAAAATATTATTATTAATTAAATCACAAAAAGGTTTCATAATTACATAATTTCACCGCAATTGTATCTGAACTATATGTGCGATCACGAAGCTTATTCTAACCTTGGTTTTAAATCATCGACATTGCATATTTATAGTCGAGAAGGTTAATGCTAAATACATTTAACTAAATAGGTAATACTTAAACTGCCTTAGAATATAATTAAAGGAAACTGACTTTTAAGGTAAAGTTACTTTTAAACACATGCTTTATATTGTGTTTGAACTTGAAGAGTTAAACCTAAAAATGTATCTCAGACTTTGACTAGTATTGATTTAAATGAAACGAATATTTTTGTATTTAACAATTACACTTTAATTTTCATCTCTTCTGTCCGTGATGACGGTTGCTGCAAAGTAGCTGAAACGTCAGTATTATGTAGAAAAGAGGGTAAAAAAATCGGTAGTAATCCGAAAATATTGCTTTTAATAAATTGGTAAAAATTGTTCGTAATGAGCCGGATTTACAAGAAACAATCATATAGCTAGCGAACGTGAAAATAGGTGCAATAATTATACGAAGAATTAATTTATGAGTTGCAAATTGCTTTAGTTTCCTCATACACTTCCTGCGAAGCTGGTATTGAATTATTTTTACAACGGGTGTGTTGAAGAAAATAAGGTTGCAAATTTAGTAAATTTTCCACATAGGTAAAGAAAACATTGAAATTCCTAATGTGGCATTCTTTATTTCATAACATATATATAGTTTTCGGGCCCCACGATACAGGTCTCCTAGTGTGGGATCCAAAGATAAACAAAATTTTAAAATTTGCGAAAACCATAATGCACCTTAACCAATGGAAAACATTGTAATAGTTTAAGTTTAGGAAGATTAATTGTTTCATTATATGTTAATCTATTATTATGTAAGCATTGTGTTTTTTCAATAAAGTTTATTATATTATATTATAGTTATTTGTTTATTGTTTTAAATCTGAGCTGACAAACGGGTAGTTTGCATCAAAATTTTGCATATAGCTATTCTTTAATCGTCCAATATCATTTTCATGGTATGCCAAAAGTTATATTCATATAAGAAATTTTCTAGAAAAATGTTCAATTAAGAAACTAATTAGCTTAATTTATATCTTTTCTAAGAGGCTTTTAATTTCCATGTATCTTATTATATAGGATCTTTAAATATGAAATTAATTTTATATCATAAATTAAAATTACGGTATGAATAATACGTTACTCTAGGAGAAAACTCCATATTAAAGATCTTGAAGTTTCAAGAAAAAGTTAATATAAACATAAATAGTATTAATTATAAAATATATTAGCAATGGTATAAATTTAAAACGAGTGGTAGGTTTTATAGATTCTATTACGAGAGACTTTATATGTAACTGTGTCAAAGACAATAGGCTTTCATAACACACGCATAGCGATCTTTCATAATAGCGGATAATTTTATTGTATGCTAACAATAAACGTTCAAAAACTTTTAACTAAATACAGGCTTTGAATTCCTTAAGTGTTTTATTATTTGTCAACTAAAAAGATTATTTTAAAGCAACAAGTTAACTGCAGACAATCATTTTATTGTCTGCGTCAGTGTAGATATATCTGAAACACGACGAAATGCTTGACTTGAACAATAGTCCAACACAAGTCTAGACTATGACTAATGTGTGAATCATAAAATTATCTACTCTAAATATGTCAATAAATTTACAAATGAATTTTAAAGTTCTATTTTAGTACAATTTTATAAGAAACTATTAGTTAAACTAAAATTCATAACTAATAGGATTTAGTTTACTCAAAAGCTTATTACTTTTATATATTGAATCTTAGCAACTTTGTTTAACTAAAATATTGACTAAAGATCACTTGCGAAGATAATGCTCAAGTGAGCTTATACGATACAAATAAAGATAAAAAAATATTTGTATAAAATTTACTTAACACATAAGCATCATAAAAAAAGGTTTGAATTTTATTACTCTATGAGATATTAAATAATATTTGTTCAAAAATGTATAACGAAATTCAAACAAAAGTATATGATGATAATATATATTAAATGTAAATATTAGACAATATATTTATAATGTTAAAAATTAATTTGAAATTACATCTAGATAAGTAACTCATTATTCACAAAGTGAAAGGAGGCTGGACTCATTGAGATGATAAAGACAACAGCCATTGTTATCATTGAAGCATACAGAACACTTTAGACTTACAACCGGTCTCTGATAAACGTTAAGTAAAAGTAAAGTGAGAACATACACAGGCAGTAACTAAGAGACAATTTTTCATTGATAAGTAAATAAGAGTATTTTCATTGATAAGTAAATATTTCTATAATAACGATGCAAAACTCCTACTAAGCAAGCTGATCTTTACTGAAAGACACGTTTTATAAATTATCATATGATAAGTGCTAACCCATAATGCCATTACTTAATAGTAATTGTTCTTACCATGTTACCTAATTTAGTTATGTGAAATATTAATCGCTATCATTGCATGGACTTGAACAAACTACGGGTTATTGCTCTAATATGTGAACCATTACATAACGTGTTGCCAAAATCTGTCACGTTACATTTATTGCGGTAGATAGAAAGTAAAAATATATTTTAAACATTCCCATAAATAAATATATGGAGGTGATAGAACTCATGAAAATAGTAATTGATGTCAGTTCATATATTTCACCAATTCTTGAAATTATAAACTATTAGGTTGGTGCGTATGAAATGTCGGATTCTCTTTACATGCGGACGTTTGTCTCCCTGATTTCGTTATACTTTTGTCTTTGGCATAACCTCACTCACAGTCGTATTGTTCATTGCCAGATACTCATTTCAGCAAAATAGGTTTTCTCGAAGTTCTTCCCTTTTGTTATTTCTTTTGAGTTTATTGCCGATATGAATTCTGCCGACATCGCGTCATTTTCTTATATGAGTACAAACTTGGTAATAGTGCTGCAAAAGCTGCATGCAACATAAACTAAGCGTTTGGGGAGAATACGATTAACGATCGGAAAGTGCAGCGTTGGTTCAAAAAATTTCGGAGTGGCGATTTTTCACTGTAAAATGAGCCGCGCGGAAGACCCAAAACGTCTGTGAAGAATGATGACCTGGAGGCTCTAGTGGAAGCGGATCCAGCCGTAACCGCGAGGGAACTTGCTATCAGGATGAAAGTTGACCATACAACGATATTGAGACACATTTCTGAGATTGGCAAGGTTAAGAAGATGGACAAGTGAGTACAACGCTCGGCCGCATACATCCCACAAAACAATTGTGAAACTGAACGAACTGGAACATGAAGTTTTGCAGCATCCACCATATTCACCGGATCTCTCGCCGGCCGATTTTCATTTTTTCAAGCATTTAGAGCTGTTTTTAAGTGGCAAACACTATGAAAATGAAGACAGTCTAAAAAACTCGATATCAGGGTTTATTAATTCTAAAGACCAACATTTTTTTAAGACAGGCATCTACCCTTTAAAATCTCGTTGGGAGAAGTGTATTGAAGCGAATAGAGCATACTTTGATTGAATAAACAGCTTTTGAAGAAAGATATGAAGTTTTATACAATCACTTAAGAATCCGACATTTCATACGCACCAACCTAATACACTAAGCATTATTTTATTGAATTAACTACTTTTCCTTCGCATTTATTTGATGTATTATTAACGCTTAGAAGATTTACTGAATTAAAAAGAATCCTTATAAGAGAACGATATATATTTTTCATTTATTAAGCTATGGCTTTATTTACATTGGAATCGTGGAATATTTTGTCAATGTCAACGTTCTCAATTGTAGGACGAATGTTGAATAAATCTATATGTATCATATTTTAAATATAAGTATCTATTTATAATTCCAAAAATAACAGTAATATTATGTGATGTACATAAATTAGGCTATTTTTTAAAAGACTTCAAAAATTACGAAGTTCTCATTTCGACTGTACATCTCTTTGCTATGACTTCTACGATTGTAGGTTTTCAAAATTATTTTTTTAAATGAAGAACATTTTTGTTTTTGGTGTAATCAAATTACTGTCAAGCCAGAATCGGATAAAGAAATGCTCAAGATGGCAACTAAAACCTCTTTTCTACGCTGGTAAAGCCATATGCAATGGCTAGTAGTACATATGAATGAATACGAGACATTCATAACAATCATAAAAAAATATATGCAGAATCACTGCTCTCTCTTATTAATGTAAATGTCATTACCATTTTTTGTACTTTTTTCTTTAACAACAAAAAAACTGATTTCAAACACTAAATTTACTGGATACTAATAAAATATTTTAAGACATTTTTGTACCAATATATTAGCTGTTAAAGTTTCTATGTCATATTAAAGAGATCGCCACACCAAAATCCTACGTTCTTATAAATTTATTTTTATACATGTAGGTATATCTAGTTGTTTTGCTTTTTTGAAATTCATTTGAATACAAATCATAGTAGAATTGTTCCTAATTCAGTTTGTTATATAGAATTCCTTCATTTTAGAGATATAAATTCATTTAACTCTGTATCTACCTAAAACAAAATTTGATCTGTATCTGCAACGGAGCTTTCTCGCCTTTGAGTACAATACAAAAGCAAACAGACTCTCCAATTAATAAAATCATTTAAAATATTAACTGTTTCTAATCACAATGTCATGATGACTATGTCATGATAGACAGTAGACAAGAACCATTTTACTTGAGGCGTTTTAAAAATGAAAGGTAAGACACGTCAAGAGAGACTTGGCTTCGTTCAGGAACCAGATCATTTGAGATTTCACTTCATCAGCTGTTACATGTACGTTAACAATATATTATTATAAAAGCCGACCAAGTAGGTTTCTAATTCAAAATTCAAAACATACACCTACGAATGCTAGAATATCCTATACTATATATTAAACAATTTCAAAGTGAAAAAAATCAACAGCAGTTAAATAAACCGTGGCGTATTGCAAAAAATAAAGATATACCAAATTGTTTTGTGTAAAATATCGTGTGATTTTTATTATTAACAATAATAAACTAGACACATCTCTATATGAAAGTAGATAATTTAATAATCTTAACTTTATGAGAACATGGAACAATAGTTATGAATCAATATACAAGAAATTCGTCACAGTTACAAAGTGCTAACTTATTCCTTAATAAGTTTTGTTTCTTTTTTCTGTCAACTACATGCAGTCACAAATCTTACGCATGATGCAATTTATCGATTGCATTCCGATTTTTTATTAATAACTCACAAACATATTGCGTCATTTTTTTTCATTATTGTTTGAATGATTCGCCATATATGTATAAAATACCAGTCCCAATAAGAACAGCGTGAGGATGTTATGAGGGGCCAACTTTCAAGACCTTCGAACATATCTTTATACTTCCTATATTAAACTCGTCAACGAAGCGGATGCAGATCATTCGAATTACATGATCATTGAGTAGATTTGTCATGAAAGAGAAAGCACATGCAACGCCTTTGGAAACACCCAGGCTTACAGTTTCCTATACATTTCACACAAACATACTCAGCTTTGAGAATATTTGTTTTAGAAAAAGATAAAGAATTTATATGTACCAGTCAGGCATCTAGGTTCCTTATCCGACTTTATTACCTAGACCTTAACCAACTCTCATCCCTATATAGTAATGAAATGGTAGAACATAAAAATTCCCGTCAATTACCAAATAAGTCTTACAGACGGGGATATTTACAACGAATTTCTTATTTGTAATAGCATTCAGCCTACTTCGTGTATGACAGTACTAGGGTGAGTGTAGAACATAATGGGTCTTATTTATATTATTTTAGAATAGGTTTAGTAATGGCACTATTTCTCTTATTCCTTTGAATGACTCATTACAAAGCGGAACACGTGCCTCGGGTCCGAGGAGCCCATTGTTCAGTTCTTGTCTCGAAGTACATATATTTAGGATAATTATATGAATTGTTATTTCGTTTACTGTTAAATGTAACACAATGTATGGTTCTTTAACAACCAACTAAGAAATATTCATTTTTTACGTAATGAATAACAAACAAAAGAATTTAATTTAACGAAATTTAACTTATCGTTTTGAAAATCAATATTGTAAAGTAAATGTGAATATAAACTTAAAACCTCTAAAATAAAAAACACAAAAAATTAAAAGCTCCTTGCCATGAGATTAACCTTGAGTAATGAAATCGAGGCGGTCTTGTAGATGATTAAAAAGTACCTACATCATTGTGGTCATGTTGCCCTCAGCTCTTCCTGTTCAGCTATATTTAAAATAAATTTAAAATTTTCCATCCGACACATTTGTGACGTCAAAAAAAACACGATTCTACAAAATTTTATAAGATAAGTTAGTGATATTCAAATTATTGTTTAATTTAATAACAGACTCTTTCAAATTTATTATAATGACATTATAATAACAGAGGAAAAATTAAAAGAAATTAAGAATATAATTTAGTTTCGTTTTAAAAGTATAACTTATATTGTTTTTTTTTTAACTTACTATATTTATAATGTATTTTCAATCGTTTCATAATAAGTACCACACATTCAAATTCAACAAACACGCTACGAATACAAAAATCAAGCTAGTTTTCTAGGAAAGCTACCTCTTTCTCCGAATGCGGTGCGACGCGGCGCCTGCGCCTGCGCCGGTCACAATGCGCCACAGCCCACAATACGGAGCAACCTTTGAGGGGAACCGCACGTGCTCTGGGGTGGTTCTTATAATAAAAAATACAAATAATTTTTTTAGATCAATTTGCTCATTCAACATGAGAAGTCTATTGTATTTAGCTGTCGCTGTCTGCGGGCTGGGTGAGTGCTTTAACCGTTTTTATATTAGCTTTTAAGCTACCGACACGTACTTAATTGACAACACTTTGTTAGATTCATAGAACGTTTAGTATAATAATTATTTTAGACTGTTCTAAAATAATTTTGTTCTATTATTATCTCACAAATTTATCATTGGGTGGCAAAAGTAAAAAATATATATGTATATTTTTCAAAATGTGGTTCAAAATCTTAAATTTTTAACGAGTTGATTCCTCTTTAAATATTTATCTGTGTTAAATATATTTAGTAAGGTAATAGCTATTAGATAAAGTTCGATTTGTCTTTAGGTTTCTGAAAGTAACAGTAAGGTCTCCAAGGACGCATTGCAAATTCAAATTCCAGTTTGTGGTTATAGTCATAACAAATTTCCGTTTCTGTTACAAAATATAACTTACACATTAAACAATAAATTTAACACTTTCGTCGGTAATTCACTATGCGTTTTCCGTTGAGTAGAATTCAAAACAGTAATTACTAGGTCCAGTGAACTGCTATGTTTTTGTATGCTTAGAATAATAAATGCCAATTTTAAATAAATTTTGTGCATATACCCACACATTTAAGAGTGAAAATTGTGAACTGTCGTTTATATTCCGGCAAATACGTATTATGTATAATGTATATAGGTTTGTCCGATATTTCATATCTTTTCGGTATAGTGAGTAGGTATAAGGCGAATTTCTTTGAATCGCCGGTTTTCATTGCTACATACACTTCACACTTATCCCAGAAATATTAAAATTTCAGTTGCGAAAACAGCCTAAAAATAAGGCTTAGATAAAATATCACCAAATCGAATTGTATATAACCAATGGCTGACATATACACATATAAAGACTAAAATTTATCACCATTATTTAGCAAATATTCAAGATTTTCAGCTGTCAAAACGAAATAATAATTATAATAAAGGTTACATAGTAAGTAATATTTAATTACTGCTGTACCATCTTAAATATTGATTAAATATCAATCAAAGTCGAGAATATGATTAACAGGTCAGATGTAATATTATAGAAAGTTGATACTGTAACTCGTTACTCGTGTCAATTTAAAGATAAATCATAAATTTATTATAGTAACTAAAAAAATCTATATAATGATTGTTTGATAACTCTGTATAGAATAAGTTTATGTAATAAAAATGTATCAATTTTTATCCTTTTTTGGTAGTAACTTATAACATGTCATTGCCCTCCTTTCACTCAAACGTCCTAACAATATTTGGTGCACTAACAATTTGTAAATGCATGTTTTGCAAGGGCAATTTTGCCAATCAACACTGTCACGGTATATCGGATTTTCGAAACCTGTGAGCTTGAAATTGTTGAACGGCCAATGTGTAAGTAGCGTAAAATGGGACGGATTCGGCAATCATTTTCGTTTTATGTTCGTAGTAAACGAAAATAGAATATTGTAATATACACAATTATACTTTTTACATTTCCTTATTAAAGTTTCTTATACATAAAATAATTTGATCTATTAAACGACTTGTCCATTTGATAAGTATAAAGCTAGCTGAAACTTACAAAATTCCTTAAAAAAAATTGATATTTTAATGTCCAAATAGATGATGTATATGTACTTACAAACCGTCATTACAATTTAAATTTTGTCTTACACAATAAGACAATATATTTCTTCTTCGTGTTTTATTTATTTTGTTTCTAATTTGGTCTGTAAGTAGCAACGCAATTTGTTATTATCGTCTATAACGAATTGCATTAACTGACTGAAAGTTGCATACACACATGAGGTCACGACTTGGTTCTTAGAACAGGAATATTAATACATGTAATAACATTTTCTAATCATCTAATTATTTCTAAGTAAGATGTTTTATTGTTAAGAAATCACACTTATTGAATGTGGCATATATTGCAATTGTTTTCTTCTTCTTTGGATGAAATTCAATATGAATGCTTAATATTTTTTGTACAGTTTCAGCCCAAGAGTTTGACTGTCCAGAGAAGAGCGGTTTTTACGCAGATCCATACCAATGTGACCTCTATTACAAATGTTCTAAAGGTCAGTATCATGTGTGAAAGGTTAACATGTTAAATGAACATAAATGTCGCTTACCTTCGTATGTAAAAGTAACTGCAAAATGTAGTTCGTAAATTATTTTTATATAACAGAAAGGTGGTATTTATCACATTGGTATGTAATTGTCACACCCAGTTTGGGGTACTTATAAGTTGTTTAAACTTAAAGTGCTCTGACACGTGTTAAAATTGATAAAAATCTTAATCTATGTTAAAATTTTGATCATATAGATAACTACTTCTGTAATAGCTTATTTTGGAGATGCTATTCATGTTTTTACTTAGTTATAATATTTATTTTATACGACCAAAAATTTCGCAGCTGTCATGCCTTCTTGGTTAGGAATTTCACATTTTCTTAAATATTAAGCAATTATGTATTACCATATTAAACTGTAACAACACCTCTAAGTTACTGTATTATAAATTTAATTAACTATTTCTTTACTTTTTGTGAGATATTTCGTAAGTAGATGTTACGTCATATTTGCATTATACTGTCTACAAATATACAAAACAAGTCGAAAGATACTGTGATGAATATTAAAAGACTTTTGTTTCGGTTTTTTTTTCAAATAAATGTAAGAGAAAGTTCTTAACGCAGGGGGCATTTTAAACAAGTAAAAGAATGGTTAATGTTTTCATATATTTATTGGGTACATTCTGATGTTTTCTGATATAACGAAATATTAAATAACTAAAAGATTATTAGAGTGATTTCTTTCATACGGTTAACTATTTTTTATTTTGTATTTTGTCGTCCAAATCATCGTCTTATTATTTCGTTATTGCCTTGTATTAAGTTTTATGTTACCTTATCTTTTTAATTAATTTTATCAAAAAATCACTAGGCGAGGCCGAGTCACGCCTTTGTCCGGATGGACTGGTGTTTAACGATGAAAATCCCAAGAAAGAACTCTGCGACATCCCTTCTAACGTGGACTGCGGAGACAGAAAGGAATTACGTAAGTAAATAATTACTTATGACTTTTACGTAAATGTTAGAAGCCTTTACTTGAAGCCTTTAACAAAATTCACAGGTTTATTTATACCAAGTGTTGTTCAAAAATGTCGTAACTTAATTCGTGTTAGTTAATTGAATAATGATTTTCTATTTGTTAAGTTATTAATTATAATAAAATGATTTTGTATTTTACAGAGGAACCAAAACCATCCAAGGGCTGTCCAAGACAAAATGGTTATTTTAAACATCCTGATCCTCAGGTAATTTAACGACCTCATTTCTATTCAATTATGTAATTGGCCTCATATGACGTAATAAAATATGTTATTTAGGAAAAAAATCATATTTTTAACTTTAAGTCGAAACTGATAGAATATTTTTATTGCAAATTCGAATATGAGCTACTGCTCTATCTAAAAAGACAAAAAAAAATACTTGTTCTGAATTTTAAATAGTTCATTATACATCATTAAACTTTTAATTAATTTCCAGGCTTGCGACAAATTTTACTACTGCTCAGACGGTGTTCCCAATGAGCTGCCCTGCCCTCCCGGCCTTTACTTCGATGAAGAATCCTCTAATTGCGACTGGAAGGAATCAGTTCAACGCACTTGTGACAAAATAACCAAGGGTCAGCATGCAAACTCTAATATAATCCTTGGTATTTTTACCTAGTGAACATTGAGATAATTTTTCATATATCCTCAGACGTTCTCGACGATGGCTTCACATGTCCCGATGGTGAAACAGTTGGCCCCAATGGCCGAGCCTTACCACACCCAACTTTCCCCCATCCCGAAGACTGCCAGAAGTTCTACATCTGCCGTAATGGTGTTCAACCACAAAAAGGCAGCTGTCCTTCGGGAAAAGTTTACAATGAGGACACCTTTATGTGCGACAAACCAGAAAATGTACCTGGATGGTGAGAAATTTGTATACTACATGTAACTTGAGCCATTATGCAAAAAAATAATTATACGATTATTTACCTTACGTTCGTATGCGGTAACGAGGAGTCCTACCGGTTTATGACTAATAAACTTATGTAGTCTTTTACACAAAAGGGCGAAACTGCTGCTTCTCATTTGACAAAGATATTACTTATTAGCTAGAAGATTAAGTTTAATTTAATTATAATTATTGACGAATAAATGTTTATAATTAACTTTCTTTTTATTTTCAGCGAAAACTACTACGAGGGGCAATCGACTGACAAAAATAAAAATGTGAAGAAAGCGTAAGGATTAGACATAAGGTGTTTTAGTGATTAAAATAAAATAGTGACATAATTATTACATATACTTGTTGTTTTTATTTATAAATAACCTAATATTAAAAATTAATTAGCTGTTTTTTGGAGATAATTGTTTCTGTGTTCCTGTACATATACATACATGTATTTTAATAGCTATTGTTATTATTCAAAGACTTTATCAAAGGTGAACTTTTTTTTTAAGAATGAAAAAAATCAATATTTAATGGAATAATAAAAGTTACATACGATTTCGCAGAATCAACCGTAGAATGTTTAACACCCGTTCATAACGAAATAGACCGACCATATATGGTGCTAAAATTATGTGTATCGCAATTTCATAAAACAATACAATTATTACCCAATTATATTAAATAAATCTCGTAAGAAATTTTATTACAAATTATTTAATTACATTATTTTTAAAATATAGTCTAACCTTATAAAAATTTTAAGTTTCAAATGTGAAGATAGATATACTTAGTATCAAAAATTGAATTATACCTTTATAGAAAATTAATTAAATTCATATTACTCTGTAATAAAGTTATAAAATAATACTTTTAATGAAAAATAAAATGTACAATTTGTAATTAAACTTCAGTAAAACAAGCCGAGTCGAAATTGACTCAACCACTTATCCTTATTTATTCCTTTATTAATATTTATTTCCATTATGGATGAGTTTCCTAAAACATTAAATCTATCTAGAATTCATTGAAAAATAAAATTAAGGATATAATTAAATTAATCTTTCATATAATTTAACTTTAAGTCCACTTCTCCATGCTACTTGCACTAATAGATTTAGTAGAAAATTAAAGGCAGATCCAAATTACCCCAGTTTATGGAACACAAATTATGTGTACGTTATCCTCTGCGTAGTCTTAAAATGTCTACAGCATTTTAAACAATACATATACATAGTAGTAACTATAATTTAGCGTGTCACTTGTCTTCATAAATAGTTCATCTGGTATGCCTTGATAGTGAATACTGTGACGAAAACACAGAATTTTTGGATTATTTAGACTATGTCTTATTATAAGCCTGAATTCCATTCCTGTAAAGTTTCATTAGATTACAGTAATTAATTTTTACATACAATGGCAAGAAACATTAATTCATCCCCAAAAACTTTGGCATTTGTTATATTTACGGAGTGTAAAAGTTGCATAACTTTATTATGTGGAATGTTACAACTTGGGTATTAAAGTGTAGTTGCCATTAAAATGTCCTTTGCGATATTGCACAAGTTAATAATAAATATTCAGAGTTAATTAGTTATGAACAGATAGCAATTTGTGTTTTATATTATATTGTTTTATTGTAAATAAACTCTTTTATATATCAAATATATTTTATGACAAGATTTATGATCTATAAAAAAGGAGAAAGCATTTGAGAAAGGTCCAAATAAAAATATGGGTGAAAACGATTTTTGTTACATTAAAACACAATATTGAAGGAAGCCATAAATAAAAATAAATATTATTTAGTTTATATGACAGTAGTCACAATATAAGCTCTGAGATTATAAAAATCTATGCTAATCCTTAGTTTTTTTTTTTTATGTTAAAGGGGGCAACCGAGCAGACGGCTTACCTGATGGAGGTAGTACCGTCACCCATAGTCATCCGCGACATAAGATATGTTGCAGATGTGTCACCACCCTTGATGTGGGAAGAGGTAGAGGAAAAATGGGAAGGGGAGGAAAAAGGGAAGGAGTAGGAAAGGATGGAAAAAGGGAAAGGGCAACCGGCTCTCTCACTCATCGAACGAAACGCAGCCACTAAGGCTACTTCACGCCGATCTTCTGTGAGAGGGTGGTACTTCCCCGGTCGAGCCAGCCCATGTTCGAGCTGCAATCAATTGGCCACAGCTAGGCTCTACCACCTTAAAAGTTCCACCTTAGTTCTTTGTAGGTAGTTGATAATGATGTGGCCTATCAAATTATTCTCTCATTTATTCACTTAGATTAACAAAGGAGCTTGTTGAAGAGTTCTCTAATAAAATATGATCGGAATGTTTTTTAATTTTGTCATTATTTAAAATTAAATATATCAATTTAATTGAAAATATTAAACGATCACTTTTACCAAAATATCAAAAGCCTCTCACTTATATAAAAATAATTAAAACATTTGAACAAAATCAATAAATAAATTATTGATAGGTACTGATAAATTTATTACTCATAAAACACTAATTATGTAGCTATATAAAATAATAATTAATTACACCATCGGCACCCTTGTATTAATGAGTGAAATTAGTTTTATAATCAGTAACGCCTTAGTTTTTTTACTACGCAAAATGTTAAGAAATAATAATTGCGATGGGAACTAAAAAAAATAACTGTAATATAATATTAAATATGGTGTTTCTGTTTTTTGAAGTTCATCTAGATAGAGTTTACTGCCACTTCACCCTTTAGTAGATGTAATTGAAGGGGTAGGCATTGAACCTACTATATTCGTGACATGAAATTGAAGTCACCCAAATTATAGCTTAACTTAAACACAAAGGCAGGCAAACTGTTCGAATTCATTGCTGTAGGCTTTAGGAAGAAGCATATCACTTCGTCCAGATGCGAGGAAGTTCTACACAGAAAGGATGGAGACCCGCATTGTGTCTGGTTGTCTTATAATAAAATTATGTTACAAGATTTTTGGGACAAAGAACATTTTAATCTCAATATTCATGATGTTCAAATAATAGTACTACCTATTTCTTTTTTATCTTCGTTTTAAATTCAATTCATACAATAAGATTTAATACTAATTAAATATTATATGAAAATCATTAAAACTATTATCTACAAATGAAAATAACATGATTTCACTCATTAACAAGGAGAGTGTAAGAAAATTACTTTTTGGAGAAAACTTAAATGTACTTTTTTATTTGTGCAAAGTTTTAAAATATTATGAATTTAATTTTAAAAACTCACAATGAATGTTGAACTTGTGAAACGTATGCAATATTACAAATTTTAAATGTAATTGCACAAAAGTCCGAGAAATAAGAATAATAAACTATTAAATAACTAGCTTTCCGCCCGCAGCTTCGCCCGCGTGGAGTTCGGTTATATCGCGTTTCCAAGAGAACCTTTCAAAAGTCTGGGATAAAAACTATCTATGTTCTTTCTCAAGGTCAACTCTATGTCTGTACCAAATTTACTAGATTTATTTACTGAGTTACTTTCGCATTTATAATATTAGTAGGGATACCCGCTTAGAAGAAAAAAATGTTGTGTTAAAAAGTTACAAAATTAACCTTAAAAAGTGACCAAACAATAATATTATAATACTTACTTGGATTATGCAAAATTTAATTAAGATTTTATTAGTGTATTAACTAATTGTTATTTATGTCGATAATAATAATGTACAAAGAAATCCTTTAAAATTTTAAGTAAAATCCTTTATGGGTACAACAGTATTAAAACAACTTGTTTGACGATCGATCAATTTTAAAATCTAAAAATCTATTAATAGGAAAAACGTTAAAGGCGATTGTAGTAAATACATGTATTATGTCATAATATTAAAAGCCGAAGACAGTGAAGAAATTATAAAAAAGGAAGACCTTGTTCATTCACAAAACCCCCTATACATAGGTCACTATAGTATTCTTTCATTACGAATTACTGAAATTATTGAATGACGAATTATCGAAATCTATATTATATAAGATGACGCCACTGACTAAGAGAGAGAGAGAGAGAGAGAGAGAGAGAGAGAGAGAGATAGAGGAGATAGAGAGAGATATAAGAAAAAAATAAAGACAGTTTTAAACTCCATCATTTTATAACTATTGTAATGTGATATTTCACAGTATTAAAATCTTTCCTATAATTATATATGAGAAACATATTTCCATTACATATTAAAGAGATTCAAATATAAATTTATATAACTCCATTCTAAATTTTAAACATTTCAATGATTGTTCTTTAACAAAACAATTAGTTTACAACTGCCCTCGATCTGATATCATTTCGTAATTCAAACAAGAGACCTACAAAGTTACTTTCATTCAAGTTTTGTGACACCCGCAACGATTATTAACCAATTAAATAAAATAACAGCTGCTCGCTTAACTTACTGAAGTATTCTCATACAATCAAAGCTAAGAAAAGTAAAAAAAATAATTACGAAAATAAGTCTTACTGTATATACTGAAACAGAATTTTCTTGTAATTAATATAAAAAAGATTTGGAAGGAATTACCTATAAGCTTTGGTAGATTATAATTTAAAAGTATATTCTCTCAAAAACAGGTAGCCGCTGGTGACTTTGTAAGGAAATACTCAAGTCTCAAGTGTTACTTTATATCTCTTAAATGTCATACAATATAGCACTATCATAAAATAAACACAACAAATATGATAGAATTAATTCTATTATATTTTGTACAAAGATGAAAAAAGGATACAGACACATATTTTAGTCTTAATTTTTAAAAGGCTTAGTAAAATTACTAGTTTGGTACTATAAAACCATCTAATCTATTTATAGATATAAATAATCAAGTAAAACAAAGAAAACGTAATAAAACTATGTATTAAATTAATCAATATATTTATCATTATTCATTTAAAAAATCTTATTCTTAAAATAAAGTTATTGATATAAAAATCTTCAACATACATTCTACAACTTTGTAAATAAAATCATTAACAACTGTATATACAAAAGTTGTTCATTTCAAGTAATAACTATAAGTAAATATAAAAAATAAAAGTAAAGTAAGTTCATTTAAGTATAGCACATCAAGTGTGTCTGTATCTGTATGGTATTGTCACACAAAGCACGCCGCGAGGTATTCGACCGTTTTCGTAATAAGTAACTCAAACTCATTGCAGCCTAGCACTATCTATAGTGCGATCCCATATTTATATACATTAAATTATTTGTATTACAGATGAAAAGGTATATGTAAGCTGAAAACTTTAGACAGACTTATATAGCCAGTGGTAGCCTAGTGGTTAAAAGGCCCGCCTCTCATGCATGAGGGCACGGGTTTGATCCTGGCAACTACCAATGTGACTTTTCCGAGTCATATGTATTTAGACATCACTGATTAATGCATTCCCAAAGAGGGTTGAAGTCAGGCAGGCGGCCGGTCGTAAAAACAATTAGCCAAAACTATTCACAATATGTAAGGCAGACCCTGGCTCAGGCTGGGAAATTGCCAGGTAGAAGAAGATATGCCCTAACAACATTTTAAAAGGATTTAATTTTCTGTTATAATGTTATAATAATTACGTAAAATATCATTAAATAAAACGAGGTCCGGACTATAGATAGCGCGTTGGTTGGTAGTTGTCCGTTGCGCACGCGCCAGTACTGCCGTTCGTGGTTACAAGCGCGGACGTCCAAAATGATCAGTTCTGTAATCGTTCTAACACTTTGCGTTGTATACGGTAAGAATATTTTGTAATATATATTATATAATATTATATATTTTTATATATAGTAATACTAATTTAATTTTGTGTGAAACATAATATATAAAGGTCATACGGTATAAAGTTGAGCTACGTCGTATTAAAACACGAACCTGTCAGATTTGGTTCTCAAATTAGTTTTTAGTCTGAATCTTTTGAATTAGTTTCTAACTAAAATCCAATTTATAAGAATAAAGTAATTATAATTGTTCTGTTTACATTTCCTTAATACGCAGTAGGTAACTGTGAGAAAATCTTGAATTGTTACGTACCTACATTTATATTATGTTTTAAAATGAGTGATTTTAAAAGTATGTACAAATCTAAAATTCCACGTATAATATCAAATTATAAGATACTAGTTTTTACTCGCGACTTCGTCCGCGTTAGTTTCGGCATTAGTAATATATGTACATATAACAGACCGGGTGACCTCTGTTCCGCACTAGTTTATTAAGTTTTTTTTCTTTCAATCGAACAGAATTAAATATCTTACATATGTCCGTCTCCTTGTTCTAAGCTATCTCCTCACCAATTTTCAACCAACCCTACAGCTGTTCTTGAGTTATAAATATTGTAACTAACACTACTTTCTTATACATATATATATTTAGATAAGTATATACATATATAGCATAGCACTGCCTTAAATAATATTTCAATCAATAGTATTATTATGAAATATCATATATTTTTATTTATTTATAATAACAAGTCAATATATTATGAATCAATTTTATATAACATTTCAACTTTGATACCAGACATTTGGCAACTGGATCGCATACTGATATTTAAAAACTTGTTTCTTTATAAATATTAACGAGGTTTCCACTGATTTTAGATATAAAGTACAAAAAAGATATTATATATACATATATAAAGTATGTACGTACCATCTGTCCGTCTGGCATAAGACATTAATAATGTAGAATCATTAAGACATTTATATAAATATTTTGATATATTTGTCCTGTAATAAAATCTACAATATATTACATTTTCACATTACGTATCCAAGGATAATTAATAATTGATTATAATTAATTCAATTATTAAATTGTTCGTATTCAATAGTGATTATTAATTAATGAATTAAGTAGCATTAAACATAACTTGTTCATAGAAGCAAAATGACTATATTTATGTATCGGATATAGTCTTTACAATAGTAAAGGTTTACTCAATAAAGTAACAATTTTACACATATAAGTTACTTTAATAGGATTATTAATATACTTAATTTAACAATGAATTCATATTTATATATAATAAGAACAATAATAATTCGTCCAGCCTGTTTCTGTAAATCCTTCGTAGATTGCTCAACATTGGAAAGGCTTCGCCTATTTAATAATTGTGTAGTAACGAACTACGTTGAGTTTAGGCCGCACCTGGTAACATATATATATATATATATATATATATATATATATATATATATATATATATATATATATATATATATATATATCGACGAATTTGAGGAAAAAAATAAAAAATAGAAGTGACATTGGACGACAGTATAGAATTATGTTATTCTTAAAAAAAGATAAAAAAGTGGAAAAATATATTAATTAGATTATTAAGAATTTTACATCGAAATGAAATCAAATATTACAAAGTCCTTAGAGATGATTATATATATTAGTAATTTAACGAAAATGTTCAGACCTTTGGAAAATGTGAAAAAATTAACAATTTTTTTAAACATTTTGTTTTAACTAGATCTATAAAATAGTGAATGGAAATAAATAAGTTGATTGAGTTTTTTTGTTATTAATTAAGTTTCGTTTTATTAATCGTGAACGAAACTCGGTTAATTCCCTCCGCGGTTTCACAACTGATTGGTAACCGGAATTGTTTACTCTCAAGGCTGCGTACAATTTTACGTACACGTAGTTGTTAGTAATATTTTCATTGTTAAAATATTATTATATTAATACTAAGTCTCTTTTGGGGAGTTGCAACCAGGCATAAATTGGTACATTGTAATTTTTTTATGAAAATAATAAGGTGTTTTTTGTGTTACATTTTTTTATGTCGTAAATTGGCATATAAATTGTAATATCACTTTCACTTGTTTAAAGGGTAATAATTATGATTTGCAGGTCAAACGTTCACTTTAAAATAATTCATTCATTGCCATGTAGAGTTAAACACACACACACACACGCACACACAAACATACACACACACACACACACACACACACAATATTAAAACATCACAAATATTTGACATAAATTACTAAGTCTACAAGTATTATATAACATCAATAATACGTACGCTAATTACGTCGTCAGGAGAAAAACGATTCATCATTCATACAATAGAGTTCAACGAGCGCTCGCGATTAACACATTTTCCTTTCATCGTTTTATTGTTATTATTCTATAAGATTTGATCTAAAATTGCTCTTAAATTACGCTGAATTTATTACTATCTGTATATCTATGTACTAGATTTATGCATATGAAGTATAAAGAAAAATTCTTTATTACGTAAAAGTTTATAGCTTTAAAATACTTTTAAGTTCGACCTCATTAAATTGATATACAAATTTACAAATTTAACGTTAACACAAATATATCCTATTTCTTTTAATCTAAAAAATACATCATTATCAACATAATGATGATTAATGATAATCAATTATTGTTATAAATGTAAATTAAACTTCCGTATCTTAGTCGACGTATATATAAAGGTCACTTTTAAAGGTTATTAAAAATATCTAATACAAATAACAACGTTTAAAAAAATATTAGCAATCAATTTAATAGAAACAAAACAACGTCGATAAGTTTTTAAATTAAATGAAAAAAAGGGAAACTGAACATCATTCATGTACTACAATATCTTCGAAACTCAATTTCATACAAATTACAAAATAATATGGTTGTATATATAGAAGTCAGTGGTGGCCTAGTGGTTAAAGGCCCGCCTCTCATGCATGAGGGCGCGAGTTCGATCCTGGCAAGTACCAATTTAATTTTTCAGAGTGATATGTACTTTCTAAGAGTATTTAGACATCACTGATTAATGCATTCCCAAAGAGGGTTGATGTCAGGTAGGCGGCCGGTCGTAAAAACAAATAGCCAAAACTATTCACAACATGTAAGGCAGACCCTGCCTATAGCTGGGAAATTGCCAGGTAGAAGACGTATACATACCACCATTACCATACCAGTACCATATTTATTGTTTTGGTATCTTCTTGTATATTCTATTAGAAAATTCTCGATCGATAGAGAAAATCAAAGGCGATTTATTTGTAATATAGTTAAATCTTAAAAAGTCCAATGTGTTGTAATCTCTCGAGGAAGTAAAAAGGTTATTTATTATTCGCGACGCGTACAGAGAAAGCTGTTTATAACCAACAGTGAGGAGATGCATCCAGCGAGTAGAATTCTAATAATACATCTTAGATAAAGAGAAAATTATATATATTAGGCCTATGGAAGGCTTTTCCAACATCATCATCAGACTATCAGAGCCCACTGCTGAGCAAGAACTCTTCTCACATGGAGAAGATTTGAACATTAATCACCACGCTTGCTCAAGACGGATTGGTGATTTCAAACTTATAATTTGAAATTATAAGTCCAGGTTTCCTTATGATGTTTTCCTTCATCTGTCAGTGGTGTCTACTCTTAGAAAGTACATATGATGCGGAAGAATCATATTCGTACTTGCCAGGTTTCGAACCCGCGCCCTCATGAATGAGAGGCGGGCCTTTAACCTCTAGGTCACCACGACTGTTTTCTGACATAGCACCATAATGAGATTTAAGACTTTCGCGAGTTTTTAGAACACATCTGTGTTCACACCTCGTCTGCCCGTGATCACGGTTGCCGAAAAGTAGCCAAAACGTCGGGAGTATGTACTTCTTTACAAAGATAAAACGCGTAGTATATCCGAAAATTATTAGTTTCATCTAAATATAGGCACCATATTGATCACTATAGCTTATCAGAAACAATTAAATCGTTTTATAATGAGAATTTTTAACACCTTTAAATTTTGTTATATCGACGCACGAATGAGAAGTAGTAGAAATATTTACTATTGAAGCCCATCGTTACATAAGTTAGTGAGATGTGTTTCGTCAGTCTTCCGCTTGTGTAACCTTGTTATCGGGCACTACATTTGGTAGTGGTCCATCATACCTGTCATTCAAAACTAGCTCTTATATTTATAAGCATACGGTATCTCAATATTAGAATATTTTTTGTACAAATATATATTTTCTCATATCGCGCCTCTTGAGAAAGTGCGATATTTTGTCTTTCATTGAGATGTCAAGTTGATAATAGTATTGGTGTTTTATACGCTGTAGAACTTTAAACTTGAATGAATAATAAAAGCCTTTGTATCTTAGACATTAATAAAATTATTGTTATAAGGAAAATTTAATAAATATAATTATAAAATCTCAGATAAAAAATTGCTATATCAACTTAAATTGTCAAAAAATCCAACCACACCCAAACCTAAGATTTGTATCAAAACGAAATGAAAACGAAACGAGATATGTAATTTGCAAAACTAGATTTATTCAAATTGGGAGTGTTAGGAAATAGTCCTTTCAAATAAATTCAAATCTATAACCATTCACCCGAACCGGTTACAAAACAAATGACATCTGACAGAAGCATTTTGTTTTGGTTTTGTACGGTTTTGAAATTTAAATTTTTAAACGTTTTAACGTCCTTAAAAGGTGGAGGTTGCAAGATAACTTCACACATTTTTATTTATATTAAGGTTTTGTGTTTTTTTTCCAGATTTCTTATTGGATTCAATAGGTTTTCTAGCTTTAAAGACATTGTTAAGATCGTATAGATGAAGCACTTCGTAAGTGACTCAAACTCTTAAAAAACCACACTAACTTACTTCATAAAACATTTTCATTTATTATTTATATTTTTTTATATCATCGATGTCCTAAATAAAAAAAATTGTTTTGGCTCAATTTGGTTCTTTTTTATTTGAATAAAGTATACGTTTTCATTTTCTATTATATAAAAATAAAATTAATTAAATTTCAAATACATAATTAATATTTTTTTATATAAGTATAATTAGATATTTTTATCGTCGTATATTCAACAGTGCGGAATGAAATAAAACAAATGTACATATTTCATATTTTCTAATCTATTATACTTTTATCTATAGATACAATTAAATAAGACACATTCTAACACAGATTTTATTAATATAATTATTATTATAGATATAGTATTTTATAGATACTATCTGACAAAGCTATCATTCTTGGCTCCAAGGCTGACCGCTATACTTTCGCTAAGTCATGTATGGCTTATGGGCCTCTAAAATACAACTGCAGCATTATTTAAAACTATAACACGGGCAATATGATTGTATCTAGGCTAAGAATTTAGACAGAATCTAATATCATATTAGTTATTATAGTTCGATATTTTTTGTATTATTTTTAACAGTTATTTGTTTTGACATCTCGTCTGCCCGTGATCTTGATTGCTGAAAAGTAGCCGTAACGTCAGGAGTATGTAGTTTTTACAAAAATAAAAATCGCATTGTATATCCAAAAAATAAAGTTTCATTTAAAAGTTATTTGTTAAAACAGAGTTATAACTGCTGTTCCTATTGAAATAAACGAATTGTTAAATTCCTTGTCATAATGAGAGGATATACAAACTAGCTATTAGTCGAGAAGGTCATTATTTTTACTAAGTAAAGCGAGGTTTTGGTGATATATGACCCTGTTTAATTTATTATACTTACGTTAATGACATTACAGGAAAAGTAATAAACTTTTTACAACAACTTAGCCTTAATAGGTAATTAAAATGAAAAATTTATTGCTTCAAATAATTTATACCAGTGTGGAGCATATAATGTTTGTTGAAAGTTTTAAATTATTGAGTGTTTTTGATAATATGAAGAGTATTGAAGTGATCTAGTTTGCTTAATACCACTTTTATCGATCACAGAATATATATACAAACATATACAGTTGTTCTTGTTCTTCCTGGCAATTTCCCAGTTTTTAGCCAGGGTCTGCCTTACATGTTGAAAATAGTTTTGGCTAATTGTCTTCACGACCGGCAGCCTGCCTGACATCAACCCTCTTTTGGAATATAAATACAGTATAAAACTGTAATAAATAACTTTTTTTTCTCATTACATTCTAACACTAGCTGTGCCCGCGACTTACTAAAACTATGCGATTACTTATTAACACTATGCGATTAATGGTGCCTATGTATGTATAAGCATAGAATAGTGTTCGACGTGATTCTTTAATTTGACATAACTTTTTTATTTATGAATCGATCGACATGAAATAAACACTAAAGCATAACTGAAGCATACCACAATATATTCGTGAAAACCGCATCCAACTCGGATCAGCCGTTTCTGAGATTAGCGTGAACAGACAAACAGACAAAAAATAAGTTAATTACATTTTTGGGTTCGACATCGACATAACAATAACCCCTGCTATTTTTTTTATTTTTATTTTCAATGTACAGACAGCACTTTTCTACAATTTTATTATATGTATAGATTTCTTTCCAACTAATCAAGAACAATAAGTGTCAAGTTACTCAACAGACCAGTATCTCATTGAGAAAGTAAAAGTGACGCAGCATACACGATATCGTGATGTTCTTACGTTTATTGCCATCACGAACTTAGGTACTGTCAATGAAAAAAGTGATTAAAATATTTTAATATATATACAAATTTGAAAAAAACACATATATATGTAATTGTTTCCAAATATAACTCCTTTAGATGGTAATTATATTATAGTCAAAATATATAAAAATGTTCCATACTAACAAATAATAACAAATGTGTAGGCGTCTCCCAAATATTTTTTCTGTATCACATAATTGATTTTAATCCAGTATATCATGTATATTCTGTAATAAAACAACTTTTTTATCGACTGTACTTAATTCGTCTATTATAATAACTGGTACATTTGACTTCTATTCGTAACAATATGATATAACTACGAGTATAAAACTAGCTGAGATAATGACGTGCAGTTATTAAAAGGTAGATTAAAATCTGATAATGATCTTTGATCGCATATCGTATATATAATTCTATTATTTCTAGCTATTTAGTCTTACTATAATATCTGATAAAAGTTTATATTTAAAGATGTTTATAACTTACAATCAGTTAAAAGTGTGAATTTCGATACAAAAATAGATTTAATACTCCAGAAAACAAAATGAAATACAATATATTGCTATTCATTTTATTGATTTTCAATTATTTCCTTTTAATAAATAACAATCATTAATTTTCAAATTAATTAATACACGTTGGAGTCAAGTTTTATGTCCAAATAAAAAACCTCACATTACAAGCGATACGCTTCAAAAGACTGTTTCATTTAAATGTACCAATAATGGAATTCAAATGTAACAGCACTTCATACCTTTTACGGTCGTTGTAACTGGACATGTAATGATTCTATTGTAATGCCTCACAATTAACCTTCTGTTTGCATAAAGAATGTATTAGGAAATTCTTAAAAGAATGACATCATCACCGGTTGCTATCAGCAGTTGTTTAAAGTTTTAAACAATTGAAATGCAAGATTTTTTATCGTTATCTTTATTGTTAGTATTTACACTTCCTAAAAGCCCTCATTATTACAAGTCTATGTACACCTTGAGAAACTTTTTAATAACCCGAATATCGCATATGATGCAATTACCAATATGATTTATCTCATAACCATTTGACATTTCAAGTATACGTATGTCTTTTAGATTTAATGTCTTTCGTTTTAAGATTACATTCATTCATTAATACATTCATTCATTTTATTGTGTTCCTTTCAGCGCAAGCAGGGATCCTTCTTCCACATGCTCCAGCCTGTCCGGAGCACTATGGAGTTCAGGTAATTTTAAAGACCAATAACAATATGTGAGATTATTTTAAAACCAACCAATTTTACATCATCGTAGACGTTGTATGTATGTGTATGTGTGTGTGTGTGTGTGTTTGTCTTTGTGTGTATCACTCTTCTTTATCTCATTACAGGCATATGCCCACCCTGAGTTATGCGATCAATTCTTTTTGTGCACAAACGGCACACTAACCGTCGAAACCTGCGAGAACGGCCTTCTGTTTGACGGCAAGGGCGCAGTACACAACCATTGCAACTACCACTGGGCCGTCGACTGCGGTGAAAGGAAAGCTGACTGTGAGTTTTAATGACTATTACATTTATAACTATTTTTTTGTTAAGATTCAAACAATATTCGTCGAATATTTGTACTTGAATAAATGACTTATAAATTGTGCTTTGCGATAGGGAGCAATAATTTTAGGGAGCTTAATAAGAGCAATGAGATCTTCTTCTACCTGGCAATTTCCCAGCTATAGCCAGCGTCTGCCTTACATGTTGTGAATAGTTTTGGCTGTTTGTTTTTATGACCGGCCGCCTGACTGACATCAACCCTCTTTGGGAATGCATTAATCAGTGATGTCTAAATACTCTTAGAAGGTACATATGACTCGGAAAAATCACATTACGGGCCAGGATCGGCCACTAGGTCACCACTGACTTTTTAAGAGCAATAAGATCAAGTTTCGTAAAGCAGCTAACTAATTACCTGTATCATCCTCACAGTGACACCATACTCTACTCCCGGTTGCGAATACCAGTTCGGTATATATCCCGACAGCGCTGAATGTTCAACGAGCTACATTAAATGCGCTTTCGGCGTCCCTCACCAAGAACCTTGCACCCCTGGTCTAGTATACGACGAGCGTATCCATGGTTGCAACTGGCCTGATCTACTGCAACCTTTCTGTAACCCTGAAGGTATTTTTATATTTAAATACAATCCAGAAAACGTATATTTCAAGTTTCAACAATATTAAACAGTTATTAGTATTCTAATTTGTGACATATTAGGCAATATATTCTAAAACTAAAATATTTTATTATTTACTGTATAGGTGCTAAAATTTTAACATTATCTTGTAATTATGATTAATCATTATTTCTAAAACTATATGAAACACTATAAATGACAAAGTTATTGTTGATTTCACCTTCAGCTAAGTTCTCAAAAGAAGTTAATAAAGAGAATTCTTTGTTCATGCACTCAAGTAATTTAACTAGAGCAACTTTTCACATTACTATTTATGAATATCACTAGTATATTTAGATGAAACAATACTTTACAAAACAATTTCAACCATAACTCTTGTAAATACATATTAGAAATCTCCTCTTAAATAACTTATTTAAGAAGTTGCATACTAATTTATACAAATATTTTTTCACAGCCGTCGTTGGCTTCAAGTGTCCAACTAAAGTTCCGGCCAACACCCAGTCAGCCAAGTTCTGGCCGTTCCCTCGTTTCCCGGTGCCCGGAGACTGCCACAGACTGATCACATGCGTGGAAGGAAACCCTCGGCTGATCACCTGCGGAGAAGGAAAAGTCTTCGACGACCAGAACCTCACTTGTGAAGATCCCGAATTAGTGCCACACTGTGCTCATGCTTAAATACAAAAAAATATTAATAATCATTCATAAAAAAAAATCAAGCTATTACAAAATTTAACGTGTTTCATAGAACATCAGTTTTGTGATAATTTTATTTAAAATCACATAGGAATTTATTTTCCACCGAATCCTATTTATTTATTTGATAATGTGATTTTAATGTCTTAATTTATCTTCAAATATATTTTTTGTATCCACACTTCAATAGGTTACCAAAAGCAAAATAAATTTGTGTGATATTAGTTACCATAAAGTTACTAAACGTTTTTAGCAATCGATAAAACATTGTATATATTTTATACCAAACAAACCATGTAAATAAAGGACAGCTAAAATGTAAATAGAAAATAATATATATATGAATAAAAAAATATTTAAAAAATAACATGGCTTTAATTTTACGACTTATTACTAAAACATACAAGGTAAAGTGGATGACATCAATTAATCAAGAACAATTAATTTGTTAAGCAAACAAAACAATTATTTAAAGTAACTTATTAAATGCAATTAAACATTAAACGTAGATCTTATAAAATTTCAAGTTTGGTTATTATTTCAGATTGATTTTGAAAGATTATTAAAAGAAAAATTGAAAATATATATTCTTCTAAACAATTTTCATTGTGATGATATTGCCTAAAACTTCTTAGTTTTTACATATTATATAAATCATGAAAATGGTTTCTTATTGAATCAAAACATTAAATGGCTCATGCAGACAATGATAAAACAATTCCCAAAACTAGTTGGCGAAATACAATATAATGTATCACTCGTCTCAGCACCGCACATACGCCTGGTGTTTTAGTTGCTGCAATACTATTGCTGCTATAATTTAAAAACACAGACTACAGTTTAAAACCACTAAAGAAGACTTAAATTTCAATACTATTCTGAGTACATTGCTACTAAAATGATTTTTTAAAGATAATTTAAAAGATATGGGACTTGACTGTCAAAGATATTATATTAAATCGTCCCAGAATATTATTGGTTAATCCTTGTAGGGATATCAAGTTAATTGTGAGAATATGAGCTTAGTAAATAAAGAATATATAAATGTTTTGATCCAGATCTAAAACTTATTTATGGTGTTTAAAGATTATATGTACATACATATATAAAATAAAATAGAAAAACAATGAAGTTGATGGTGGTGAAATTTAATATAGCGATTTTTCATAAACCGGAATGTTGTTATAAAATAGTCCAAGTATTCTAAACCAGTTAGGACTTAATGTAATTCAAATTCGAAGAACTGCCTTTCTCATTACCAGTCTTTAATTTATTTGCTTTTATCAATTTACCAATTTAACGTCTTTGTGTCCCTATTTGTCCCCGTTACAACTTGGCTTCAGTTCGTGATGATCAAATTAGTTCAAAATTAAAGCCAACTGACATAAATGAAAGGCAATCAAAGTGACTTCGACAAAAAGAGATTCAATTTCGACTTCTAATGCTATTTAATATTGTTTTCTAAATTTCTTAATAAATATGATCCGGATATTATATTTTAAAAAGATCAATTTCGGTGATATATACGATTTGCAATCAGACAAAACCGATACAACTGCTTTTTCCATTTATTGTTATAAAAATAATTGTACATATTTAAATAAAAATAAAATTTTTTGGTGTACTACTCGTTTTTTATTATTGTTTTAAAGTAGATACTCCCAACATTTTGGTTCTTTGCAACAGCCGTGATCACGAGCAGATGAGATGAAAATGTAAATCAACACTGCTAGAGTCTTAATATCATTAATAAAAAGATAACTTGCTCTGATTTTTCTTTAAAAAGGACTACTCAGACTGTTTGGTAATAGTACAAAACAAATTATAAATGTTTTACTAATAAGAAATAGGAATAGGAATTCAATACAAAGAATTAATTTTATATTTTATGTCGCATTTAAAAAAAAAGAATATATCCATCTTTAGAAAAAGAATATATCAATATTTTTTTTATTTTCACAGTCCATTTGGGAATGTTAGGATGTTTTCTCCATAAGGTCGGAAAAGTTATTTGGTAATAATATGACGCCTGACTACTACATCTAAGTGTATATAGTTTGTAAGTATATTTAAAACTAGTTTTTGCCCGCGACTTCGTCCGCGTTAGTTTCGTCATTAGTAATATATGTATAGCTGACCGGGCGAACTCTATTCCGTCTTAGAGGCCATAAATAATCAGGTTTTTCCTGTTTCAATCAAACAGAATGATTGACATATTAGTTAGTAGTCAAATCTAATGTCAAAAAAGCGTTTGTATGGGAAATAGAAAAGGGATGTTTTTAGGGTTTTCCCGGCAATTATTCCAATTTTTCTCACCTTTTATACCTTCCCTGAACCTCCACGAACATTTCAAGACTAAGATAAGATAAATCTGTTCAGCCGTTCTCGAGTTTTAGCGAGACTAAGGAACAGCAATCCATTTTTATATATATATAGAGAAGATTAATAATTTTTTAAACATGTTAAGTTTTTAAACGAAAAATTTATCTTGACCATACCTTAAGCCATATCAAATATATTAACTATCTTATGGCTCGAGCATAATAGTATAATTTGAAAAAATGTAATTTGTAAAAAGTTAAAAATTTCTGTTCGGTTCTACCTCTACAGATTGATGAATAATTATTTATTTTAATGACTGTTTTGGCTCAAATCCTTAAAATATAGATATATAGGCATAAATAAGAATATAAGAAATCTATATAACTTATCATTTATTGGCCTAACTATAATTAAATGCTATTTATTCTTCTTCAATTTGTTTTCCTTTGCTGGGTCTCATTGGTTTGCGGCGCGATGAGGATCCTGATGGTTTAGGTTTGGGTGTGGGAGGGTTCTCTAGGGCATCGAGCTCAGCATCTGTCAGCTGACCCTTGTACCAGTCGGCACTGTGAAAGAAAATTTCATCAATATTAAGACTGCACAAAGACCAAATTATCTGAAGAAGCAAATTCTTTCAAGTTATATTTCAATCATTTATTTATAAGCTTACCATTCAGGAACCTTCCTGGCCCATTCGCATTTCTTGCTAACATCGTCAAAGGCTTGACCTAGCTTGCATCCTGACCGTCTTGGTGTGTTTCCATTGATGCACACATAGAAGAACTGACAATCATCAGGATCAGCGTACCGAGGGTGGGTGAGGGCAAATGTCTCATTCACAGCGGGACACTCGAATTTGAAAACATCTGGAGAGATAAAGTTTCTTAGTATCACATACTATATATTTTCAACTTTAAAAACACATTTGCTGAATTACTCTTTATCTTTGTATGAAAAATTATGTTTGTAACCTACCAGCAGCACCACAGCCCTTCTTCTTTGCCTCGTCGGCCCAAGTACAGATTCCAGTCTTGTCATTATACACGAGACCTTCAGGGCAAGTGATGGCGTTGAACTTGCCGTCCACGCAGTAGTAGAACTTTCCACACTCCTTCGGATCCTCGTGGGAGAAGTAACCATTTTGGCGAACACAGTGCTCAGCGGGTATTGGCTCCTCTGTTGAATTTAAACGTTCAATTACGTTTCGCAATATGTACAATTAACGCGGCATACAAAGCTTAGTAATCACAATTTTGTTGATTTTTTTATCCTAATATAGATTAGTATCACCCATTATTATTAGATATTAAATTATTCTAATTGCTTTTTTTATCAAGACAATTAAAAGAACTTGACAACAAATATTCAATAAATTCCAGCAGCGCCAAGGCCGCAGTTCCCTTGAGATGTGAAAGTTGTTCTGAGCAATCGTAACCTTTAGCACGACATCATTATAATACCGATGACACCAACCAGTCGCCAAAAAGGCGTTCACGTGTCGCCTACTCACGTGTACTATGACCTTTATTATCTAACTCTTAAATTAAATTATTTAAATTGATATTTAATACATTAATTTTGTTGCTATGGTCTGTATGTAAAATAAGCTTACGTAATTTGGGTCGCTGTGAACAGTCAATGTTGAACGGCAGATCACACTTTTCCTCTTCGGGACTGTAGTCGTTGAAGACCATACCGTCGGGACACAGTTTTTCGATTATTTGACCATTTCTGCAATTAAGAACAATGACTTTACAGCACTTTACTGTTAATATCAATTTAATTTCATTATTACTAACTATAAACAGCGAAAAAAGCAACAAAATGTTCTACCATTTTTATTTTTGAATATTTCACAGATTCTTTTTGAGAATTGTTATATTTTATTTTTTGCTTACTGTGACTTTAAGCTATCGCAAATGAACTCAGAAAATGTTTTTCAACAAATAAAGAATATTTGTATTGTTAAAAGTATAATGGTTAAAGAGCAGTACAAAAAAATTATCGCAAGATAAATCCAATATTAAATATCAAGCATTAATATTTAGTAAGTCAACCTGATAATTATAAATTCAAATATCAAATGTCAAGGTCCGTCACAATTAGATTTAAAATGTGTATTTATTGAAATATATTTAAATTTGAATATTAAAAATTTAATGAGAAGTTATGAATAAATAGTATACACATACTTAATAGATAAAAAAGTGGTTTTATGAATGATATTAAATTTTGCATAACTTCGCCTTAACTAAAGTTACTACTCTCAGACTTTATAGTGTACAAAAGTAAAGGTTTTTATCAATACACTACAACTTAAAATTGTCGTAAAAATACGTTTTTTTAAAATTATATTTAATAAAAAGCTTAAATATCAAGAGAAAGATGTAACAAATATATAATAATATTTTTAAGGGGAAGTAAATGACATTTCCCTTATAAGTTGTGCTTTAATAACTTTTTCAAACTAAGTATGTATTACCTGCACTCGTAGTATTTGTCACACTGTTCAGCGTCAGCGAAGAATCCATCATCAGGGCAGGAGCTGGTGATCTCCGCGTCTCTCTCCGAGTCCTCAGCTACTCGTGAGGGAGGGTTGGCTGGCTTACGACCCTTCTTTGGTACAGCTGACGAAGCTAATACTGGAAAATCACGACAATATTATTAGTACATTTAAAGAAAACAGTTAAATATATGGCAAAATAATTCAAACATTATCCGCTCAATGAATAACGTGTATCTAAATACTGTAATTTACATAGTGCCTTGATTTATAAACTACTGTAAAGTTCGCATATGTAAAATTCTTTGAATAAATTTGATACAACTTAAATGTCTCTCGTTAAACTTTTATTGACATTTAACTCGTCTGAACTTCTAACAGTTTTTACATTTACAAATACGATTCAAGGCCGAATAAAATATAAACAATAAAAGTTGAAACTTTTACTATTTTATAGATTAATTTAATATCGATATTGAGTGTCTCAATATTAAATTTATTGTAATACTTAACGAGTTTGACATTGAATAAATAAATAGTTATTGAGAAAAACACGATAGAACAGACATACGAATACGGCCATGTTTCCTGTCGCTCGCTTTTAATTATCTAGTTGTTCACATTGAAAATATTTCAGACTTCCTTTTAAATAATGTCAAAGTTAATTATAGCTTTCTTCTAGGATTACTAAAGTTACTTTATATTAATTTTCCTTCGATATACATGCATTATCTATATGTATATTATCTATAATACTATTAATATATGAACTTGAGACTTTTATTAAAAATATTTATTTCATATTTAATACTATATATGTATTTATGTGATATAAAATATACTTTTGTTCACACATTTCGTGTAATACATTATTATAAGTAATAAGATTGTGACAGTACATGGACAAAGACTGATGAAGCAACTTTCTGTGTTACGTAACATACTGAAAGTTGTGCCAAAAAATATCTGATTACCATCTAAGGCTTTAAAATAGACCTGAAATAGTTAGGTAATGATTTAATGAAAAAAATGAATGAAAACCACGTTACTGTTTAACGGTTCAAATAATATTAATATCGAATTAAGATAATAAGTATTAATATAATAACTACATATATATTTATTTATATTTATATATAAATTACTGAAACATTCTGTTACTAATTCACCCTTATTAAAACATAACCTTGATTGAATACTTTCATAACCATATTACAAATGCAAAGTGAAATACATTTAAAATTATTAACTGATTACATCAGTACAAACGGTTCAAGTTTAAATAATCAAAGTTACCATGAAAATCAAAAATAAATACAAAAAAAAATCGAAGAAACTATAAAAATATATAATAAAAAGACCTTTCCAATTAATGACCAAAGTGCTTCGATGGATATGGAAATGTTTTGAAATAACACAATGGAAAATATATCGATACACAGAATGGGTTATAACTTATAAGTAATTGACATTCAAAGTTCATATAATAAAAAAGACCTTTCCAATTAATGACCGAAGTGCTTCGATGGATATGGAAATGTTTTGAAACAATTAATACAATGGAAAATATATGAATAAATGGAATGGGTTATAACTTATAAGTAATTGATATTCAAAGTTCATGTATTGATGTGTTATACATAACGGAAAATACATTCCACACACTTACCTATCACACACGCCAGTACGACTATCGATTTGAGCGCCATCTTTTATCAAAACAAACACTAATTTCAAACTTATTGTACCTTATGCTCTCACTGCGTTCTGCGACGCACTGACAACAACAGTTTTTGTCCTCAGTTCTTAGCTGGACGTTCAGCGAAAGGTTACACTGCAACTATCTCTTTCCCACTCATATATATACATATATATCCGCACTCTTCTCGCACGAGTGAGAGACATTAGTCCTGGTCTCTACGTGCTCTGAAAGAGAATTGTTTTAGAACAGAAATTTGCTAATTGACTATTAGATAATTAAAAAGCATTAGAAGAACGCCATTTATTGTATTTTCATGATTATTCTATGTAACTAATTGATTATAAAATGTTACACAACCTGGAATTTGGGTCGCATTAACAAATATATATCAATTAATTAATTGTTCGTGTTTTAGTCACATTCCGATTTTCACTAAATGTTAATTCATACGTACAAATATTTGACTTCATACTGTTATTACTAATATTATCAAAAAATAACATTCTTTCAATATGAATAAATGAAAATTAATTAGGTATAAATCATTAATTATAAATATGACTCTATGAAAATGAAATAACGCGTTGAAGTCTTTTATATGAAAAAACTTATTAACAATAAAATTACTTTATGCTTCTTAACTTCAAGGTATTTACTAAATCTAATTAGTCCTTTTACATTATCTAGACCGAAAACTATATTCATTATAAATATATAAAGGATTTTTTTTCTTACCACCTAAGCTGCTGAACTAGGGAAATTATCAATATTTTAGTTCCAACTATAAAATAAAACCGTTTTGACAAAATGCATTATTTATAAGAAACAAAACTATATATAGAAATGTAGAGTCAAAGTAACAAAACTCTCCGTCTTGGAAGTCGGTTGATAAGAAAGTTATTCTGTCAGTCATGACGCCACGCCGCGCTCCAATGAGTTTTGAGTAACATCCTCTACAAGACATACTTACATTCAGAATCCCAATACTAATATATATGACAAAACTAAATAATTACTATATTAAAGTACAATTTAATAAAACATTACAAATGTTAAGTGAATATAGGCTTAGTCGAGGAAATGCAGGCTTTATAATTGTATAATAAATCTTAATTTTGACAACATTTCAAGCATATAATTATATATTTCTAAAGCTATATATATATATATATTATTTAAATCCATCAAGCTTACGTAATTCCTTAAGTACATATATTTTATACGTTTTATTGGTAATTATCAATTCAATGATAGTATTTGTATTCATGAACATACGCTTGTATAAATCTGTGGATTAAATTGTTTGAATACGCACAAGATACAAATAAAAATAATAAAGATTATTATCATCAGCCTATCAGAGCCCAGTATTGAGCAAAGGCCTTTTCTCACATGGAGAAGGTAAAGATTATCTTCATTTAAATGAAACTAATATTTTTTCTGTTATACTACGCGGTTCATTTTTATGAAAAAACTACATACTCCCGACTATTTTACAGCAAGATTATATTGTCAGTACATAATTTATTTATAATTTAATTTAAGGAAATTCTTTTTAAACGCAGCATCACTTACTTATATCAACTTTTCCGAGTTTTATAATATATTCACTGTAACTGGTTAACTTACTTAGTACAAAACTTGTTATTTAAAAGCAAACTCAGTAAATTTAAATTTTATACAATAAGTATGTACTCGTATAGTGATGTGTAAGAATAGAATTTTAAAAAGGGTGTACTTAGAAAATGAAGCATAACATTTTGTATTGATAAAAATCATTCCGTAAATAAAGAATCTTTCGAAAAAATAATATGTATGTAATATGTATTTGAATGACAAAATATATTCTAGATGTGAAATAATACAATCAAAAGAAAATGTAATTAGAAAATTAAGAATAGAAAATGTTTTTAAGGAAATCATTTTTAAAATATTGAGTACTAGCTTTTGCCGCGGCTTCGTCCGCGTGGAATAGTTACTTCCGACGGATTTTTGGTTCTTCCCACATAGTTCCCGTTCTTGCGGGGTTTTCGGAATGGTCGAGTTCCCGTAGAATTTTCAGGATGAAACCTATATTTTTTTTTATTAATAATGAAGTACTCTTAACCAACAACATATTTATTTGTTTATATGAATAAAGATTAATATTATTATTTTGATACAACGTAAATTATTTCGACAAAATTAGGTACCATAAAAACGGTTTTTGTGAGTTAATCTTAAAAGATAGACATATACTGTCCCGGACTGTTTTTTAGATCATTAAAAGAGCTATTATTCTTTCATACATATTTTTTGTGTATCTTGAACCGTTTTCACGGCGCACGCAACGGAAGGCTTCAAAGATGAAATAATTTCTCCCGTTTTTTACACATTTACCACTATATCTTTGCTCCTTTTGGTCGTAGCGTGATGTTATATAGCCCACAGCCTTCTTCGATAACTGGACTATCCAACACAAAAAGAATTATTCAATTCGAACCAGTAGTTTCGGAGATTAGCGCTTTCGAACAAACAAACTCTTCAGCTTTATAAAATTAGTATAGATTTTGAACAGAAATCTTCTTCATAAGTTTAATACCGAAATTTCATCTTAATAACAGTCTTAGTTTCTGAGACATACAAAAACACACACACACACACATATAATTACCATGTAACAAAACATTAATAGAAACCCAGCCTACAGTACGAACAATCTCACTACTATTATAACATTTTTTTTCACCAGCGAAAGTGAATTTTCTCATCTGCATGAAGATTCGTCTAACAATGACGATACATCAACACTGGCGTGCGAATTTGCAAATAAGTTTCTTCACGCACCTGCCAGAGAAAGTCTGTCTCAATGGTCTTATGATGATCATTTCCAATTACTAATAAATACTTAGCAACTTAATATATTGTTGCAATTAAAACTTAGATATTCCATTAATTTGTTTGGTGGAATATAGTCTTCTCATTCAAATATTGTGACATTTATTAATAGCAAGTTTAATAATAATAGCTTTTTATTAATAGAAAACTTCTTAGAATTATGAGATGTAAAATTTTCGCGAGTTTTATTCATTTCAATGAAACTAATATTTTAAGGATTATACTACGTCTCGTATGCCCGTGATCACGGTTGCTGAAAAGTAGCCGAAACGTAGGGAGTATGTGGTTTTTGACAAAAATAAAGTCGCGTAGTATAATCCGAAAAATATTAGTTTCATTTAAACTTCTTAGAACACTTATTTACGAAAATTTAGCTTCCATTGAGAGCATACTTCACATAATGTTAAACGGAACAATGTCAGAAAGGAAACAAAAAAAAACGCTCTAATACCGTACAAAGTTCTTAAGAAAATATTTAAAAACAACTAAAATTATTTAACTTTGAACCATAATTGAAGTCCCTAAGGGAGTATGTAGTTGATAATCAAAAATAAAAAATTGAGAAGTAAATCCGAAAATATTAGTTTAATTCATACTTAATTGAAGTTAATAAATGGGTAAATACCCAACCTAAAATCATCTTATATCGTCTTTTTATAATGACCATAGTTCATTTATGACAATGAAGTACTTTTCATTCCAGTTACAATAATTTATTCCTTGTAGCATTTTACAAAGCCCGTTTCGATGCCATGTCGCTTTTCAAGTAGTCGACTTTATAGCCTTAATTTAATAACTATAGTTATAATAAAAATTGTTTAAACAGTCATTACTACATACAGTTTTAAGAAATCGTACTTTTTCTTATCGCTCCGAACTCATCGAACCATAAAGATAAATTGTCATTTTATTGCGTCCGTCTTATTATATTAAATGTACCACTTAACTACTGTTTATCGTTCATTGTTACTGTAATGAATATTTAGCGCCATAAATATAAAAAGGATATTCAATTACATACATAAAAATATATAATATGAGAAGAATGAAAATGATTTCAATATATTAAAACAGTCAACAGGTTCAGTGATATTTTAAAAAAACAATAATTATTAATATTAATATACTTAAAACGATATATCTGTAATGTATATAAGTATGTAATATATTAAACTTTAAAAAACTGAAGTAATATATCTTAGTTATATTTATTTCTTGGTATTAAATGTTTTAATCATCAAAATAATAATGTGCAATTGATATTTATTTCTCTTTCTAAAATTTTTGAGTGGTAGACCCTAGATGCGGTCATACTACAGCTCGAACATGGGCTGGCTCGACCGGGGAAGTACCACCCTCCCACAGAAGATCGGCGTGAAGTAGTCTTTAATGGCTGCGTTTCGTCCGATGAGTGAGAGAGCCGGTTGCTCGTTCTCTTTTTCCTCCCTTTTTCCTCCCTTTCCCCCCCTTCCCCCCCCCTTTCCTCCCAGCAAGGGCAGCAACACATCCTCAAATTTATATTGAGGATGTCCATGGCTGTGTTCTCGACTTAGTATATTTTTTAATATAAAACTTTTGTCAGATCAAAAATTATTTTCTTTCAACTGATTTTCTTATCTATACTATGTTAATTTTGTTTTTCTTTATATTCTATTATGGTTATATCTCGTAACCTCCATATTACATATATTGAAATCAAAATATTATTATGTCATTATTTCTTAAGGAAGACCAGCTAGCGTTATTACACCTTAGGAATAGGCAATTTTCTGAAGGGAACCTATCCTATAATAATTGCGGTTTGGTTTGAGCACAGACCATAGAATCATGGAGTCATTATTATTTTTTAGATTTTGAATATAAATTCTATTATATATTTCAAGTCGTCCGTATAAGAAAAGTATTTTTATTATTTTATCAAATAATTTTTGATTAAAAGCGTCAAATAAAATAAAAAAAATGATAGCAAGTAAAAATACAATATAACAATCAACTCGGCATCACAGTTTCGGTTTGAAAGATGAAAAATTCATTTATAAATTGGAATTAGTACTTGAAATTCATATGTCGCTCTAAAGCCACATTACCTATTTGAACAGTTTAAAAAATATGTTTGCCAATGCAAATTATATTTAAATAATACTTCTGTAGTTGCACTTGCTTATGTATATACATATACATAACAATCATATGGTCGCTTCTAGTAAAGTTTATTCACCTGACGCTACCAGGAGAATATGTTTATAAATATGTACATATAATAACTTTGTGGCTCATGTGTTTGATTGCTTTAATAATAACTATAAGCTAAAAATATAACTTGAAAAAAGAGAAAAAGTAACCAACTACATATGGTTACTATAAATATTATTAAAATAAAACAATCGTCATATCTTCATCATCGTCACTTTAAAAGTAACTACCTAATTAACCAATCCCATATTACCAACGGCTTAACAAATTTATTTTATTATATTTATATTGAGATTGTGTTTGCATTATACGAAATGAAATTAAAAACTTTCAACACACAAAAAACTTTAATGGAAGTATATTGTATATGCAAATAAATTAAGGGGTTAATTAAAATAGTTTCGTGGGAGGAGACTGCGTGTACTGGGTAATTAAGTACACATTCAGATTAAACGGACAAAGGAGCAAGAACCAAGCTATAAAGGTAGCCTATAATCATGTAAGGCACATTACATTATTAATTAAGCAAAGAAATTATTACTCTTATCATATAAATAACTTCCATCTCATAATATAAAATAAAAGTCACGATTTTCAATGCATTAATAAATACTTCGTACGTGGAAAATAAAAGCAGAACATTTCAAAGGGATTGATTGACAGTACACGCTGGGATGTCAGGAAGCAAGGGGATCAGTCTCTTTGAATAATGTAGCGTACGGAACCCGATTGTATCCGACTGTCTGTACGGTGATGCATGCCCACATTAAGATCGTAGCCATGATGCCGCTCTCCCTATAACGTACCTCTTGTTTTACAAAACGGATTTAACTAGCTCCGACTGCGGTTACTCTTGTTCTATTTATATCTATAGAAATGTATTAATAAATATATGGCATTGACGACTACATACAGAAATTTAAGCGACTTATTTCTAAGAGATTTTTTCATTATTATACCACCTATTTTCAAAACTAAAATTTAAATTATTCAAAATAATTATGGATATGCATTTTTAAGATCTCATTTCAGTTAAGAATATATTTGTATTACGAAAAATTTCAAAAATACATATTTCATTGTCTTAATTACAACTTCAAAAAAGCATATTTAAGGCTCCCGTATAATATTGTACAAAAGTTAAAAAAGTATGAGAACGCTCACAATAAAAACCATAAAAATATACTTACCATACATGACATTTTATGGGTACTTCTTAAGGATACTGTGGAACGAGTGTATCCTTTTTGGATCATGTGACGTCCGAACATACCCACGTATAGTACTACAACGGCTATAAAAGCTAGGATTAAGCTCCAGTACGGACATTGAAGGAGAATCTCTACGCGAAATAAGGACCATGTGGACTTTTACACTACTCCTGGTTTTTACAGCTATATGCGGAACCAATAGTGAACCAGTCTGGAACAAGCCGACTGAAAAAAGTGTCAGACAAAAACGACTGCTCTGTGAGTATTATTGTTTAAAAAAACTTTCATGTCATTATATATTATGTTCTCTTTATATTCGATTTCAATATACTAGATTTTATAATAATATCTACAAAATAATTTTATTTATATTTGTTACATAAACTGATCTAAAAATTAAACTATGTACGCCTTTACAATTAGATCTATTTAATATGTATGTATGGTGATAAATATAAAGTTAAAAATACCAAATAATATTTTCAGTCGTATGTTTAATTCGAGGAATTTACAGAAATTATTTAAGAACGAAGAGCAAAACCCTTATTATAACAACGGTAATGCATCATGCATGTTAACTGTGATTTATATTTAGCAACATGTATATGTATGTTTGTGCATATTTATTATTTAACAAAGTGCATTGCGCTTTGTGTAAGTGAATTATTACAGCGAGTCCTCTAGCCCTTGATATTATCAGGCAGTAAAACGTCTTTATTATCTTAAATCTCGATTCGTGTGATTAATAGCGCTTCTCGTTCAATATTTTCTCGTTGGATTTTTGCATTAAAATAGTTTTTTTTTATATTCTCAAATGTTTAAATTATTCTATGACTTATATGATATGGTTGTTTTTCGTCCACAGTTTACGATGAACAAGGTCAATTAGTGAAAACCTATGGAAGCCCTTTATATCATTTTGGTCGGCAGGAACAAGAAAATTTATTTCAATGGAGTTTCTTGAACATGTTTCTAAGTCCAGTATTTGTAAGTGTCTTTGAATTAATTCTTATACAATTACTCATCTTGTTATAAATGAGTTGTTTGTATACTACTACATATATTCATTGTTTTTAACTACTTATTCATGTATTATATAGTCCTAAATATCATTGTTTAATTATTATTCTATTAAAACCATTATTTATTATAATAAACTAAATTTTTAATAAACAAAAAAATATGAAAATTTGTTTCATACAAAACATATATAAGTAATACTAATTATCAAATAAGAAAAATTCTACTAACGATTCTATTTCAGCCGACAACGCTAGGTAGGAATTCCATAACCTACATGGTCCCAGTATCAGACGCAGTAATACATCAGATCGATAAGGATCCATTGTACCAGAATATGGTCTTCGTACTCAGTTATAAAGATCCGGTTGTAGAGACAAATCCTCTCTGCGCTGGTAAGAGAACTCAAATCCCGTCTCCAGAAATGTGCAACAACTTCTTGAATTGCTGGGACGGCTGGGCCGTGGAGCAAGAATGCCCCGCAGATCTTCTATTCTCTTCTGAAGGCTTCTGCGACTATCCTTTTAACGTCGAATGCAATAATAGAAAAATACCAGGTATGTTATATGATAATTAATAATTAAATTACACAAAAATACTATGGATCCTTGTTGACATATTAGAAAAAAATTACATACCAAATTCAGTTACATTCTCCTCTTTTTTTATTACATTCAACTAGATTTTTCTTTCGACTTCATTTGATGTTTATTTTTGATCCACTAAAATTAAGAGATTTTCAACAAAATTTTATTTATTTTTGCATTTTTACCTAAATAGAAATATTTGTATCAAAATACATTCGTATATATATATAGCGAGGTTAATAATAGAACTAGGATAGATGCAATAAAAAATAACGTTACTTTTAGTCTATAAAATTCCAGTTTGTATATTAAACTTCATATTTTTATGAAATTATACAATTATGTCATTACATATGAAAAATGGTTATGTGTCGTAATTGTATGCTACAAGCCTTAACAGGATACAAATTCTAGATAAAACAGATACAATCTAAAACATGACTATATTCTGTAATGTAGACCTGTAAAAAAATATACCATATAAGTCGATTAGTATAAAAGATTGTAGGAAAAGTACTCCGTTATTATTATATATGTATAATAAAAATATATAAGCCGCTAAATTCGGTTCGATAATATAATACAATATAATAATAATTTATAATACCTCTAACCAAAGTGTGTGATCGTCGATTTTATGAGTCAATTTTGTGCATGCAAAACAACATTTTTTTTCTATTTATTCACCTATTCTCGCTAATATGAAGAAACGATCTAAATGAATTTCTTATAAGTGTTTCAATAAATAATATTAGTGACAACAATATTAATAATGTGAGAAAAATATTATATATCATCCCTCATATTTCTTGCACTATCCTATCTCAGTAAGTTACGGTCAAGTTGTCATCGTCACACGACATACCGAACGTTGATGGATTAAATATTCATGAATATTTAAACGTTACAGTATTTACGTAGGTTAAGTCAGTGGTGGCTCAGTGGTTAAAGGGCCCGCCTCTCGTCGACGAGGGCGCGGGTTCGATCCTGGCCCGGGCAAGTACCAATGTGATTTTTCCGAATCATATGTACTTTCTAAGAGTATTTAGACATCACTGATTAATGTTGATTCCCAAAAGAGGGTTGATGTCAGGCAGGCGGGCCGGTCGTAAAAACAAGTAGACAAAAACTATTCACAACATGTAAGGCAGACCCTGGCTATAGCTGGGAAATTGCCAGGTAGAAGAAGTATTTACGTAGGTTATTAAATGAGAAACATCTGTGGCGGTAGTGGCGATACAAACTTAGATTAAACCTACGGAAATCAGATTTATTAACGAATCACAGAATAAAACGCTTAAATATAAAGGCAACATTTAGAAAACTTTCTCTAATTTAATAATAGTTTCCTAAACCAAATCACTTACTTCATGTGCTTTGAATTTCTATTAATATTTTTAAAAAATACCAGCTTACTGTGTGAATGTCTTTAAGCAGTTGCAATTTAGCATCAATAGATGGCGTGAGGTTATTTCTTAGCTATAATACTACAACCACTAATACTTAGACCTTAGTATTAAAAGCTAGTCAGTCATTTAACCTTATATGCCATGTACGAGATGAAAATACCGCATTCTTAAATTAGATAATATGACACAAGTACACTTACACTAGTTGAAATTTACATTCTTAAAATGCATTTAACTTGCAAGATAGACACGCATTACAAGGAAACTCAGGCAATAATTCTTCCCATATACGAATTAAATCGGAATATTTGCAAGTTTATAAATAGTTTATTTAAAACATTCATCCAGTTTCTAAAGTGAATTGGAAGAACAAATAACTTTGACGTCATTGATCTGTCATGTAATGTTTATTGAATATTATTTATTTTAATGACACATACAATTGAGTACGTAAAAATCTCAATGACAGAGACAGCTTTTGTCTGGCTATCAACAATTGACAAAAAGTTAATATGGTTCCCGGTGGAGAATAAGATATAGCTTCTCTTAACATTTCAGAACGTCCAGAGCCAGCATGCAAAACTGACTTCCAAGTGTTTGCGAGTCGACACAATTGCAGTGAATACTTCGTGTGCGTCAACAGCATTCCAGTTAAGTTCCAGTGCCCTGGTGACCTTGCCTACAGCGAGGTACTATTATAATTTATACGAAATACATTACTTCACCTAGCACTGTGAACTATTTATTCATATAATTAAATGTAAAGATATTGACTAGTTTGAATGATTTTCATGTTAATAAAATGTGATGAAATATATCAGAGAATTGAGGTACTGAGGCTGAACGATACAGTAACAAATATAAAGTTATATATTACTTATATTGAGATGCTTCAATAGTGTCTCGACTTTATAGCCATAGTGGTATTATTGAACCATCCTGTATAAAATTGGAAAGGAGTTTTATGGAGACAACAAACAGATGAACCATGATCTCATTACTGGGATGTTGCTTCAAGGTCACTCGCCTTTCATAGTGACTCACGGATACATTTTCTATACAAACATGGACAACGTCTTCAATATCAACAGCATTTGCATTAAGACTAACAAAGTAGCACTAATTAATTAACTGCCTGAAATAGACGGCGAGGTTGATTTAATATGCATCGAGATCTGACTACAAGTGAAAGGCATTTATCAAAGAACCTCGTTATAAAAGCATTAATATTTTATTTTTTATTAACATAATACTTCCGCATGGCTATACTTTTTATCCCATTTACAGTATTTAGGTGTTTGCGACTATCCACATATAGTTGAATGCAACATTACTGCGGCAACAAACCCCTCAACCACTCAATCAACAGAAGTTCCAGAAGTATTTATGAGCTCAACTCCCCCAGTCAGTACCACGTCGCCACCTTCGACATCTTCATCGTCAACAGATCAGAAAGTCATCAATAAGATGGAATATAACATGCGTAGTGAGTTACTTGTCTCTAATTATATAAGTAACTAAATATATTTTATAATTTATACATATTATACTATGTCAGGTTGGACATCCACTCACGTTGCCATCTCCCGCCAAGACGCAATAAGACAACTTCAGCTTGAAAAAATCGCTCAAGTCAAAACGAAGAAATAATATTTTTTACGTCTGGTAGCATTATATCACATCTTTGTGGATACTTGATTCAGAATTCAAAGTTAAAACTTGTTTTTATTCTGCTTTCAATTTCATAAAAAGGTTTAATAGTCTATCTATACTTTGATATTATATAATATGTATGGAAAAATATAAAACAACCAATTAGGATTACAGATTTATTTACAAAAAAATAAAATAAAAAGAGTTTGCTCTTAGCTAACTTAAACTAAGTTTAATGACTACTTTATCCGTTTCAACACAGCACCAACACGAACACGTCGATGGTACCATGTCAAAGTAATCTAAGGGAAATATTATATAACTTTTGGACAAAAATTAATAGTTATAATAACTTAATTCTTTTCCAAAAGTTATTGTAGTATAGATTAAAAGTGACTGGAAATTTAAAACTGTTTCGAGCGCTACTTCAAACAGACTGAAAGAAATAATATACAAGTATGTATCCAAAAATAAACATCTTTACGACCTTGAACTTAAAACTTCCAATAAATATGAATAACCAGTTTTATACTGAAGAGGTCACTTTTTAAGTAAATCGAAAGGATTTAACTTCAGTCTGTTTTTCGAGTCGCTCCTTGACATTCAGAATCCCAGCTTCTTGAGTGCCTTTAGGTCGACGTCACCATAGTAATCTTCACTGTAAAACAATAACATGTATTAAAATTACGTCATTTAAATAAACTTATTTTCTCAAAATATATATTGCTTATTATTTTTCTCACAATTCATAAACTGTTTTATATTATATCTTGATTAGAACAAAAGTTTCCTCAGTATTAATTTGTTTAGCACACGTACCTTAAGTTACCAAAATGGTCCTTAAATTTTGGTGTTCGGTACAAAGGGGTAGAAGATAGCTATTTATACAAAAGAGTAGAAATAAAAAATAAACAAACTGAAAAAGACGAAAGTTAAAAGGTTATTAAGTAGTAAATGCAACAACAGAAAAAAGGGTGACCAGAAAAATAGGTGTTATAAGGAAATCGTGCAAGTGCCAGTTGAGTAGAACAAAAAGTACAGTTGTATTTTAATATATTTTGTTTATTGTATCACTAAAAATAAAACTTAAGTATTACAGTTTCTATATCAAACAACAACACTCAGTCGCAGCGAATTAATTCAATATATAGAATATTTACAAGGTCGTTTCATATAATCGGATTTTCATTTTGTATAAAGAAGCTTAAGTCTTAAATGCGAACCCTATGGGTTTTCACCAGAAATTTATATATACTCGTATCATTAATAAATATTAATTACAACATGTCAATGTTTCGTTTAATAAAATGATAAAAGGGACCATCTAAATAAAATAAATATTTCTACCGCTGTATGTTCTCTACTAACTTTCTAACCTGCCTCGTGAAACTGTTAAAGGCTAAAAACAAGAAAAGTATTTGGCAACTGAAAATGAATATAAATCAAATTGTTTTCGTACTTAATCATAACGTTTTGAACCTGAATTAGCGTCAACACACACGACAAGCAAATTCTGTTAGGAGTTATCCGAATTATGATAATTCTGGTCAATTACTTTGTTTGTGGTGTGCGAAGACGGAAGTTATATAGTGAGTATTAAAGGTTAAGTAAGGAAGAATAAAGATTTAGTTTTCTTTTTGGGGACGAGGTTTCAGGTTTGATTTGTGCTGGTGGGCCTGGCCGTTGCTCTGAAGACCAGCGAGCAGCTCGCTCTTGCGGATAGCCTTCAGATCCAAATCTCCATAGTAGTCCTCGCTGAAAATGTACGCGAACCTTACTACCTCTCGATACTACAAGCGACATCTCTTTATACTAATCTTATAATTATTACATCATCCGTAAATTGAAAAACAATGAGTACTGAATGGTTATAACATTCTTGCAATTCTTATATAAATGGATATAATAATTCCTACCAACTTTTACTAGTAGTTGTGACTAAGTACTTTATTTATTAATTGTGTAACAAGAACTCGTTCACGTCGCACAGTTAAGAGTGAACTGCCTTGAAACCACAACAAGAATACTAAAATTTTGCCGTTCCAAGTACTAGAAAATATAATTATCCGTTTTTTAAACTGCCAGTTATTTTTCCTCTACAAAAAGCAAAGTCTTATATAAAATCTAAATATGCTAGAACACCTAAGAAATATCTATAAAAACAGTGCATTGTGCTTTTCATCTATTATGTTTAGACGTGACTTTCAGTTTTATGCTATAAATTCTTAAGATATGTTTACAATGACTGTTCGTTGGCCTAAAATTTTTGCGTAAATGGTGCATATTGTCATTGTTAGTCACAAGGAAAACAAGAACTGGGTTACAGGGTCAAAATTATAAAGAAAGTTTAAAAATTAACCCAATAATAACCAGTGAGGTAAGAAGTAAATTATCTAGTGGTTTAGTCGAGATTGTTTTTATGAAATTGGAAGGAAAGCTTGATAATTTGTAAAAAATACTCACCATCCGGGAACATCTTCGGGGTCTTCGCAGTTACCAGTGCCATCAGCATCACCGATTTTGAAAACGGTACCGATGGGACATCCGTATTCACGGGCTACTCCCTCAAGGCAGATGTAGTATTTGCGGCAATCTTCAGGGTGGGCATGACGACTGAAAGATCCAGCGTTGGATACTTCACCGGGGGCGGGGCAAGAGAATCCATTTGCGACTTCTAAGGGCAATAACAAAAAAATTAATATAAATCATTTTAGTCCTATGGGCACAAAAGTTACTTTAAGATTTCTCCTGAAATAAAAAACGTACCTTCGTTTCTGCACTCAGGAACTTGGTCAGCCCACATGCACACACGGGCTTCTCTGTCGTAAGCAAGTCCAGGGCTGCACTGGTAGCGGGAAGCTTCACCGTTCCAGCAGTTCCAGAAGACGTCACATTTGGCCTCATCGGGGAAGATACCGTACAGTCTAGAGCAGTGAGGAGTTCCGATCGGTGGCTCTGTGTATACAAATAAATGAGTGTAAAAAAACTGAAATGAGAATGTGTTATTCACATATAAGTATCGACCTTGATTCGCATCCTGCTTGAACGTAAAAAACAGACTTATCATGTCATATAAATCCTTTAACCTTGACCGCGTATAATATGTATATATGTATTAAAGCCAGCGCCGTGTAATATAATAACATCCTTGCATAATTAATTGTTTTGCTCTTTAGAGTAAAATTACTTCCGCATTGTGAGGAATTTTTAAGTTTCTTTTTACTTGTTTTGCTATGTGTAAAGTATATGAATTATTTATAACTCACCGAGCTGTGTCCTCTCTCCGCATTCAACGTTGTGGAGATAGTCGCAATTTTCAGTCAGGTATTTGGAGTCACTAGCATCGAAGGCAAGTCCGTTTCCGCAGGTTTTCAGTTCAGCGACACCATTGTCGCACTTCCAGTACTTATCGCAGGAAATGTGGTGAGGATAGAAGCCGAAGTCATCAGGACATTTGAAGGAATCTTGGGCAACAGCTAAACAAAAAGAAATAGACCATTAATACATGTTTTTATTAAAAATAGATTTCTTTTTAATAAAACTCAATGATATTTGCCAGAATGCAATTAGTTTTGCAACATACTGGTCGCGGGCAGGGCCGTTCTTTCTCCTCGGAATGCAACGCGACAAACTTGTGTTGAGCAATCTATCGCAGTACTAGTTAGCACTAACCTACTCTTTGTTACTCATACTTGTGTATTTACCCAACGCACGTGGCTTAAGAAAGTAGGCCAGAAATCTTAACCATATTTGAGAATTAAGTTTCGCAAAACATCAAGCTATTTTTTAACTTAGATTGGCTTAACGAAGTAAAATTGACAAAAGAATCGGGAAATTAAAAGTTATTATCAAATTATAAATGTTCTCACACATTCGTGAACATTTTACAGAGATACGAGTCTCGCAATAGCTTATGTCATATGTTTTACTGTATGTGCGAACTGTTGACATTTAATGTGAACTGTGGGCTTTCAACTTCCAGCGCTATAAAGTTAGCTTATTAAGTTTACAAAACTGTAATAAAATATTTATTTATATAGTTTACAAAACTGTAATAAAACTTAGAACAAATTTTATTGCTTAAATATATAAACTCCGCTTGTTCCAATCACACTATCCATTGTCTTAGATTCGTTACGCGAAAGCGACCTATATCTCCAAGGTAAATTAGTAACTTAAATATAATTAGCAGTCATGTATGCGCGGTGGAGCTTTACGCAAGCAACAGCCGACATCTGAAACCTCCCAGGTCTAAGATGTCGGCGATGACATAATTCTTGTTCTATGCCATATAAAACCATTATACAACACTGACAGGTTGTATTATTTGCATGTTTCCGTGACACAAATAGTTACAACAATTTGCAAAACGATTTCCATTTAGATCTAAACATTCTACACAAACGCTTTATGTTTGATTATCAAAGTAACTTATCATATCAAAGTGTATTACGTAAAATCAATAATAATTACGTAATAATAAGGTTAAACTATTAAGTAATAATGTGAAAGCCGAAAATACATCAACAGCTTGTGGGAGGAACTTTCGATTTCGTTAACACATGCCGCGAATCATATTACTTAATCTCTGACCGTAGATGACCTTTAAACCTACAAAAATGTAATCTATTACATAAACTATCATCCGTTCAGATTTATAAATGTTAGTTTTAAAAGCTAATTTAGATGAATCTAATATGCTTTATTCGATTTTATGTTATTTATAGCCTGAACGAATATATTTTAATTCCGACATTTTAACTATGTTACGGAGATGTGAATCTCTAATGTGTAATTAAGAGTTTTTATGCGTTTGGTAACACTTTAAATAACATTAGCCAACAGCTAAACAGAGAAAGCGAAATAATTTTTCTGGTTTAACAACTATCAATGGTAGTAAAAGTTTAAATTGAATATTATATTAAACTTGTTATCTTCTATGTTATTCATAGATTTTAGGTATAAAAACTAAAGTATGCAACTTATAGGATGGATCGGAATAATACAACAAGAGACGGGTTATTTATATCATGAAGTTTGAAGGACAGACAATCTCCGATCGACGTCGGTTCAAACAAGATGTTTTTGTGATTAAATAATACACATTGTTACTAACACATGTCATACAGAACATTTAAATTTTTGTTCTGAATAGTAATCAAAAGCTTTAATGAAGCGCAATTACCTCTTGTTTATAATATAATTTATAGAACAATAAGAAAATACTAAAAAATGACTTCGCATTACAATCTACATATGTACTGAACAAAACATTCTGAACCTTCAATTAATAAAAGCTATAGTATACTGTTGGTAATTATCATCTTTGTTAAAAGGGATTTCCTTCACAAAAAGTAACAACATCCGTTTCTTTGTGTCCACACGAGTGCGTTGATCACAAAACATTTGTCTAAATCAATAGAATGTATTTATTTACGAATCAATAAAACCGAGATAAAACCGATTATAAAACTATTTAGCCTTGTATCTGCGCATTCAAGCAGCATGTTCATTTTCACCGAGTTTTCTTTCTTCTTGAGAAATTCACACACGCACCACGTTACTAGATAATTGAATACCTTCACGCAATTACTTTATGAATATTTGATTGAATCGGTCATAAAGTTTCGCTATATTATTTTTTATTATAAAAACACTAAATGTATATCGAGGTCGCTAATGGTGACAATACATGGCGACGTCATACGAGATTGTTATAATTTAAATATTCACCATTTAGACTTGTGGGAACTGATTACGTGCAGGAAATTCTAAACAATCAAAATGTCCAAGTGTCTTGAGAAAGGGACAATGTTCTCAAAATGAATAACTATTTGAATTCTATATGGTGTTGTAACACGCCATGTGGCAATAGTCATTATTCTATGAGTGTAGGTACTCGCAATAAATTGAGTAATGTGATTGCTGCTTTGTACTCTTCAAGGGACAACAGAAAGTAAATTATAAATAGACCTTGTTGAACTACCCACTAAATAACTATACACTTGATGTGGATCGCTTTCAATGATGTACCGCTTTCCCTAACATGAAAATCGACGGATATCTATGAAATATTTATGAATCACCAATTTATAACAAGGCCGGGATCCAGTTATAATAATTAGATATTAAAGTCTACGTCGAAGTTAACACGAACACCTTCTATACAGATTTCAGAAATAATTAATTATCGTTTTGCAATATAAAAGGAACGAATTAATTAAAATTACTAATAATTTTTGTCGAGTTTATTATTTTATGAATATTTCTAATGAAATGATCGAATATTTTAAAAATAAATGTACCCACATAAAGATAATTATTATTAAATACAAAAAAATATATTCTTCCGCTATCAAATACCTTCAATCAAAATAACATCTGTAATATTTGATAAAAAAAATTCTTTTGATAATTTTTTTAATATAAAATTGAATAAATTCAATAAAAAATGTTTGAAAATTAGAAAGCGGTATAGAACTCCAGTTTTTGTAACTTTTCTTGAAGCCCTTTCCAATGAGTCTACATTTTCATTAATATTAATAGTAAATGTTCATTTTATAGAAATAACATCAAGCGAAGGTATTACGAAAGAAAGGGATTTAAATTATCGTAATGTCTGAGTGAAAGTGCTCCGGAATGACTTTCATTCATAATTCATAGAATTAAGCTTGTTCAATGTAGAAAATGGGTGTGGAAAATTTCATATATTAAATACATTCCCCAATAGAAGCTTTCTGTTATTTATCTTATTTAAATTGTAAACTAAAAACCTTTTTTTCAATTATGAATTAAACCTTAAATAGGTTTATATTGAACTTTTTTATTAACTGACTACCCTCGACTTTTGATTCAAATAATAATTAATATCTGCTTATAGTATCAATATAATTAACTGTAATTTCAATTCTTCGAGCACTTTCCGACGCTCATTGCAATGCCAGTTTAGAAGCCGATGTTCACATTTGATAGCTTTCGTGTCCGCAATTAAAGTGCGGATAGTGCATACACTATCATATTCAATAATAAAAATCACTCAAAAGCCATTAAATGAGCGGCACCCTATATATTATAAATGTTACGTACCTACGCCGAGGGCTGCCGCTAGCACTAATAAACTCCGAGAATACATTATTAAACAAGTCCTTTACACGGTAGTAGTGGTCACTGTAACGTTCTAGCACACACTGCGGGCGGGTGAATGGGCGGTTGAGGCTTTTATATCGGGAAGCTGAACGCACACGCCGCCGGTGAAAAGCGACGTCACCATTGCGCCTGCGCCGGCCCCGCGTTCAACATACGGGCTACGGACGAACCGCTTCGCTATATCCTGTACATACAAAGAAATATTATATTGAAATAACCACATTATTGTAATATTAACGTAATGGTTAATTATATGAAATATCATTTTTATAGGCTTATGAATTTTAGGATAAGCATTGTATGTTTTTACAATTTCATTGAAAAAAAAAAACATATTTTAAACTTATCAAAAGGAGTGGTAGATTCCTATAAATATAAAACAAATATTTTTTCATGTCAACGAGAGTTACGTGTATGTATGTTTTTATTACAATTTAATCTTAAACTATTTGAAATGAAAGAAAAATCATGTCTAGAAAAGACGTTTATAGATTTTTTATTTACATGTTATTCGTTAAAAGTATAATTTAACAAATTTTAAAATATTACCAAAAAATAATAATTATGCCTGAATCAAGATATAATATTTGTCTTCGCAAAAGGCCTTACAATATTTAATTAGATTGAGAATTTATCTATTATAAAATTCAAACACTTTTATACTGTACTTTTAGCACTGCTGCTTTCGTTTGATATAGTTTAAATCTTTTTTTTTAGGTATATACAAACATATTTGGTTTGTTAAATAATAAACATATTTGGTACATCTACATATATAGTAAATTTAAACGCTTTAGAGTTTTATAACAAAAATTTAATCTGCGAGCATATGGAAGTATAAAAAAATACTTTTTAATACTTGTGCTTGCTCAAACTTAATAAACAACACCTGCAAATAACTCATGAAAAAAACATATGCTATTCGGGTAGTTGATAAATCTTAAATTCCTACAACAGGTTGTTTCTTTCGATACATTATTTTATAACCGAGCTGAAGTCACTTTGTATGGATATTAAAAAACATAAAAACCTGCGTGTTTGCAAATGGCATTTGAAGGCGAAAGTGTTTTTTATGTTATAAATCAGGTAAATTGCATATTTAATGATAAACAGTGCGTTCGTGCCTTGAACGAAATATGGTAACTTGTTTTAAAGGAAGAACTTGTGAAGGTGACCTACTTCCGAGCCGAGAAAGAGTAATATCCAAACAAATGATGACAATTTTTCTTCACAAATGTCAAACTAATTCAGATTCATAGTAATTTCAAAGTTCACGGCCTCTGTTACAGATGCTCTTTTAGATACAAAAATAATGCATATACATTATATTAAATATCAATTTTTATATAAATTTTAATTAAAAACTCGTATCTCAGTCGGCCTTGAATTCGATTTCAGAGAATACTAATATAACTTTGTTAATATCCTAATTGATTGATCTACAAAAATATATTATACTATTTAAGTCATCTATCTTAAAACATATCCCGGAAATGTATCTATTTGTAATTGGTTTAAATAACAACTATTTAATTCAATTATCCTCACCAATTATCACGCAAGAAAGAAAAGATAAAGAAACATAAAAAAAATAAGTGGAGAGAAAATCTATTAATGAATTCCTAATTACGTAACCTTCAAAACTAGACCCTATTCTATGATTTAATTATTCTTTATGAGATTTCACACGGATATATTATACAATCATAACAAAAGACGCATAATAATACGGAAGTAAGAGATAGCAAGGCGAATATTATTAAAAGAAACATCACACAAGGCTGGAAAAAACTACAAGCAATTTTATACACAAAACTGTATGGACAGACCATTGGATACATCCCCAGGGTATGTTACAATTAATATTAAAGCTTACTCAAATATACGAATCTTTACGTACTATTAATAAAATATCAAAGTATAAATTCTACGGCATTCAATATAACCATTTAAGAATAAGCATGAAGTAAATAAATTCATAAATAAATATGAAATTTCTTATTTATTCATAACTTTAAAAATGATAACTCATCGTTTTAACTATAGCTTGTTAGATCAAGCAAGCAATTAAGTATAGTTAGTGACGTGACATTAAAGAGAAATCTATCACTTGCTAAAATACTTCGTAATTATGTTCATACAAAATATGTTTCTTGGAACATTATACAATTATAATTATGTCATTATAGCGATTGCATGTTATTATTTAATGTATCGTTAATCGATCGAATTATTTAATTATTATTTTAACATACCCAACTAATTGCAGATTGGGACAAAGTCACTGAATACCAGATTTGATTTGAAACTACATACTTTAGTTTATCCTAACAATATATCTTATGACTAATTGATAAGGAATTAATTATTACAAGAATATGTCGTATGATGAAATGAATCACAGATATGCTGGTATGAAAATGATAAGTGGTGAGTATATTGGTATTATGTTGCATAAAAATGATGGAGTTCTTTAAAATTATTCAGATATTTTACTGCAATGTACAGACATTACATTTTTCTGAGGTTATAGAAAAAATACCTGTACAATGATTTTTCTATATTGCTACTTATATAAATATTATTCGTTACACTTTTATACGTAATAAAAAATTTAGTAAATATAAAATCGATACTATTTAATTGTAAAACATATTAAATTGTACTAGATCTTAACAACAAAAGTTTTCGATAAAATCAATTCAAAGTATATAGAATAAATTCCATCGATCGGTTAAATCAGCATAGCTGTATAATAATTACATAGTTCTTGGACAATATTGGTATTTGGGACAGGGTTCGACAGAATCGGAGACGACAAACGTCCGACACGAAGGTCTGCGGGTTTCACGGCTCACCAACGATTATAAAACAGATATGTATATCATTTAGACTAATATTTCTACATATATACGGAATCTATACAAAATTATGACAATATAGATAATATGTTTATTTAATCTTGTAGTTAAGGTTGTAGTTTTTTAACCAACAATCACTGAGATGCATTCATGAATTATCTTAAGAAAAATGTTTGAAAGGACGCACGACCTTCGTCAAGTGATGCATATCATTAACAGGCTATTGTCCAACTCCTATTTTAGGATCTTGTCAGTTTAGTACAGAATTTCAAAAAAATTATAAACAGAAATTTGTAACGTTACTTATATATTTTAAAATTAAATTCGTATTTGTCAGAGCAATTTTGCAAGCGACTAGTCTTTGCCGTCATTATTTGTCACCGCGCCGTTTGCCTCACTGCGGCGACACAAACAATTCGTAGTATGCGGAAGACAGCTTGCAATTGCAATATTTACAATAAACATACTTATAAAGCGCCCGACTAAAAGAAGAGGGCTTTGGCCCGTGGTTTTCTGTTGTTGATATAATGGTGAAATCTATGACTGCGCAATTCGGAAGCGTACTGAACACAAAACGTGTTAAACTTGTAAACACGGATCTTTATTACGAGTCAAGACATGTAACATGTGCCAGAGATAAATGCAGAATTCGAATTTCGTTACAATTCTAATTTTCTTAAAACAATTTCTTTGATATATAACACAAAAGGAATTATTAATAATTAATCTTACGTCGTGAGTATTAACGTCCACATTTCTTTACTCTAGAAGCAGTAAATGTGGGATCCTTATGTTTATCCAATAGCCATAACTTTGAAACAGACTCGCAGAATTAATGAACTGTCAATATCGAAGCGTTATAACGGTATTTTAAATTTAATATGCACGAAGACAACGCATGCGCCACAAATCGCTCGTCCCCGCCGCTTACTTCCTATGTACATTCTCTTTGGATACATGTCGTAGGTTGACTTTTAGAATGAATGATTTAAATCAATAAAATATATTTTAATACACATGTGTGTATAAAAACAGTGAAGATTAGTGGTAGGTATTAATAACGAATTCTAGTCTTAAATAGGTATGGCGTCTGTAAGATTGCATAAAGTCATCGCAGTCACGATTTATGAACCACGTTCTCAATAAGTTTTTTGTATGATATTTATGAACTTATAATAATATTTTTATCTAAGATACTTAGTCGACAATCACAAATACCTTCAATAATTCACTGTAAATAAAGAATGGATAGCAATTTTTTTTTATTTGAATGTTTCACAGCTAATATTCGACTTTAAAAGACAGGTTTGTGCATGTGATACAAGCCACCCTTTTTTATACTTTTAGTATTAAAAACAGTATATTTTAAAACTTACATTAAAAAAATTATGTTTTAAGTTCCTATAAAAATTATTCTCGTCATAAAACATTCATATGTTTTTTCTCTGATCAACACAAATGAATACTTCTTTACTCAAGGTAAATAAATGCATATTTAAAAAAGCGAATATATTGATACCAAAATTTTATTGAAATTGAACTTGAGCAGTCCGGGGTCACAGTAGAGACATAACACCTATATAAAGTGAACGAGCAATAATGTCGATCAGTTTATAATTTCTTTAAAAGAAACAATTATGTCTAAACATTACATAATGAGAAAATCATGTCTCCAACAACATTTTTACAAGAAAAATAGAACAAGAATAAATGTATCAGACTCAATGAATAGCACATCCTTGCCAATATTGTATTGTTAAAACTATGCACACAATTTCAATGCAATTGCTCAAATTTGCAACAACCTTTAATGATTATAGGATACACACAAATATCAATGAAATATCCATAATATATAATACTAACATTGCTTATGTATGTTCATAAGACGTTTAATTATTATTAATTACGGTAAATATTTTTAAGGAAAACGCACCAAGCACGGTAGGATTATTTAATTATCAGTGGAATTAATATAATAATCCTTTATTTTCAGTTACCATGAATTTCTTGAGACCTTAATGTTGAGGTCATATGAATATTATAAAACAGTGTGGCAATATTATTATGCAAGCATACTGTCCTAGAACTTTATTGTGTTAAGATTTAGCTTTTATAATTTTTGCAATGTTAAAGTGGATTATTGTCATTGTGTGTCTTCAAGAAATTACGTTGGTGTCATCGGCAGCGGGGCGAAGTAAACTCATCTCATATGCACTTCCTGAAAATAGAGAACTCAAGAAAGCCTTAGGATACAATGAAGATACATACTTAACTTTTCAAGAATTAACTACAAAATATGGTTATGTCTCAGAAAATCATACAGTACGAACTGAAGACGATTATCTTCTGACTGTTTTCAGAATACTACCACGATGTAAAGTCAGAGGCTTTCCTGTAATATTGGTTCATGGCATATTCGATAGCTCGGATACTTGGATATTTACTGGCCCGCAGAATGGGCTCGCTTATATTTTATCAGATAATTGTTACGATGTTTGGGCAGCTAATATGAGGGGTAACACATATTCTCGAAGACATGTAAACTTAAATCCAAACACTGATGCAGAATATTGGGAATACTCATTTGATGAACATGGAAATTATGATGTACCAGCAGTTATTGACTATGTTTTAGCTCTCACCGGAACCGCTCAAGTTTATTATATAGGCCACTCACAGGGCACTACGGATTATTTTGCAATGGGATCTTTGAGGCCCGAATATAATAACAAAATTCGTCTTTCTGTTCAAATAGCTCCAATAGCATTTCTTAAAAATATAAGAAGTCCTGTCCCGAAATTAATTTCAATTTTGACAGAGGATATTAAAAATTTCGCGGAAAATGTGGGACTTAGAGAATTATTTGCCAAACAGCATATCTCTCATGTCATATCCGAGTTTCTTTGTCAGATAGCCCCAAATTTAATATGTGGTACTGCTTTATGGTTTTCAACAGGTAATATGCTAGGAAGCATAACTGCAAAAAATCTAGCTATCGGTATAGGACATCTATTTGCCGGTGTGTCTCTAAAAACTTTAGCTCATTTTGGACAGTTGATAAATTCTGGCAAGTTCCAGAGGTACGACGAAGGTGTAAAAGGCAATATGTTAAAATATGGTTATGTAGTTCCGCCAAAATATAATGTGTCACTTGTATCATCTCCTATGGTTCTAGTAACTGCGGAAAATGATTGGCTGTCAACTCTAGAGGATATAAAAATTTTAAGTTCTAAACTGCCAAATATAGTAGATGAATACATTGTACCCGTACCGACATGGAGTCATAATAATCACTTGTGGGGTATTAACGCCACTGTCTATGTATTTAATAGAATTCTTGAATACTTTGAGAGATTTAATACATGACAAACAGTTGTAAACTAGTTATAGGCCAAAAGAACCTCCCTTTGATAAGGGTCATTACTAAAGTTATGTAAATGAAATAATTACCAAAGTATCCAAATGTGAATATTTAATTAAGTTCTCTCATTCTACTTTTAATTTTATTTAATAAATATTAATTTATTTTGTTTTTATATCAAACAATATTTAGTAAACAAACAGTTAGTCGAAATCAACATCGTAAAATAAATACTTTCGATGTGCAAATTTGGAAAATAATAGCCGTGATCAAAAAAATTGACCAAAAATGCACGAGAAAACCTTGGAGGTGCGAAATTGTCAGATGTTAATTTACAATAATTGCTCTGAAGTTAAATACAAGCAATTTCCTAAATAACTGGAATAGTATTTAAAATTATAAAAATATAAAGCTTTTCCATATGTAATAAAATGAGTAATCGATGCATAAAAAGTTCTGATATTCCGAATCAGTTACTTGGATTAAACTGAAAAAAAAACAGCAATTTTGGAAACAAATGTAGTAAATTCTTATTACAATATAATGTTCTGTTAAATCGAGAATATGATCAATAGTTTTATACATGTAGGCAGACCTTGGATAAAGCTGGGAGGTTGCCAGGAGGAACAAGAAGAGTTTTATACATATATAACGATTGGGTAGTAAAAGAAAGTAAATTTTTTATTATTTATGTTTAAAAAAAACATAGTCGTTATAACTAACATATATATTAATAATTAATTATTATTTCAGTAAAAACTTGATAACAATATATCAGCCTAAAATAAGTACGCGTGAAATGGGGTAACAATTATAAATAAGTAGGGCAAAAGGTAATATGTGTTAATAGGCTATCTCGGTCATGTTAAACCGCAATATAGGATTTGTAAGATTGACCTTGATTCGTCCGAATGATAAACGCCAGTTAGGTTACAATATGAAAACATTATTCAATTGTTATAGTATAAATATTACTTAATGTGTATTTTCAGTATTATTATAAGACACGTTTTAATTGAGATTGGAAATTCAGAACAAAAATATACTATGTATTAACTGTAATCTTGACGTAAACCAGATATTATTGGTGCAAAAACAAGAAATAAATCAAACAATAAAGAACTAAGACTTATTTTTCTTTTTATAAACTAGTTTTAATTCGTATAATATCTAATCTGTACTACGGTCATAAGTAACAAGGACTATCCAAGCTAATTTAAATATGACATTAAACGAGACTGTTCAGTGTTTAAATATAATTAATATGAAACAGTTATTCAATTAAAGAATACACACATTTTATAGCAAAAGAAATATTGTTTTTGAAAGAAATTTTAGTTATAATAATAGCCAAGATAGTTTTAATGAAAATTAAGGTTATTAAGTTGTGTAAATTTTCAAAAGTCATTATGTTATAAATAATAATAAATAAGATTTTATGAATGTGAAAAGAAAGAGATGTTAAAAATTAAAATATTTCTCACAATATAGCTTCAATCAAAGTAACAAAATTAATAACCTTTTTATGTTTGATAATGTTCGACTATTTATTTTATCGTATATGAGCCATACATACATACATGTTTATTTTAAATGGTAATACATATGTACGTAAAGGTATTGCTATGAAAATTATTATCACATTAAGCATACGACGACACGGTAGTGTTGCAAGCTAGCGAGTACGTTATGATAAATTCGTCATTTACAAACCTGAACTCGCTTCGCAACTCATTAAATGCCATCAGAATATTTTCGATGAGCCAACGGCGTCTGGCAACACATATTGAATCAAATTACCACCTCTACGTTACTGAAATAAGGAACATGCTTTTGAATCAAGGTCCTGTATATTGAGGATGATTTAAATATATTTCTTAACTACCGTCATATTTAACGGGTCCTTAGATTTTATTTACAATACATAAATGAACATTAAAATTTATTACCAACTTTCAACGAGATCGTATTCATTTTAACATGGCCCTACTGTGTTGTTTATAATATTTATTATTCATCTTTCTTGATCACATATCCCGTCTTATTTCCAATTGGAATTATATATTATGTTTTAATTATTTATTTCAATGCTATCGTATAGTTTAATCATGAAATCTTTCAAATTACCTTCAACTTTTATTAGTTTGTTTAAATTAATATGTTATGAATTCGATATAATCAGACTATGGCATATTTAATCAAGTTGAAACTAGTATTTTATGGGTATACCAATATTTGTATATACTTCAAGGTTATCAACTTTAAATGTAGTAAGGTTCTTTATAAAATATAAAGTTAAGTACATTGAGATTTTTTTAATTTTTTGGCGGTAAAATAAAAAATACAATCACAATATCCAGGTACGTTAAAATCAAGTTTCTTTTGAATATTTTTAACATTTTAATTTACAGAAACATATTTTTAAAATTACGTCCGCATATCGATTCATTCGAATCCTGCATGATGGAGGGACATTTAAATAATATATATATATGTTAGGAAATTTCTGTTTGTTCAGTGGTTTAAATTTAATAGTTAAATATCTACAATAATATATTATAATCTCTATAACACTGTTAAAGTAGAAACATCATAATTCATATTTGACTTCATTTATAAGACAATGAGAGCCAACTTAGAAGACCCTTCATCTTTTCAACTGTGTATTTCTGAGTACGTTAAACTGAAGAAAATGAATTAATGTAACAGTAGTGGTTGTTGGAAGGCATTAAACTATTTTGACATATACATATGTATACATTGAGGTCGTGATGGCGCGTTCCAAAAGACCAACCCACATAATGTCCTATGGGCAAAAATGTCACACTTAATGCTTCTATTAGAGTAGTGTAACGGAAGCGCGCACGTGCTCTGCCTTTTTTGGCTGCACTTGACCCCTAACGGTATTATAATATTCCTTAATAATATTTTGGGGAAATAGAAAACTCATTAGATTTCCATAAGTTATACGTCTCTATTACCAACAATTGATTGGCACATACTTTTTGGAAGCAATCAAAAAATTTGGAAATGATTTGAGATTGTATGCAATTTATTTTATTTATGAACTTCAATATATATAGTAACGAGACAAGTTAACAGCCACATCTATCTGATTCGAAACATCATAACATAAGATGCTATCCGTCTTGTGATTGTGTCATGTTTGTTGCTTGATATTTCAAAGTAATCTTTAACATTTCTGGCAATTTATATGATCTTAATTTTACAATCTAATGAAATTAGTGGCTGTATCGCAAATTAAACTCTCCGTAATTTTTAGCACATCCATTAATTTATAAATTTAAAGTTAAATATTCTTTGGTGACAACATTTATAATGGATTGTGACCATTTTAAAGGAAGTTATGATTGACATTTTCATCGTCTGCTTGTGATAACGGTTGCTGCAAAGAAACCGACACGGCGGGATTACATAGAAAAAAATATAAAAATACGTAGTATATCCAAAAATATTAGTTTTATTTAAGTTATATCTGACTTATTATTTAGTTTATATAAAAAAACGTTCACGATTGTTGTTATTATATTATTTGGTGATATTCCATTTAAACAAATCTCGGAGTTATCCTTTGTCCTTTAAATAGACGTGTTAAGCATATTTTATATCCCGTTAATAATATTTCAATCTTAACTTTGACAAGAGATCGTTGTCAAACTTATTATTTTTATTTAAAACGACGACTTAACTGAAACGGTTTGAATTTGAGGACAAAATAAAACAGTTATTGTTTATAGCAACCGCTTAACATGAACCACAACATTTTTAACTCGTATCATTATATAAAAATAATATAAAATCCACACAAACATTCTTGTTATATTGGCACATGCAAAATTGTATAACCATTTGCCTGTTTTGGATTCAACGGATCCGTGGATTGCGTAAGACGCACACATTGGGACTCTGAACACGATGGATCGATGTATTGACCGATTCAAATAGTGATAACATCTCACCCACGAAAAGCACTGAAAGTGTCCAATGACTTATAGCCTCTCCGATACGACTACTATACGACTTAAAAATATTTCGGATTCAGTATTGCCTCTTCAAATAAAATACATGTATCTACTTTCATTAATCTTTTTTAAGAGATTGAGATATTTGGTACTTTAATATTTTATTACACTAAACCAGGCAAAAATGTATACGTTTAATTAAATAAATATAAATGTGATTAAAACAAAGGCAGTGATAGGTATATTAGTTTCAAACAATATATCAGTCGATAAATATACTTTATTTAAAAAATATTAGTTAATTCTAATAACGCCCTATAATATTTTATCACGATTTGAATGATTTTGTGTTTTAATTTCAACATAATGAAAAACGAATGATATTTTTAAATAGATCATTAAAGTTTATCTACAAAAAAATAGAAAATTATAATTTAGAATTAGAACTGGTATAATTTTAAAATTTCCACTATGGAAAAATCCAGAATAATAAATAAACTTGTAAAAAATATGTGCGATTCTCTTAATCACCTTTTATATAATATTGAAGAAGCAGTCGTAGCCTGTAAACGATCTGTGCCGCCGAAATGTCGAGGGGTCACCGACCGCGGACATTTGACTGTCCCCGTAACATGGCCATTACATAACACACAATCCCACCACCAACACTAGAGATTACAAATAAACTTTAATAAACATATAATACATATATTTTTTAATAATACCATCACCCGAGGCCTATAGCGGAGCTTGCACTTACATGAAATAATTTTTCGTTTCGTAACCACATATTTCAACATCGAAATGTCATCTAATATAATAATTAAATATTTTATGAGCTCTCATTAAACAACACATTAACCTAGTTCCATATTAAAATTTTTTCGTTTGTATAGGTTATGTAAGAAAAAATTTTATAAATTCCACTCAATACAAATGTCATCCCAATCATCAAAATATTTGCATTTCCAGTTTTACTGTTAGCTAAATGTTGACCTTTTAAACTTTATATTTTATTGAAT